AAGAAAGTATTATGGCGGAAAGTAGCATTTGAATTAATTATCTTAATTTATTTCTTTAATCTTAATTCTCGTAATTTAGTTACGAGAATAATTATAATAATTTTGTTAAGTATGAAGGGAAGATTATAATACATAATTGCATACGTTTCAGCAGTACGCACGTAAAATATGGGGTACTCGAAACTATAGAGTAGATATCCTATTACAACAATACTAAAACTTTATGCGTATTGCGTACTTGATATACTTTATGGACTAGGTGGAACAGGAACAGGTATTTGGATCGAGTATTTAAACGGAAGTGGAGTCGGCTAGGTGCACCTAGAACAAAATTTACCTATAGTATGATTTATCCCTAGTAGACTTGGTGTAAGTAATGCGATTGTTGCATTGCGCGTCATATAACCCGACCGCGTACTGTAGCATTACACATGACTCGACCAAATTAAGCATGACACACGACATATTTTCAGTATTTTATATATGAAATCGATTTTTAATACGCCAATATTTATATACTTGGTCATTAATCAATATTGCAATCCATGTTTATTGCCAGTCCTAAGCTTGGAATGCCCCTGTGATTAAATGATTCCGTAGATTGGGGTTAAGTATGAAGGAGAATCGACTTTATGTATAGCAAAAGAAGGTGTAGGTACATCCCGGCGTAGCGAGGGTGCATTTCGTTTGACGATTCTCATGTCACTCCATGATAATATAACGCGGTATCTCATTGAAATGATATATATCTTCTACTACCACGCGAGTATTTCATAACAATGGCCATCGCGTGTGGCAATAGCACGTCATTTCGCGTCATGTTTGGAGTCATGGTGTAATGCAACTAGAAGTGGGTGTTGAATCAATAAACTGTTTTTTTCAACGGCTTTTCATTCGTCAACCTGTTAACTGTTAATCATTAATGAAAAAATAGGTTGAAAATATTAGCTTTCAATTTACGTCAACGCACTCAACGCATTTTTTTCAATATTATTTTATTCATTTCTGTGAATTTAGTCTCCTTCGGAAATATTCGTTACTTCCGGAGGTTACCGAACACCGCCGCATCAACACATCGGACGCGGTCTTGTGGGTGCGTGTGTGAGCGTGAGCAAGTAAAGAAAGTTAATTTGTGATATGTTAAGATTTTGTATTCAGTATGTGTAAACAATCCGTGAGCTTCGTTCAAGGCTAAAATGCGTTGCGATTTTTTTTGTTTGCATTACGCGGTCGAGGACAAGTGTTTTTAAGTTTAGTTTATTTTTTCAGTTTAAGTTTTACTGGTTGGGATTTTACGTGAATATTGTTTTGTGACAAAGCTTGGACATTATGTCAGTGGCACGTAGAAACAAAAGTACACTCTGCCAAAAACAAATAGACAATATAAAACGCATTGTGACTCACATAAAAGCAGCTCGCAGAGAAAGACTAAGACGCTAGCAGACAAAGACTTGTCGACGATCACTTCGGAAGATTGGACCACCTACCAACAGTTATGTCAGGTGTTGGAACCATTCGAAGAGTGGCCATAAATATTTGACGGCGTGTTATAGTAACGACACGTTGCCCGATAGAATCTTATAATAAAATAGGAGGGAAAGGAAATCGAACATCAAATGTCCACGATATGGTTTCATTTTTGAAATCAGGTTTATCAGACAGATTCAAAGGGATAGAGCAAAGTGGCACATTTAGTTTGTGTACTTTCTTGGACTCTTGATTTAAGATGCAGGGATTTGCAGACTACGCTGAAATTGTCAAAACAAAAGATAGAGTACGAATGCTCGTCGCCACCGAAATATCCAAAATTGAATCTGCAACACTGGCCCAAACTTCAAATCAAAATGAATTGACAGGAACTAGAATGAATTCAGTCCACGGGATATTTTTGATCAAATAATATGGGCACCTCCCACCACAGGCACTCCGTTATCAAAAGCCATAGAAGAAGTGGACATCTGTTTGGCCGACGACGTATTGGAATGATGGAGAACTCACAATTTTTTATTCAAACTTAGCCAAAGTTTACTTTGCAAAATGTACTACGACTGCAACATCAGTGCAATGCGATAGAACGTTCTCCAAATCGGGGCTAATTGTAAATCAAAGGAGAACAAGACTAACTACCAGCAAAATGCTATTTTGAAATGTTAACTTAGATGTAGGCCGTTTTGCAAGTTATGAGCTTTTATATGTTACTGTAAATAGAACAAAGGAAAAAATAACAAAAAAAAAATACGTGTGGCACTCGGTGACTGCCGCAATAAAGCTATTGCATAGCATTTTTTATCAACTTATGCAATTATAATTAACTATTTATTTTATTTATGCAGTTAAGTCTTTGATATTAAATCAAGTTACACTTTTTGAGCGTGGTGACCCACAAGAAAACAATTTTTTTTTTCTCTTATTAAATAAATGAGAAGTTAATATTGTTTAAAATATTTTTAATATCTTACAATACATGTAGGTTATTCAGGAATTTTTATCATTGATTTAGCAGCTAGTGTACACGCATACGTCTAGTCGCACGCACACAAACACCGTGCCGAACTCTGCCGAGTGCCGAAGTCTGCCGAACTGAAACGACGTTAGACGATGCACGGCTTTCAACGCCACACCTCCGTGCCCGTCGGAGTGGGGAGCGTGAGGTTTTTTCGTTACGGAATTTCTGGATTCGGTCACCGCGCTCAAGGCCCGCGATAGAAGCTATGCAATAGCTTAAAAATCATGAATATTGTATATACCCAGCTAGTTCTAAGCCTGGAAATACTACGAATAATGGTCATTGCAGTTCAATAAACATAAAACTAATCTTTAGATACGAATTTATTCTTATCAAATCAATAATCTTTAACTTAATCTACAACAAAACTGTTATTTATCGAAAACGTTGAAATATTAAATTGAAGATAAACGCTAACAATTGAAGTTTCAAAACCTGTTATTTATTTAACAGCTTTTTAAACCTGTTGACCATTAATGATTAACAGTTAAGCGGGCTACATACGAGACGATATCGGTGGCGATCTAGGGTGAAAAGAAATCGGGGCTTTTATCGAAGCAGACCCTACACACGGGCCTGCCTAGCAGTACGCGTTTGGACTTGGAGCGGAACGCATATGCGGTAGAGTTCTTCAAAATGCCTCCGAATCTCTTAAAACACCAACGTGTTGGTTTGGAATTAGCCCTCTCGGTTAATTTATTCGAAAATAGAAAAAGAGAAGTTGCTGGGTGAAAAAATGGCTCCAAAAGAGACAAAAATTAAGCCACATAAATGTACTAAATGGTCTGTAATCCAAAGACATGATTATTTTCTCCGGATGGATGAAGACAGTTTTTACAACCTTCTAGAATTTTTCTATATTTATGATTTCGCAACTTATGTAAAAACATCAATTTCTCCTACCTATGCTATTTAGTTATTTCTTCTCTTTGTTCATTTCTGTTTTGGTCAAAATCGGGTTATGTACTACACACAACAAACAAAGAAATAACAAAATCGGGTTATGAACTACACACAACAAACAAAGAAATAAAATACATACATAAACACTCACGCCTGTCACCCAGAGGGGTAGGCAGAGACTACAGACTTCCATTTGGCACGATCCTGACACACCTCTCTCGCCTCCTTCACATCCATACACTTACGCATACATGCTCGTCGGTTAAGGGTACTCCTAATTTGGCCCGTTTTCAATAAATCGCCAATTTGGTCGATAAATTTTCGCCTAGGACGTCCCTTTCCGACTCTGCCATTCACTTCTGCAACATAAATTTTCTTTGTCACTCTTTCCTCATTCATTATTTCCACATGACCAAACCACCGAAGCATTCCTTTCTTAATCCTGGTCACAACATCATCTTGCAAACCACACTCTTCTCTTATTACACAATTTTTAAATAAAATACTTTTGTATAATATTATGTATACTTTTTTAATGTGATCTTTATTTATGGATTAAAACTATCAAAAAATAAAAAAGCTTATATCTTTTTTTAAACATAAAGATACCTTTAATTTCGGACATACTCCCTTCTATATAGTTTGTTTGTTGATGTGGAGATGGTGAAGGAGTAGGAGTTAGTTGTTGATGAGAGGATGAAGACACGTAAGAGATCTGAGTGCGGTCTTGTGTTGATAGCGTTGAAATAGGAGTTAGTTGTTGAGGAGAGGCTTTATCTTCTCCTTACTTACTTCATACACCCTGCTTTACGAACGGCAATAAAACAATTAGTATAGTAGGCATTCTTGACCATGTAACTTCGCAGGATCACAGGTTAGGGTGGATATGATTTGAATTTCGATAGATTTTTTTTAATTTTTTTTTTGTTTTTCTAAAATATGAGTGCCATAGGCTTCTACTCCGTTCACATGTTTAAAATGTAAAAATTTTGTTATGTAAAAAAGGTCATTCAGTATCACTGTTTCGTTAACGTCCTTCCGCGAGGGCTGCCGGCAGCGACTGCCAAAAGAAATCGGGCCGATGCGCCTACAGACACGCAGTACGGAGGGGGCGGGGCCCCGATCTAGGAACCCTTTGTACTGATACTTTCTACTATTACGATTCTACGATGGATTCTATTTGAATCTGTAGGGATGAATTCACATCAAACCAAATTTTGATTCTTATTCAAGAATAGGTGTAGGTGTCTATGAAACATGGCATCCATTCACCATCACATACTGTTTGCTCGTTTACCATTCTTATATACATATATAACACCTTACCTTACCTATATAAAACATATACATTATATATTAACACAGAACTTCCGTTATCTAAACCTTCAAGAAAAGAGCCTACTCTTTCTAAAACGCCGGCAACGCATCTGCAATTCCACTGATGTTGCGGTTGATCATGGGCGGCGATAGTCACTTACCATCAGATGAGCCGCATGCTCGTTTGTCCCCCTTTTTATATGAAAAAGAGAATCACGACCAAAACGGTCGTGATTATTACTCGCAAATGTTACCACTAAGATGTAATACATACCGAGGAGGCAATTTTTCCAGTGCACTGCAGGCCGCAGCAAGACGCGGACGTAGTGCTTCGAGGCGCGTCTGCAGCGCCGGCCCGCCCTGGTTGTGATCACCGGGGGCTTCGCCTTCGGCCGCTGCCACCAAGTCCCGGACCTTTGGACAGAAGCACTCCATAAAATGCACAGAATACCAGCGTAAAATAGCAGCTCAATGCTTTGTATGATGAGAGAAGAGAACCGGAGACTCTCTTTACTCGAAACGAGGCATTCCATCTTAATTCTCAAGAGTGACAACGCATCTGCATTTTTATTCTTAATTGAGGATAGATGTAGATGTCTATTCATCATCATCATCAGCCCTTTACATGTCCACTGCTGAACGTAGGCCTCCCCCAAGTAATGCCACAAAGCACGGTCCTGAGCCGCCTGCATCCATCGACTTCCTGCATGTCTTAGCAGGTCGTCACTCCATCTAATGGTGAGTCGCCCCACACTACGCCTACCGGTACGAGGCTACCACTCGAGAACCTTTCTTTCCCATCGGTTATCGGTTCTTCGAGCTATATGGCCGGCCCATTGCCACTTCAGCTTACTAATCCGTTGGGCTATGTCGGTCACTCTGGTTTTACTGCGGATATACTCATTTCTGAGTCTATCACGCAGAGAAACTCCGAGCATAGCCCTCTCCATAGCTCGCTGAGCGACCTTGAGCGTCCTCATACGGCCAGCAGTGAAGGACCACGTCTCTGATCCGTAAGTCATCACTGGCAACACGCACTGGTTGTACACTTTAGTTTTCAGAGATTGAGGTATAGATGCCTATTAGCCCCAGCATTCACTTCAAATGGACTGTGTACTCGTTTGTCACTCTTATTTTATAAAAAGTAACGCGTAGTGTCGGTGTAAGAATATCCACTAGCCCATATCACCCCGTGGGTGTCGTAAGAGGCGATGGCGGAAAACAAACCGGAAGTCGGCCAGTAGGAACTTCCTAATAACGACTAAAAATAAAAACTGCGGTACCAACCCGCTTGGCAAGCGTGGCATCTATGGCAAATATACTTCTATGAGACAATCTATGGGGGGGGGGGCTAATTGATGTTTGGCTGCATGCATCAATTACGCCAAAAAATCAATTATTGAGTATTTCCGTCAAGAAATTCTCAGTAGCTGCCAGAAGTCAGAAAGTTGACGATGTATCACCCCCGTGTCTTGAATAGCACGTAAAGCCGTTGGTCCTGCGCCTGATCTCTCTGCGGTCGTGTCGGTTTACCGTCCCGTCGGATTATGAGAGTGAGGCAATAGAGAGCGCACCTGTGCTTGCACTCACATTGGAGAACTATACTACGCAGATGGATGGTCTCCATTGAAACTGGTGGCCGTGACCAAAATCCGGCCTGAAGAACATTATAATTGTACGCACCATCATCATCATTACAGCCCTTCACAAGTCCACTGCTGAACATAGGCCTCCCCCAAGTAATGCCACAAAGCACGGTCCTGAGCCACCTGTATCCATCGACTTCCTGCATGTCTTACCAGATCATCACTCCATCTAGTGGGGGGGGGGGGTCGCCCTACTCTTCGCCTAACGGCCCATTGCTACTTTGCTACTTCAGCTTATTGCTGTATACATCATAAAGTACTTTAAAATCAATCGCTCACCTCATCACAGACGTACATATAGTGATACAGTGCCTTCCCGCCAGACTCCCATCCGCTGATCTCGTGTCTTTCTGCCGCTTCGTTCATTTTCTCTAGAAGCGGTCTTAGGCTCTGCACGTTGTCTGTAACAATTTAATTTTTTTTTATAGACTAAGAGTGACAAACAGCAGTATTAAGCTGTTATTTTACGCTCATATTCTATGAGAGGTGGTCTAATATAAATTTGATCACCTTTTTGAAGTCTTTTAAAAAACCAATAATGTGGCACTTAGTGATTTTTTTTAGTTAACTAGCTTTACGGCTCTGGGTTCTAGCCCTTCTGAGCCTATCAATTCTTTCAGAATCTTCATTTTTATATATTTTTTCTTTACAATATGCTGATGCGTTACATAGCGAAGTTTTTGGGAAATTTTGACGACAGCTCAACCCAACGGACAGTTGATGATGACAGCCACGCCAACTCTTTCTAAAATAAATACCTGTACTTTGGTAAACTGTCTTAAATAAAATTAATGTGTATAAGATTAGTATTTGAACGAAAGAACGTTGTAATCTTGTAATTGTATTGTAACATTTGTATGACAATATTATAAACAGGTTTTAATATCATTACAGCTGAAGTTAACGGTGGTGAAGGCCTGCAAGTCCTCAATACATTGTTTTTTATTTTATTTGACACGTAATTTTTATTTTATTTGACATGTAATTTGTCGGATTACAAGTAATTTTGGGAGATAGATATAATACTTGACATGTAATTTTGGGAGATTTGGACGACAGCTCAACCCAGCGGACAGTTGATGGCGACAACCACTCAAATTCATAAGGCGCCCAAGCGCTCAAAACAACTTGAGGTTTATATCAACATCAAAGCACTTGTTTCGTCGTTTTCTCTAATAGTTCACACGCGCGGACACTTAATTCACAAAATCACATCACTTTTACGAATTAAAATCCACTTCAAACCATTATTTAAGCGACAAAACAGGAGCGACAATCCGTCTACGACCAAGTTCCCGTCAAAACGCCGGCACTTAGTGAATAGATGTGCTAATGGCTTATTGGAGAACTTGATTTAGTTGAAACCAATTTGCACAGGCGAATACTAACAAGCCTCTCGGTGTTCTGTAGACTCATTTCGGAGACTGTGTACCCGAATTAAATGATTTAATAACTCTCTCTTCTTTCCAACGCCTCTACCCCTTTGATGTCGACATACCACGCATTAAAACCAAATGGTTTGTTTCGTCTTTCGTAAAGCGTCTTGCAAAGGAGTGAAATAATTTGCCAGCGTCTGTCTTTTCTTTCGTTCACAATCTGAGTGTTTCAGGACGAAAACACACACACACACACACACACACACACACACACACTCGCACACACACACACTCGCACGCACGCACACTCGCACGCACGCACACACACTCGCACGCACACACACTCGCACGCACACACACTCGCACGCACACACACTCGCACGCACACACACACGCACGCACACTCGCACGCACACACACACGCACACTCGCACGTCACACACACACACACACACACACGCACACTCGCACGCGCCACACACACACACACACGCACACTCGCACGCGCACACACACACACACACACACACACACACACACTCGCACGCACACACACTCGCACGCACACACACTCGCACGCACACACACTCGCACGCACACACACTCGCACGCATGCACTCACGCACGCAATCACTCACTAATTTACCCACGCACTCACTCAAGTAACACGTACTCACGCACACAAGCACTCACACACGCACGCACGTACTCTCTCACCCAACACACACGCACGCACGCACGCCCTTCCGCTTTGTAGCTTTCAAATAAAAAAAGTATCATCAACATCAGTTCTCCTAGAATAAAGTTCTGAGGTAACACACACAAAAAAACATACAGTCGAATCGAGTACCTCCTTCTTTTCGAAATCGGTTAAAAACGTGTTCAATGGTAAAAAGAGTAATTTCACAAAATTCGATTGCGTAAAAGAGTTCACCGAAAAGATATTTTTTTCACTTTATGTAACTTCTACAACTACGATGAATCTAATGACACCAGATACGTTGAAAACCATCGAGCCGTTCAGATAACTCTTTGTGGGGCAGTCGAGTAAAAATAAATTAGGTTTTTTTATAGGATAGGGTGACAAACGAGCACACAGTCCTGATGGTAAGTGGTTGCTGTGGCCTATAGACATCTACATCTATCCTCGATTACGTATGTATCACATGTGAGAACTAAGATGGAATACCTCGTTTCCAGTAAAAAAGATCTATGGTTCTCTACACTCACTATACGAAACACAGCAGCATTAAGCTACTATTTCACGCTGGTATTCTGTGAGAGCGTGGTCCTTCCCCGGTCGAACCGACCCATTCGTGCTACAACTATACTACTAATATAACTGCAGCATGGCCCTACCACGTAAAAATCTCATCAGCTTTTACAAGCGCAAAAGAAATGAAACGCACAAATTCAATTTAACTTTCAGATGAAATAGTAAACCAGTTTACCATAATGTGAACGTACAATAACAATAGTTTTATAACATGTTAATAATATCTGCGAACAACTCACCAGCTAAAACCGCATCGGCCAGCAGTTCGTCTACCAGCACTTTGTGTGCAGCGTTCCACTGCTCGGCGCCGACCAAATACTCCGCCTCCAACATTGGTTGATGCTGGAAAGTTTTACACATTTTTTTGTTAACAAACACACTTGTATTTTCATTTACAACAGTTATGTTTTTTGACAAATACGAAATGTGTATATATACAACACGTAACATAATTAACGCACTTTGAGAAAGTAGTTTGCTCAGAATCGTTTACTGAATCGATTCCTATCATTTTTAATATAGGTAATTTTTTCTCCCAAAAATAATTAAAACTACGTAAATTACAGTCACACTAAATCTGTACAGGCAAAACAAACTGAAATGCACCGTAACTTAAGGTAATAAGACTTTTAAGAGTGCAGTTCTATTTGTATTATTACTATTTCTGTCATTCAATAAAAATAAAGAAAAATGAACTTTATTTCAAGCACGTTAAAGTCTTTGCGTTCGTGGATTTGTACTGTGACCACAACATTCTTCCGGAATTAGTATAACTAATTTGATAAATAATCAGTGCATAAAAATGTTTAACTAAAAATTCAGTGTACGTATTATGATTATAACATAATATACTAATTGGGGTGTCTGAGGGTGCGCGTTAATAACGTTACATATATATATACATATATATATAAATTACGTGTCACGTTGTTTGTTCGCGCGAATTTGCGAATTTAACGATTTTGAACGAACGACGAAATGGGCAGAACAATATCGTCCTGGCAAGCTAGTATATATATGTAATGACTTTTTTCACCGTCTGGAAAAATAGGGTGTAACATTTGAACGGAGTAGAAGCCTATGGCACTAATATTTTGCAAAAAAATAAAGCCAAAAAATTTAAATTAAATATTTGAAATTTTTTTAACAATTGCTTTGCCCTTGAGCCTGTGGCCCAGTGTCAAGGTCAAAGATGTCTACTAAATTTATTGTTTGTTTTATTGCTGTTCATAAAGTAGGGTGGACATGATTTGAATTTCGATAGATTTTAATTTATTAATTTACTTAATTCAAAATTTTTGTTTCTATATTTTGTAAAATATCAGTGCCATAGTACGTTTACCTAAGTAAATTACCCCGTTTACATGTTACACCCTATTTTTTCCAGACGGTAAAAAAAGGTCTTCCAGTATATTATATAATATATAACCTAAATACAAGTGACTGACTGACTCATCACGAGATCTCTAAAACTATACACCTGACTGACTTGAAATTTAGTATAGCTACTCATTTCGCAATGCAATGAGCGTTTACGCTCACTAAGAACGGATTTTGCGACTGTTCCATGAAAAAAATAGGTTTCGCAATAAAATATTATCGTGAACACAGCGAAGCCAGAAGATATAGGAATCAGTTAGTAAAGTTAGCTACTAATGTAAAATTAACTTTAAATAGAGTTTAGCCAGTCGACTCGACTGGGGATGGATCACGCACTCATATAGAACCAAAATAAAATAGCAGTATTTCGTATGGTTAGTGTAGAGTACTGGAGATCTTTTTTTACGAGACATTCCAAATAACTCCTCAGGGGTGACAACGCATCGGCATTTTTATTTTAAATCGTCGATAACTATAAATGTCTATAACCCACAGTATATATTTACCATCAGGTGGACTGTGTTCGTTTTTCACCCTCATCATCATCATCATCATCATTACAGCCCTTCACAAGTCCACTGCTGATCATAGGCCTCCCCCAAGTAATGCCACAAAGCATGGTCCTGAGCCTCCTGCATCCATCGAGTTCCTGCATGTCTTAGCAGGTCGTCACTCCATCTAGTGGGGGTTCGCCCTACACTACGCCTACCGGTACGAGGCTGCCACTCGAGAACCTTTCTTCCCCATCGGTTATCGGTTCTTCGAGCTATACGGCCGGGCCATTGCCACTTCAGCTTACTAATCCGTTGGGCTATATCGGTCACTCTGGTTTTACTGCGGATATCCTCATTTCTGAGTCTATCACGCTTAGAAACTCCGAGCATAGCCCTCTCCATAGCTCGCTGAGCGACCTTGAGCGTCCTCATACGGCCAGCAGTGAAGGACCACGTCTCTGATCCGTAAGTCATCACTGGCAGCACGCACTGGTTGTACACTTTAGTTTTCAGAGATTGAGGTATACCTGACGAGAAGATGTGTCGTAATTTCCCGAACGCTGCCCAGCCGAGTTGATTCCGTCGATTGACCTCTCGGTCGAAGTTGGACTTACCTAGTCGGACTATTTGTCCCAGGTAAACGTACTCGTCAACAACTTCGAGCATAGTGCCCCCCACAACTACCGGCGTAGGTGTGACATGGACATTGAACATAATCTTTGTTTTGTCCATGTTCATCTTAAGACCTATCCGTTGGGAGACACCATTGAGGTCATTGAGCATAGTGCTAAGGTCCTCCAGCGATTCTGCCATAAGGACTATATCGTCGGCAAATTGAAGGTGAGTGATGTACTCGCCATTGATGTTAATACCGTATCCTTTCCAGTCCAGTAGCTTGAAAACGTCTTCCAACGCAGCGGTGAAGAGTTTCGGGGATATAACGTCACCCCGTCTTACACCTCGCTGCAGTTGGATAGGTTTCGAACTCTGGTTCTGTACTCGGATAGCCATCATAGCCCTACTGTACAAACACTTCAGCACTTCGATATACCGACAGTCAACTTGGCACCGCTGAAGGGACTGTAGCACCGCTGAAGGGACTGTAGCACCGCCCAAATTTCGACGGAATCAAAGGCTTTCTCATAGTCCACATACGCCAGGCAAAGTGGCAGATTGTACTCTTCGGTCTTCTGTACAATCTGCAGCAGGGTATGTATGTGGTCTATGGTACTGAAGCCTTTTCGGAAACCGGCTTGTTCGGGAGGCTGGAAGTCGTCGAGTCTGCGTGCGAGACGATTCGTAATGACTCTCGAAAACAGCACGTAGACGCGGCTCAGAAGGGAAACGGTGTAGTTCTTCAAGAGAGCATTGTCGCCTTTCTTAAAGAACAAGACCACCGCACTTCTGCTCCACTCCTCCGGAGTAGTGCCACCATGGAGGACGGAATTGAAGAGCTTCTGAAGGACTTCAAGTACCGGTGTTCCACCCGCTTTCAGAAGCTCCGCTGTAATTCCATCCTCGCCTGGGGCCCTGCCGTTTTTAAGGTGCTGGAGAGCCATTCTAATCTCGCTCAGACTGACGTCCGGGATATCATCGGAATAGTGTCGGATAAGACTTGCTCTTGGATCGTTACTCACACTTGCGTGTGGCTCCAACGATGATGTGTACAGCTGCCCATAGAACCTCTCAATCTCACTCAAAATCTCAGGTGTCCCGGTAACGATGCTGCCACACTCAGTCTTCAGCTTTGACAGTTGGCTCTTTCTGGCAGACAGATCTCTGGCAAAGACTTTGGAGCCCTGGTTCCGCTCGATCGCTTCTTTAATACGAGCAGTATTAAAGTTGCGTAAGTCTTGCCGCATGCATTTGGAGATCTGTCTGTTCAGTTGCCTGTATGCTGTCAAATCTGTTGACGATTGCAGCCTCATCTCCCGTCTAACAGCCATGAGATTAAGAGTGTGATCGGAGAGTTTGTGTTTGTTTTCTTTTGCGGCGGGTCTTGCAGAACTTAGCTCCGATGGCATGGACAGTTTCCACGAGCTTGTCATTGATATCGTCCACTGCATTGCAATCTTCTAGGCACTGAAAGCGGTTACGTAACTAGAGCTGAAAAGTCTCGGGATTCTGGATTAGAGCACGAGGGGGACGGAGCGTTGACTTCATTAGACGAGACCTCTCCAACTTAACGTTTAGGTTCAGTGTGCCTCTTACCATTCGGTGATCGCTGCCGGTTTTCACCCTTGCGATCACTGAGACATCACTGAACAGTTGGCGTCTGGTCGTCATAATGAAGTCAATCTCATTTTTTGTCGAACCGTCGGGGCTCGACCAGGTCCACTTCCTGTGGGCCGCTTCTGGAAGAAAGAGTTCATCATAAAGAGTCCCTCTTTCTCCATAAAGTCAGCCAGCTGCTGGCCCCTACGGTTCCAATGCCCTACTCCAAATTTTCCAACTTCAGCTCACCGCCTTCTCTTGTGCCTAGTTTTGCGTTGAAGTCTTCCATCAACACCGTGTAGTGGGTTTTGGAGGAATGCATGGCTCTAGAGATATCCTCATACATTTTTTCCACCTCCTCATCGGGATGTGCCGAGGTTGGTGCGTAGACCTGTATGACCTTCAGCGAATACCGTTTGGTGAATCTGAGTATCAGATACGCGACCCTCGTCGACACACTCCCAATCTTTACAACGTTGTTGACGAGAGACTTGTGGACGATAAATCCGACACCCCAGGTGATAGAACAAGTTGCCGGACTCGAGGATTACCGTGTCCTCCCCCTCTCTTCGGACCTCAGATAATCCAATAATATGCCAGCGCAACTTGTCTACCTCTTCTTCCAGCTCCAGTATCTTCTCGTCAGTCCTCAGGGTGCGTGCGTTATACGTTGCCAGGTCGAGTCGTCGTAGGTGGCAACCGAACCTCCACCGGAGATTCTTAGCACCCCCTGCCCCGCCGTTACCATGTCGCCACCGTAGCCAGGAATAGCGGGGCCGCCGGGGACTGGGGGCCGTTTTTTTGCGTCGTTATTCATGGAGGGATATTTGCCATAGTTGCCACGCTTGGCGAGCGGGTTGGCAACCGCAGTTTTTTATTATGTCACAGTTGTTATCAGGAAGATGCTGCTGCCCATCTCCTGCCTGTCTCCCTCTGTCGCCTCTTACGACACCCACGGGAAGATATGGGGTAGTGGATATTCTCAACCGCCACTATACGGAAAACCGTCACCCTCATTCTATAAAAAACAACGAAAATTATTTGTAATATATTTTTATATTCATACATATCCGATCATAAAAAATACAGCATAACAACTAAATGATCATTTATCGAACATCTACTTTGGGTGACGGCATACACTTATCAATGAAAATAAGTGTATACCTAAAGTTTGAATGCAGCGAACATATTTTTTTTAAAGATCTATTCTATCGTCTGTATCTATTAATCTATTGTATTCACAAATAAATAAATTTGATTTTGAAAAAAGGTACGTGGACTATGCACTTGTTTTTTTACTTTCATTTTAAAAATTAAATAATCGGGTGGCACCGTATAAGAGGCACACGGCCGTTTGATTAACATGAAACGTCTATAAAAAAAAATATAGCGCCGGTCTCGGTCAATCTGTGCGTTATCCCTTCCCCGCCAACCCCCCGCCCTCCAACTCTGATGCAAAATCAAAGTCGTAACAGCGAACTGACTATATAAGTTAAATAATGACACTACTTAAATCTCTATATGACCACCAGTTTTGTAATTATTAAGGCAAGACGATATAGAACTTTGCGTTACGGTGACTATTGCTAGTGACATAATATATAATGTATTGTAATAGTCAGCTAGTGACACGTGGCAATAGATTCACTGGCGGCAGTCTGACCTGGTACTTGGCGCGGTGCGCCTGCGCCAGCAGCAGCCAGGCGGCGGGCAGCTTCAGCCCGCGCACCAGCTGCAGCTGCTCCCGGGCCGCTCCCTCCTCGTGGCACGGAGCGTTGCGGGACAACACGCCACGGATCAAGTGCCCGCGCCTACACAAAAATAATACTTGCTTTACTGAAGTCTCACCGTTAACTGATACGGTATGATATGGGCTAAACGAGATTATTATTAACGGAAAAGTTTAAATTTGCTCAACCTTTTTGCTAAAAACTGTATTTACAGTAAGGATTTGACACTGAACTATTTCATTTTCCACCAACAGCAGGAAATGTATATTTTTTTATCGAATCGGGTGACAAACGAGTACACAGTCCACAGGCCCATGCACATGTACATTTATCCTAGATTAAGAATCAAAGTTCAGATGCGTTGTCACCCGTGAGTACTAAGATGGAATGCCTCGTTTCCAGTAGAAACGGTCTCCGGTTCTCTACACTCACCATACGAAACATTCTGTATTCTGTGAGAGCGTGGTCCTGCCCCGTTCGTGTCGACCACCAACCAGCAGCGTGGCTCTACCACGTAATAAAAAGGCCGTGTAGTGGCGGTAAAAGAATATTCACTATTCAATAGCTCTTGGACATCTTAAGAGAGAAACTGAAACAAATTATATACGCCACATTGTATTCCTAATAACAACCAGAAAACAAAAAAAAACTGCGGTTGCCAACCTGCCAGCTATGGCAAATATCCTCAACTATCCTATGAAGCAGACCCATTTTACTGGAAACGAGGCATTCCATCTTAGTCCTCAAGGCTGACAACGCATCTTGCATTGTGATTCGTAATCGAGGACAGATGTAGATGTCTATGGGCCGCAGCAACCACTTACCATCAGGTGGACTGTGTGCCCGTTTGTCACCCTATCCCATAAAAAAAATAAAAAAGCAATCCATGTGGGAAGACTATGTTCAACAGTGGACTCTGAATAGGCTGGAATGATCTGGAATGATATGGAATACTGAAGTGGCGGTGGACCGGCCATATAGCTCGTGGAACCGACAAGTGATGAGGAAGAAAGGTTCTCTAATGGCAGCCTCGTTCTGTAAGGCGAAGTGTAGGGTGACCCACGCTAGATGGAGTGACGACCTAGTAAGACATGCAGGAAGTCGATGGACGCAGGTGGCTCAGGACCGTGCTTTGTGGCATTACTTAGGGGAGGCCTATGTTCAGCAGTGGACTTGTGAAGCGATGTAATGATGATGAATTAGGCACGTGTACTCGATAAGAAGTCAGTCCCCACTATCGGCGATGCAGGACATCGTTGCGGCTACCGTTATCACGCCTTAATGTAAATTACGCCCAAAGGACAAATACAAGTAATTCGTACTGTTATATCCAACTCAAGTTAAGTAAAATTGTTGACTCAATTAATTTTATTCAGTATAAAAGCGTCCTAGGCGAAAGTTTATCGACAGAATTGGCGATATATTGAAAACGGGTCAAATTAAGAGTACCCTTAACCGACGAGCATGTATGCGTAGGTGTATGGATGTGAAGGAGGCGAGAGAGGTGTGCCAGGATCGTGCCAAATGGAAGTTTGTGGTTTCTGCCTACATCTCTGCGTGATAGGCGTGAGTGTTTATGTTATTCTCTATGTTTTATATGAAAGCGTAGTTCAGATCCTCGTACCGGTAGGCGAAGTGCAGGTCGGCCCTCTACTATATGGAGTGGCTAGACCGTGATTCATGGTATTTCTTGTTGTCTTTATTTAGCAATGGATTGGTATAGTGATGATCATGATGATGATATTGGTGATGAACTGATACTCACATGCCGGGGTCCTGCAGGTAAGCGAGCGCTTGCACAGCCCTGTGCCAGTGGCCGCGCGCCTCCAGCTGGGCGGCCGCTCCGGTGATGCTCTCTGCGGTGGGCTGGCCCAGCCACGCGCCCACCACGAAACTGCAATGGTAGTGGTGATGCCATTTTACCGCGTGTCTATGGTCTAACTATGCCTACAAACTTCGCAGAAGTCCAAGTAATATGTTGACAAAGTTTTACCGTGTTGTCATTTCATTCATACATTTTTTTAAACATTACCTCTACAGTAGCATTTTCTCCTGTATCAATATAAAAAAGATTTTACTGTGTTTAATTTTAATTTTTTTTATGAGCCCTTAAGAGCACGTAGTCAGTCACGGGGAGGGGGGAGGCCCTTTAAAATATATATATATTTTAATACGAATTTTAAATATTTACGTTAGCTTTACAAGTTGAAGGATTTTTTTGGACTATATATTTTCTCTTGTATCGTGGGGGGTTTACATACACAAATTGCACAAGGACAAATATCCAGCCCCGGAACAATTACGCCATACAAATACTTGTTCCGTGCGGGATTCGAACCGACAGCTCATTGCACTGTAAATCATTGCTAAGCTACTGCGATCTGATGAACAATATGGCAGTCCATAAAATACAAACAAACAAATATTAATTTTTATACGTTAGATTAACGGCAATATAGACACTTCATACCATAGTACCAATAGTTGGTGACGGTGCTTTCTTATTTAGTTCAATCTCTTCTCTGTTGTATGGGAACCAAGTGTTGGCTAGAGAAGTTGGGGAGCAAATAGTGGATATTGCGGTGTTTATTTACAATATGACACAAGGGTATAATTTGGCCCCCATTCTTTTCTTGGTTCTTTTGTGAGTTCATACATTAGTTCGTTTGCGGACCGTGGACCCGTCAGAAACAAACAGAAACGATATTATTCAATATAGATTACAAATATTAATTATTGAAAGTCACTTTTTAATTATCACTGGATCGAAAAAAGCCTCTGTCCTGGGAAGAAGCAGCAAAAACCCAGCGGGACTTTAAAAATATAATAGATTACAATTAACAACACAAAACAAATTAGAAATAGCTTGGCAGCCAATCACCTTTCCCAGGAGTTTTTACCATCCATAAATTCCTTTATAATAATCCTTTTTATAAAAACTTAGTTTAATAAAATTTTTGTACTTTGTGCACGTCAAATTTTGTATTCTCGTTTATTTATTAGTTCGATAGTTTGTCTGATTAACTGACGAACTAAAATGTTTTGATCCACGTTTGTGTTTTTCTAGATTTTGGCGCCATTAAAAAGTACAAATAAAACATGATAATTTTTTTATTTGGCACCCAGGTTTAGTGTAGCCATCGCGACAGTATATATTAGTGTTAATCGTAATTGTTAAGTGAGTAATACAATTAAAGTCATAAGTAAGAACAACTCGTCCCCTTTCATTAAGCAACTTCCAACATTACTCAGGGTTGAACAGCAGAGAATGTCACATGGCATTATCCCCTATATACCCTTAAGTTTAAGTTGTTACATTTAGTCTTTTAAAATAATAATAATAATAAGCACCGTAACCAACAACTATCGGAGATACATCCTAAAGGATGGCACCGTCGACATCTGTCGAGTTTGTCGCCATCCCGGTGAGTTACTTAGGCATGTCATCTCCGGCTGTTCTGCGCTTTCTAACTCTGAGTACTTGCACAAGCACAACCTAGTAGCCAGAATTCTTCACCAGGAGCTCGCTTTGAAATACGGTCTCGTGGATCGGAAATTGCCGTATTACAAGTACTTGCCGGAAGCCGTGCTCGAAAATGACCGCGCCAGGCTCTACTGGGACCGGGCCATCATCACAGACAGGACTATTCTTGAGAATAAGCCTGATATTGTGCTGATGGACCGGGCACAGTCAAGGATATTTTTGGTCGACATTACCATTCCATATGACGAGAACCTCGTGAAAGCCGAAACAGATAAGCAAACAAAATATCTGGACCTGGCTCCCGAGGCGACCGACATGTGAGGTGGTCTGTCGACCGAAATTATTCCTGTAGTCGTGTCTGCGAACGGGCTAATCCCGGTCAGCCTCTCGGGCCATCTGAGGCGACTAGGACTCCGTGGCGGACCGCTCCAGGCTCAAATGCAGAAGGCGGTGCTCCTCGATACCGCCCGCATCGTCCGCCGGTTTCTTTCCCTTTCCCCCTAACCCTCGGCCGTCTGGTCTCCCCTGCCGAGGGCCTCCATCTGGTTGGGCTTTTATTTATATATGTATTTTTATATTTATTTTATGTTATTGATATTTATGTATATTTAACTTTTCATTTCCATTTATAATTATATATTTATAGAACCCAACCAGATGAGAAAACTATATTGATACCCTCCATAATAATAATGTCCTCCAGACCTAATTTCGCCCACGGTGGCCTGTCTCAAAGGAGGCTAGATTATATATAGTACCAAAGTGTATGCGCAAGCACAGGTGCACTCTCTACTGCCTCACTCTCATAACCCAATGGAACGGTATACCGACACGATCGGAGAGAGATCAGGCGCAGAACCAACGGCTTTAAGTGCTTTCCGAGGCACGGGCGTGAGACACCGCCAACTTCCTGACTCCGGGCAGCTACTGAGAATTCCTTGACGGAAAACCTCAATAGTTATTTTTGGCCCGACCCGGGATTCGAACCCAGGACCTCATGATCAGCAGTCGCACTACTACAACCACTAGACCATCACGGCAGTCAATCTTTTTCATAAATCTTTTTAAATAACAAATATACAAATACCATTAGGTGAGTAGTGTGCCAGTTTGTCATTTTTATTCTATAAAATATAAATAAACACAGTAAGTATTGGAGGCTGGGTCCAGTGGTGCAGTGGTCCAGGGTAGGTGACGTACGTGAGACTGTAGTCGAGGGGGTCCGCAGTGTGAGCTGCAGGCTGCAGGCGCGCCCTGCAGTTCAGAGCTCGGGCGCGCAGCAGCTCGTAGCGCAGGTCTAGAACACGTCGGCGCTTGCTCTCCTGACAGAAAAATTACAAAGTAAAGTTACAGTCTATACACGTCCCACTGCTGGGCACAGGCCTCTCCTCATTTCTGAGAGGGATATAGGGCAAGGAAGTGCCCGCCGCGCTGCCCCAGTGCCTGTTGGCGAACTTCACATGTTTACGAAAATATTTTTTTTCTATTTCTTCACTCTGGATATGTATAGACTTGAACTTTAATTAATAGAATTGCTAGTATTTTTTTAAATAAAATTATTTTATAATATTGTTACCAAGTTTTACAATACAATACTCATTATTGTACACCAACGAAACATAAATATAACAAATAATGAACAAACAATGAGGTAAAGACAAAAGGCGGTCTTATTGCTACATAGCAATCTCTTCCAGACAACCCAGAGTAGAGAATAATTAATAAAAATAAAAATAGGATTAACAGGTAGAATGCATTAAACAAAATTACAAACTTATATACTAAAATGACAACATACTTAAGGTAGATTAATGATCTCGAATAAATCTAAGAGGAGGAAGAGAGAGGAGTTAAAGAGACAAATAGTGTTCCTTGATCTGTTTCTTGAACACATTTAAAGATTGAGCACTTTTAATGGACTGGGGTAAGGAGTTCCAGAGTCTTACTCCAAGAACAGCAAAAGATTTATCATAAAATGTCGAGGAGTGTACAGGACATTGGAGCGTTTTAAAATTATATTACATTTCATTCTACATATTATACAAACTCAAAGTATTCAATTTCATCATCCGTTACAGCCTATTAAAATTCACTACTAAACTTAGGCCTCCCCCATCGAGAGCCTCATAGGGGTGATATTTGCCATAGTGGCAACGTTACTATTGATTTAATAATTTCACCTCTCAGTGGGTCATGTGCTTCTCTGGTAGATTATCTTCTACATAGTTGTAACGTTTACTGCTGATTAAATAATTTCACCTCTCAGTGGGTCATGTGCTCATGGTAGATTATCTTCTACATAGTTGTAATGTTGCTGTTGATTTTACAATTTCACCTCTCAGTGGGTCATGTGCTCCTGGTAGATTATATTCTACATAGTTGTAATGTTGCTGTTGATTTAACAATTTCACCTCTCAGTGGGTCATGTGCTCCTGGTAGATTATCTTCTACATAGTTGTAATGTTGCTGTTGATTTTACAATTTCATCTCTCAGTGAGTCATGTGCTCCTGGTAGATTATCTTCTAAATAGTTGTAATGTTGCTGTTGATTTAATAATTTCACCTCTCAGTGGGTCATGTGCTCCTGGTAGATTATCTTCTACATAGTTGTAATGTTACTACTGTTGATTTAATAATTTCACCTCTCAGTGGGTCATGTGCTCCTGGTAGATTATCTTCTACATAGTTGTAATGTTGCTGTTGATTTTACAATTTCACCTCTCAGTGGGTCATGTGCTCCTGATAGATTATCTTCTACATAGTTGTAATGTTACTGTTGATTTAATAATTTCACCTCTCAGTGGGTCATGTGCTCTTGGTAGATTATCTTCTACATAGTTGTAATGTTACTGTTGATATAATAATTTCACCTCTCAGTGGGTCATGTGCTCCTGGTAGATTATCTTCTAGATAGTTGTTTTTTTCCTGTTTATTTTACAATTTCACTTCTCAGTGAGTCATGTGCTCCTGGTAGATTATCTTCTACATAGTTGTAATGTTGCTGTTGATTTTACAATTTCACCTCTCAGTGAGTCATGTGCTCCTGGTAGATTATATTCTACATAGTTGTAATGTTAATGTTGATATAATAATTTCACCTCTCAGTGGGTCATGTGCTCCTGGTAGATTATCTTCTACATAGTTGTAATGTTGCTGTTGATTTTACAATTTCACCTCTCAGTGGGTCATGTGCTCCCGATAGATTATCTTCTACATAGTTGTAATGAATGTTACTGCTGTTGATTTAACAATTTCACCTCTCAGTGGGTCATGTGCTCCTGGTAGATTATCTTCTACATAGTTGTAATGTTGCTGTTGATTTTACAATTTCACCTCTCAGTGGGTCATGTGCTCCTGGTAGATTATCTTCTACATAGTTGTAATGTTGCTTTTGATTTTACAATTTCACCTCTCAGTGGGTCATGTGCTCCTGGTAGATTATATTCTACATAGTTGTAATGTTACTGTTGATTTAATAATTTCACCTCTCAGTGGGTCATGTGCTCCTGGTAGATTATCTTCTACATAGTTGTAATGTCTACTGTTGATTTAACAATTTCACCTCTCAGTGGGTCATGTGCTCCTGGTAGATTATCTTCTACATAGTTCTAATGTTGCTGTTGATTTTACAATTTCACATCTCAGTGGGTCATGTGCTCCTGGTAGATTATATTCTACATAGTTGTAATGTTGCTGTTTATTTTACAATTTCACCTCTCAGTGGGTCATGTGCTCCTGGTAGATTATCTTCTACATAGTTGTAATGTTACTGTTGATTTAATAATTTCACCTCTCAGTGGGTCATGTGCTCCTGGTAGATTATCTTCTACATAGTTGTAATGTTGCTGTTGATTTAATAATTTCACCTCTCAGTGGGTCATGTGCTCCTGGTAGATTATCTTCTACATAGTTGTAATGTTACTACTGTTGATTTAACAATTTCACCTCTCAGTGGGTCATGTGCTCCCGGTAGATTATCTTCTACATAGTTGTAATGTTGCTGTTGATTTAACAATTTCACCTCTCAGTGGGTCATGTGCTCCTGGTAGATTATTTTCTACATAGTTGTAATGTTGCTGTTGATTTTACAATTTCACCTCTCAGTGGGTCATGTGCTCCTGGTAGATTATATTCTACATAGTTGTAATGTTGCTGTTGATTTAACAATTTCACCTCTCAGTGGGTCATGTGCTCCTGGTAGATTATCTTCTACATAGTTGTAATGTTGCTGTTGATTTAACAATTTCACCTCTCAGTGGGTCATGTGCTCCCGGTAGATTATCTTCTACATAGTTGTAATGTTGCTGTTGATTTAACAATTTCACCTCTCAGTGGGTCATGTGCTCCTGGTAGATTATCTTCTATACATCCATCCATTACAGCCTAGTCCACTGCAAAACATAAGCCTCCCCCATAGATCGCCTAATAAGGGGTGATATGTTCCAAAGTTACCAGACTTGGCAAGCGGGTTGGCAACAGCAGTTTTTTTTTATTATTAAAATGATGCTGTCCATCTCCTGATTCACTTTTTTTATAGGACCTGATGGTAAGTGTTGCGTCTTGATTCTTAATCAAGGATAAATGTAGATGTCTATGGGCCACAGCATTTACTTACCATCAGGTGGACTATGTGCTCGTTTGTCACCCTTATTCGATAAAAACAGCCAGGAATAATAAGTGAACAAAATGGACGAATGATTAGAAGAGCGAGAAGGAGAATGAGAAAGGAAGGAAAATATATAGAAATAGGTTACCCCTGTGACGTTGTACTCATACTGCTCAAAGTAAGGTGGCAAGGGTAGTCGCATCCCCATATCGTCTTCAGGCACGGTGGTGAGGTCTAGTTCACCGTCCTCACCATCGCGACCTTTACCGTCCGGGTTGGTCAAATCTGTCCGGAAATAGCTCTCGTACGTACGGACGATCTGTTCCAGGCTGGGCACTTGCGGGCACAGGTACCTGGAAAGGTTTAACGATTTACTAATTAAAAAAGATTAGGGCTACCAACAAATAATCTTAAAATGTTAAATACTAGATTATATAAATCAAAATTACAGGAATAGCTAAAAAAATAGTTTCTATAGCATTATAGACTTTATTCATCATAAGTCTCAATGTACAACAAGTGATAAAATTTAAAATTTTGTACAACCGACTGCAATATAAATAAAATGAGAACATCATCAATGTATTCAGTCAATTAAACACGCATTATTAAGGATAATTCAAAAACTACTGGTCAGATCTTGATCAAATTTATATGGGACCACACGAGAGGCACCACTATCTTCCTCCTATAGCTTTCAAATAAGAAAAATCATTATCGAAATCAGTTCACCTAAAAACAAGTTCTGAGGTAACACTGCCTGTGGATCACTGCTCGCTCCTTTAATATTGTTTAAATGATGTTTTTTTTTATATATTTTGATAAGTAAAGTTGTGCGATTTCGTGTGCGCGTGTGCACTATTAATGAAACGATGAAACAAGTGATCCGATGGTTATGTGAATCTCAAGAAATTGTGTCTGCTTTGTGGCCTTAAAGAACTGTCGTCATCAACTGTCTGCTGGCACACGCGTCAATATTACCCAACAACTTTATGAATGTGACGTATCAACGTATTGTGAAAAACTTTTTAAACAAATTATTATGAACAATAATTTTCTATTCCTTGACACTGGCAAAAGGACAACCGTATGAGTCCATTACTAAAAAAAAAAGAGAGTTAGTGTGTCGTGAACACGGCCATGTGTTGTACGTGAGTACGTGTACACAATAACAATTAATCAACCTGTGATGTCACGAAACGACCTAAAATGCGGGGTTTTGGCGGGAACTTGACCGTCGACGTGTTGTTGTTCATGTTTTATGGTTTAAATAATAGTTTAAAGTGGATTTAAATACGTAAAAGTGATAGAAAACGACGAAACAAGTGCTTCGGTATTAATATAAATCTTAAGTGACTGTCCTCATCGACTGTCCACTTGATTCAGCTATCGCCAAATCCAAAAAAACTTCGAAGAAAAAATGTATAAGAATCAACATACTGAATGAGATGGAAATATGGCTTAAAAGATAAGAATCCAAGCCAAAAATATTAATCTAAACTTGACGGCGCTCTCCGACGAGTGATAGTGTAAATTTTGGATGTAGATGATAGCATATGTAGTTGCAACACCAAACTCTATCTCTCGATTTTGTATCATCAGCTTTTTAATCAATTCCCACTATGAAAACATAGTCAAGGACGTATTCCCGTCAAATAGAAGAGCAGCAAATTCCCTTCCGGTGGTAGTTACCTGGCGGTCGCGTGGAGCGCTCTGAGCCAGTCCAGTTGTTCCAACTCTGCGCGGGGGCGAAGCCCTGCAATAAGCTGTAGCGCAGCTAATCGGGGCTTCGCCACCAGCTCGTGCGCCCCGCACTCCTGCCACAGGTGCAGCTGCTTCGCCACCAGCGACCGGAATGCGGGATCACCTGCAAAACAATCATCATTTTTACGAAAAAATTTTGTGAAACTTAATTTATAATTGGTAGCTTCACTATAGGTTTATATATGGTATTACTTTTAAGGTGATACCTCGAAAATTTAGTGGTTTTTCTATTTCATATATTTCTTTAAGTTTTATAGATCACAAACCAAAATTTTGGTATACGATTTTTAAGTATATGACCTTGGATTGCATAAAAGGAAAACACGATATCATGTAATTTTCCCGATAGAAAAAATTGCAAAGTAGGCTCTAATTATTTACATTTCTCCATGACACCACAATATTCTAACGAACAAGTTCATGGAATTATTTTTAAGGTATATTAAATAATCATATCTAAGTGGTTCTCGTAAACTATTTTTATTCCATAACAAAGTTTTGTTAAAAAAAACGTTGTTTGGCGCTTACTTAGTTTTTTTCCGAGCGTGTGCTCGGTATGGCTATCTCATAATTTGCGTACTATGAAGTCATTGTATCACTTTCATTTTGACACTCCCTGAGTTGTCCGTGAGCTTCGCCGACAAAGGAATAAGCCACGCCTCCAAAACTACGATTCATTTTCAAAGTATCCTCTTAACTGCTTAGTACATAATGCATACATAAACACTCACGCCTGTCACCCAGAGGGGTAGGCAGAGTCTACAGACTTCCATTTAGCACGATCTTGACATACCTCCCTCGCCTCTTCCACATCCATACACCTACGCAAACATGCTCATCGGTTAAGGGTACTCTTAATTTGGGCCATTTTTAGTATATCGCCAATTTGGTCGACAATCTTCCGCCTAGGACGTCCCTTTCCGACTCTTCCATTCACTTCTGCAACATATATTTGCTTTGTCAGTCTTTCCGCATTCATTCTTTCTACATGACCAAACCACCGAAGCATTCCTTTCTTAATCCTGGTCACTGCATCATCTTGCAAACCACACTCTTCTTTTATCACACAGTTTCTCACCCTGTCACTCAGATTCAGCCCTAACATACTCCTTATCGACCGCATTTCTACTGCATTTATTCTACTCTCGTGCTTCTTCTGTCACACCCAACTTTCACTACCATATGTTAAAGTAGGGACCAATACACAGCATTGTGAATTGCCATACATGCCTTTTTTGACACATTCTGACTTTTCACAATAGAGTGTAGAGCTCCATTTACTTTATTTCCTGCATTACATAATGTTTAATTATAAATACCATTTGGTTATTTTTTTTCTTTTTTATTTTTAAAATTTATATAAATATTATTATGGTGGTCGAACTCATACTATTATGCATTAGATATCTGTGGCAACTTCATCGGTTTTAAGATTACTTTTATATTTTATAAAGTGTAATTTCTTTATGATAATGTCCGTTAAAAGAAAGCACCCGAAAGTCTGTCCATACTTTACTACTGTTTCCTATATTGTCATATCTTCCAATCACTAGAAATATATTTTTCTTCTGTTTACCGTGTAGCTGCGGTGTGAGAATATTTGTTAGGCAAGTTAATTATTTTTAATCCTTTGAGTGGACTAAAAAATATCACAATTTCAATGTCGTCTAAATACATAAACACTTCCATGTTATTTAATTTTTGTATTATTTTATTTATTTAAAAATTTGTATAAAAGTACGCATTTACATATTAATTATTCTTTATCACATATTAGATATTAAGTGTGCATATTTTACCAACTATATTCTATTTATTTGAATTTTATTGTATTGAAGTGTTAATACAATAAAGTCAATTGTTCACACCTGCCAAAGTTTTTTTTATAGGATAAGGCGACAAACGAGCACACAGTCCACCTGATGGTAACTGGTTGCTGCGGTCCATACACATCTACATTTATCCTTGATTACGAATTAAAATGCAGATGCGTCATCCGTCATCCATGAAGACTATGATGGAATGCCTCGTTTCCAGTAAAAAGGGTCTCCGGTTCTCTACACTTACCATACGAAACACAGCAGCATTAAAATGATATTTCACGCTGGTATTCAGTGAGATCATGGTCCTTCCCCAGTCAAGCCGAGCCATTCATGCTACAACCATAATATCGCTGCAGCGTTGCTCTACCACGTATAATTTCCCGCTGTCTAAAGACACTCGGGACGATATGGGGTAGAGGATATTCTTACACAACCAGTAAACGGTGAAAAAACATTACATTGCTTAGTACAAAATGTAATAGCCAACATGTCCAACACTCACTGGCTGCCTGGGCCAACAGTGTGGCCATGTGCAGATCTCCATTCTCCCGGGCCACTTTGCAGGCTTCCAACACGCGGCCCCCCAGCAACAGCGTCCACACTCTGCAGCTGTGGCCATCGGACTCTGTCAACAAAATTTAATATCAATCAAACTAAAAATAGAGTTCATTTTCAATTCTTTTATATTGAAAACTATATATTATTAGCTTGTCAAGCAGACGTTGTTCTACCCTTTTCGACGACCATTTGTCTGTCCTATTAAAAATCCGTAAATTCGCAAAAAAAAAAATTGTGGGTCACTCATGGGAAAAAAAACTATCCTATCTCTCAAGTTGGACCAAACTGCACACGGTGTGCAAATTTGATTAAAATAGGTTAAGTAGTTTAGGAGTCCATCGCGGACAAACAACGTGAAAAATAATTTATATGTATAAAATTTAAAATATGACATACTAGGTGTTTATTACGGAATTGGAATTTCTTACGATTGAGTTTTATGGGTTTTCATTTTTTTTGCGCGAGACCCTAAAACTTTGTTTAAATTAAACGTAGCCCCAGTTACTCGTTATAACATCATCTATTTGGCGGAGAAAGTCCCGTGAAAATAGGTCCAGCCATATCGGAGATAAGCCGGAACTAGATACAGACAAAAATTTTATAATTTTTTTAAGTTTTTTAATAAACGTTACCTACACACTAGGATATTCTTTGTATCGTGGGGGCAGTTTACATAGATAAATTTCACAAGGACAAACATCCAGATCCGGAACAATTATTTGTAGGCCATATACATACTTGTTCCGTGCGCGATACGAACCTGTAGCTCTTAGCGTTGTAACTCATTGCTAAGTTACTACGTCATGGATCATTTTTTTGTTATAATTACCGTAAATACTTTCATATGTAGTTAATTATGAAAGCTGTTACTTTGACATTACAAACAGACTTTTCAATTTTATTTGTTTGCATAGATGGTATAGTAGGTACCATGGAGGTTAGAGAACAGGAGAACGATCGCCGTAGAAAATAGTGTCCCAGAAATATGGACACCGTAAGTGAGGCGCTGCGATCGCTAAGTTCGGTCAATAAAAGTCATTTTCCGTCTATTTTTCAGATCAGATGCTAAACCACTTGCATATCCACGCACAATACAATATTTCTTTATTTCTTAATGTTTCTTTTTGTCAAAAATTTAAAAATTACGGAGCACGAAAATTTTCTCACCAATGCCGCGAAGAAAATTTGTACATTATTCAGCTAACTTCACCTACTTGTACTCATAACTTCGCAGTCACTACTCACCGACGGCAGCGCTGTTATACATTCTACAATTGTCAAGGACAGGCGGGCTATGATTTAGTACGTATTGATCGTTCTCCTGTTATCTAACCTTCATGGTAGATACGCTCGACTAACATCGCGGTCTTTCCCCTCTATTACATTCCATATGTGCGCGAAACAGGTATGGAACTTCTGATATATACATTAAGAGTTAGAGCCACGCTGCAGCTATAATATAGTTGTTGCATTAATGGGTCGGTCGACCGGGGGGAAGGACCACGCTCTAATAGAATACCAATGTATAAAATAGCAGCTCAACGCTGCTGTGTTCCGTATGGTGAGTGTAGAGAACCGGAGACCCTTTTTACTGGAAACGAGGCATTCCATCTTAGTCCTCACGGGTGACAATGCATCTGCATTTTGATTCGTAATCGAGGACAGATGTAGGTGTGTATGGGCCACAGCAACCCCTTACCATTAGGTGGACTGTGTGCTCGTTTGTCACCTAATGCTATAAAATAAATACATGTGTACATACTCATAGTAGGTGGATATAGTATATACATACATGCATCCACACACACTCACGCCTGTCACCCAGAGGGGTAAGCAGATACTACATACTTCCATTTGGCACGATCCTGACACACCTCTCTCGCCTCCTCCACATCCACATACCTACGCATGCATGCTCGTCGGTTAAGGGTACTCCTAATTTGGCCCATTTTCAATATATTGTCCATTTGGTCGACAAACTTTCGCCTAGGACGTCCCTTACCGAGTCTGCCATTCACTTCTGCAACATAAATTTTCTTCGTCACTCTTTCCTCATTCATTCTTTCCACATGACCAAACCACCGAAGCATTCCTTTCTTAATCCTGGTCACAACATCATCTTGCAAATCACACTCTTCTCTTATCACACAATTTCTTCGTCCTGTCACTGAGATTCAGCCCTAACATACTCTTTCTTTATATTTAAAAATTACGTGTCACGTTGTTTGTCAACGATGAGCTCCCTAAACTACTGAATTAATTTCAATGAAATTTTGTAAATGTGTATTGCTTGCTCCAACTTGAGAGATAGCATAGTTTTTATCACGATATTTCCCTCAATATTTTTTGATTACGAATTAAAGGATTTTATAGGGCAAAGCTTCGACCAATAATATACTACTAGATTCCAGATAAGCGCTTCAAAAACGGCCCGAAAAATAAGTAAGTAACACAAATAATTAATTGTGGTCTTATTTCAAATTAGTATGGTCCAATCATAGCCATTTTAATGAACATTGAAATGTAATACCAAGAATAAAATAGAGTAAGCACGCAATTGTTAACATAATATTTTTAACCTTATCACTTAGACTTTAAGTTTCATTTTAGAAAAAATATTTGTGTACTTATGACTTTTTATATTCAAGCGGTATCTTCGTCGGATGCCATAACTTAAATAAACATATTTTGCAATGGTATTTAAACCTTATGATATTTATATAATAAACTGAAGTTGTTAATATTTTTAATCTTTTTTCTATATTTCACAGTAAGAAATATAGATGTTTACGTGTGTGCAAACGTGGCCACTTGAGCGACTTAGTTTTGTTCCTGATCCTTAACCTAGTATAATCATTGATCGAAGGAGCAAAGCGTAGAACAATGTCTGTCAAACCTGCGCTAGTTTTAATATAAATTCACAAACACAACAACTCTTTATTTAAAACACATTGAAAATGAATGTGAACAAGGAATGATGAAGCTCACCATCAATAGAGTCAGCGGTAGCGGGCATCTTGAGGTCGTGCTGGGTGACGTCGGCCACGGCGTCCTGCAGCCAGCCCAGAAGCCGCCGGTGTCTATGCACGATTGATTGCAAGTCCTGTCCGGGAATACCTGGAAAAATACAATATAATATAAAATAAATTAGCACTGTCAACCCTGGAGCCCTGGGGTAAAATAATTTATACGTGGTAGTTACACTGCAATAGTCGCAGCACGAATGGGTCGGCTCCACCGGAGAAGTGTTTCGTATGATGAGTATTGCGATTTGAAGACTTTTATACTGGAAACGAGCATAGTAATAACTGCAGCATAGCTCTACCACGTATAATGGATCTACTACAATATTTTATGGACACACCCTCACAAAATACCAGCGTAAAATAGCAGCTTAACGTTGCTGTGTTTCGCAAGGTGAGTGCAGAGAACCGGATGGCCTTTTTACTGGAAACGAGGCATTCCATCTTAGTCCTCAAGAGTGACAACGCAACTGCGTTTTAGGACAGATGTAAATGTCTATGGGCCACAGGAACCACTTACCATCAGGTGGACTGTGTGCTCGTTTGTTACCCTTATTCTATAAAAAAAAAGATATAAGACTCACCATCGTTGTCCAGGTCCGCACCCCATAAAGCATCGCAAAGCTTCCACACTTGCAGACTGTAGGTGTCGGTCACGTCCGACTGGAAAGCAAGGAACGGAGTCATTGTTCACTCAAGCAAGTGATACTAGAGGGCGAGATGAAAAGCTCGTTGACGAGGGATGAGGGGGGGGGGGTTCGTGTGAAAAGGCTTAACATTAATAGATGTAAACAGATAGTAGTGATGCAACGGAAGTGTCATATCGGAAGCAGAAACGGAAACAGATGTTAAAAATATTTTTTTTGCAGTAACGGAAACAGAAACGGATACGGAAACGGAAATAATACTTATTTAAAAGAATTACAAATAAAACTTCTTCTTTTTCAAAATTAAGTAGCGGTAACGCTGTAAATTTCACAGTACGCGAGCAAACCGGGTTCAATCCCTGCCGGCACCCATGAAATTGTTAATTGCAATTTTGAGTGCCGATATTTACCAAGTGCTCGGCGGTGAAGGAAAACATCGTGAGGAAACCTGTATGCTGCGAAATAAGAAAATTTTTTTCTAAGATATGTGAATTTCGCCAACACGCATTGGGGCAGCGCGGCGGACACTTCCTTGCCCTAAAACCCTCTCAGAAATGGGGGGAGGCCTGTGCCCAGCAGTGGAACTTTTACACCTAACAATATCTTCCAGTGTTCTTCATATGTAAGTCCAGCTCCGAAAAATAATAATTATTGCTATAGCAATTATTGCTCACGGGCAATGCTGCGTACCTCCTATACACCAAAGCTAACTGAAATTTGGGTAAACCCTTTAAAGAGCCACATTTAGGTTTAGCGAGTAGGTAATTTAGTAAAGCCCTAACACGAAAGTACGACGTAAATAAACTTTGAATCCTAAATACTCAATAAAGTTTCATAAAAATAATTATTTCTTACCGTGACCATGGGTGCTAGAAAGCACCCTAAACGTCGGGTATTAAAAATAACATAAATAAACGCGATAAAATCCGTAAAATTAGTTTTAATCAATAAAAATAATTAATTTATACTTCAAGTAAAAAATAAATAATATAAACTTCACGCCAACGTAACTGCTACCTAATAAATTTGCAAATCTGTTTTATAACTTAGGCATTTATAACTATTTTAACTGGAGAAAACACGTATTAACTAAAATTTAGTTTTAACTATAACATAATATACAAAATGTTAGTGTAAACACCGTTATCCTTGAAACCAGTGGTTTGGTTTCACTTATAGAACGTAAATTCAATGAAAAATAACAACATTTTTTAGTAAAATCTCAATTTTTCCTTAATTCCTCAATTTTTTGCCTGTCCTAAGCCAGGATGAAAGTATGAAGGAAAAGTTACATCACAGGTTATGTGTACCTATTGTGTTTTTATTGGAATGTTGTGTAGGTACCTAGCGCGGGCGGTGATCTTTACAGTGATTACTCGGGCGAATAGGGTATCCATGAATTTCCGGACGGTGTCGGACAGAAACTTTTTAAATTTTATGAAAGAAAATAGCGTTTTTTTAATTCATTGAATTTACGTTCTATAAGTGAAACTAAACCACTGGTTTCAAGGATAACGCTGTTTACACTAATACCATGTATATAAAAATACATTTTATAAATAAATAGGTATGCAATTCCTTGACTGACCATTTGTTTTTTAGTTTGCGAAGAAAGTTTTACAGTTTCAACTAATTTCTTAAACTCGGCAAACTCTTCGGCGTTTAAGATGGCTCTTTAAAGCGGTAAAGCGGTAGTTGTAAAGCCTCTTCCCGAGTATATTTTGTCACATAATTTACATCTGGCTGCTTAATCATCAATCTCAAAATAATAGTTCCAAACAGGACTTGTTTTTGGTTGGATTAAATTACACACACGATTTAAATTTCTAATTAACTAAAAACACAATAAATCTCGTCGCTGAGTTCCGTTCAAAGTTCCGTTATAAAACTTGCGGAAACAGAAGCAGAAACGGATGTTAAAAACCATGCGGAACTTCCGCAGTTGCGGAAACGGAAACAGAGTTCTGTTGCATCACTAACAGATAGAGATCGATAGTTTTCCGAGATAATTATACTAGTTTTGTAAAGACCGCTGTTAAAGATGTGCAGGTTATTTTGCTCGGACGTCGCGGGTAAACGCTGATTATAGATCATTCGTATCAAGAAAAGAGTACAAATATTAAATAATACTAAAGTCAAGTTTTACCTCAAATTATGAAAACGAGAATATACAACCAGTCCCTCATTGCTGGCCGTATGAAGCTCAAGGTCGCTCAGCGAGCTATGGAGAGGGCTGTGCTCGGAGTTTATTTGCGCGATAAATTAGAAATGAGGAACCAGAGTGACCGACATAGCTCAACGGATTAGTAAGCTGAAGTGGCAATGGGCTGGCCATATAGCTCGAAGAACCGATAACCGATGGAGAAAAATCTAATAATTTGTCTTCAAGAAATTCCCTTACCGAATAATATGATTTTTCTAAAATTAAAATAAAAAACATTGGTGATAAGTACATTCTATTTTAGTTCCTAATTTATTTTGTGTTATGTTACCTTTAATTCATATTTGGAACTTTATTAACCGAGTAGTGGTGACGTAAAAGAATATCCACTACCTCATATCGTCCCGTGGGAGTGTTGGAAGCGACAGAGGGTAACAAATCAGGAAACGAGTACCAGAGTCGTAATAACGACTAAAAACAACTAACAAGCGTGGCAACTATGGCAAAATCCCTTCTATGAGGCAATCCCTCAGGGAGGCCTATGTTCAGCTGTGGACTTTTATAGGCTGTATGAATGGATATGGATGGATGTTTAGACCTAAAGCAACTTTTTGAGTTCGCGGTTCAGATTCTGCCATCAAGCTACTGTCGCTTAACCAAATACTCTACTAGGTTATGGCTCACCTGTGCATGCTGTAGCAGCTGCTGCAGCAGCGCTCGCCTCTGCTTGGGCTCCTGTGACAGCTGCAGGCGTGGACACGGTTCCTCCTGCACCAGCTGCGAGAACTGCAGCAAGCTCTCCAGCTGCAGCGCCAACGTATCCTGCACAAATGTTTAATTGTACAATCTAACCTTCACTTTACCTGATAGTGCCCACGCTGCAGCTATATTATAGTTGTAGCACGAATGGGTCGGCTCGACCGGGGAAGGACCACGCTCTCACAGAATACCAGCGTGAAATAGCAGCTTAATACTGCTGTGTTTTATTTGGTGAGTGTAGAGATCCGGAGACACTTTACCGGAAATGAGTCATTCCATTTAAGTCCTCAGAGGTGACAATGCATTTTGATTTTGACTCTTAATAGAGGATTTTTTTTAAATATTTATTTAATATAAGAAAAAAAAAACAATATCACAATCAATCACAAAAATCATCACAAAATTCACAACACAACAAAAATCCTTACGGTTTTGTGTGGAATTGAGACACTCTTGAACAATCTGTTAACATTAATTAACATATTATTTTTTAATAAGAACATCAAATACAATTTTTGCAATTGTGGGTACATTGTTTACACAGAAGAGTTTCAGGAGGCGCAGGCGGTCGACTCACTGATGCTACTTCAGTGTGTTATAGGCTGTGTTCCGACATACACTGTGACCACTGTAAGGTGTAACGTCAATTCAGTATACTGTGAAGCCGTTCCTTTTAGCTTGCCATACTGGTTACTGTTTAAAACGAAACAGTCCAGTATACTGTCATCTCCATTTTTCTACACTGTTTTCAAATTGAAATATTTATGTGTGTTGTGCTTTAACAAATGGGACTTAGTACTCCGAAGAAGGTTGCTTAGAGAACACACAGATTTTTAGCTATTTACTATCCTCGAGATGACAACACTAAAATGAGCAAAATAATATAATCAATGTAAATATGTATGAATGATGTGTCTTTTTGAAGAGACTCTTTTGGAGAGCTGTGGTAGCTTTGATGGTCAACGCTCGTTGTAAATTCCTCAGTACGCGAGCAATCCGGGTTCGATTCCTGCTGGTATCAATTAAATCGTTAATTGCAATTTTAAGTGCTGATTTACCATACGCTTGGCAGTGAAGAAAAACATCGTGAGAAAACCTGCACGTGTGAGAAATAAGAAAAAAAATATTTAGAAGACAAGTGAAGTTCGTCAACATGCATTGAGGCAGCGCAGTGGATACTCCCTTGGCTTAAAACCCTCTCAGATTTGAGAGGCCTGAGTTCAATAGTGGGATGTGTGTAGGTTGTAACATGATACGTCCTGTCAGCTCCACGACTGCATGTTGGGTTCAATTTATTAAATTGAGTGAAGAATGCATGTGATCGCGCACCTTCTCGGAGGTGGAGTGGCCGATGGCCAGGCGCGCCACCACGGGCTCGCTCCAGTCGTCGGCCCCGCGCCCACGCACGTACCGGCCCAGCTCGCTCAGCTCTGCCGCTGGAACAGTTTTAAACCTATGTCAAACACTTAATACTCTGTGCTAAAACAACGCTGTGCTTTTGCCATGCTTAAAGTTTACAGAGAACGAGTTCAGAAAGCTAATATAAATATATACTAACTAAACTGTAAACTGTTATATTTATAAAAAAAAGTCTGACGGGGTTTCCTGCTGTTTCTTCCCAGGACAGAGGTATTTTCTGAACCAGTGATAAATAAACCATAAGAGCGACTTTCAAGAATTGGTATTTGTGACATGTATTGAATTAAAAAAGTCTATTTATTTATTTTTTATTATATTGTTACGAGCTTGGGGTCCGTGACAATAAAAACTGCCGATGGAATTATCAAAATTGACACTTTAAATTACCGACACCAGTTAAAACTTAAAACACACTAATAGTTTAGTCACATTTAACACTTTAGTTCACTATATTTCGCTCCGAAGTCTTCGCTTGTACCGTCAATTCAATACTGCCCCGGTCACGGCCCTATAGAGGCCTTTTCCACCGAAACATTTAGAATGTTTCAGCAAACACCGGTCCCGACCGACTATATGTAGAAAATTCGAGCGTGGAGTTTTCTAGAAAGCTGAGTTCTTCTATTCGATACTAGATGGCACTAGTAGGAGTTCTAGAAAGATCTTGACCATGAAGGTTAGATAACAGGAGAACAATCACTACGTACTAAAGCATAGCCCGCCTGTCCTTGAAAATGGTAGAATTTATAGCAGCGCTGACGTCGGTGAGTAGTGTAAGTTATGAGTATAAGTAGATGAAGTTAGTTGAATAATGTACACATTTTCATTTCATTTTTAATGAGAAAATTTTCATGGTCCAATTTTGCAATTTTTGACAAAAAGAAACATTAAAAAATGGAGAAATATTGGATATATATGGATGTGCAAGTGGTTTAGCATCTGATCGGAAAATTAGACTGAAAATGACTTATTGACCGAACTTAGTGATCGCAGCGTCTCACTTATGGTATCCATATTTCTGGGACACTATTTTCTACGGCGTTCATTCTCCTGTTCCCTAACCTCCATGGGGGGCACGATCACGATGCACGATCCACCAGGGCGGCGACACTTTACAATGAGGTAAAATATTTGACAGATTTCATAGCAGGGACGATAATTTCTTAAGCAAATGTTAAACTTTAATGTTTCTTTCCTAATCTTTCTTTTAAAAAAGCGAAGATATTTTTAAATATCTATCAACTTAAATGTCTTTGTAAAAAAGGGTAATATTCTAATAACAACATCAATACGTGTATTCTTTTTGAAACCGCAATTCTTTTATTTTATAGATTATAAATACATAGATTGCCGAAAATTAAAAAAAAATCCAGGCTATAAGTAAAACTTTACAGCCCGACAAAAACGTTTAGATGACGGCGAAATGCGGAACTACATATTTTCTACCTAGGAATCTGTCAAGGCAATGCTTTTTCCGGCTTATCATTTATCCCTAATAACGCTCCCATATACTCTTTAATTTTTTTTGTCTGGTTATTTCCTAAAATAGAAAAAATATTGTAGTGTAAGCGAATAAGGCAGATACCTTTCGTTACGTTACCCCGTGATGAGAGGGGCCCTGGATAAGGACTCTGTGTGCCCTTATGGTAAAGACTGCACTACATGTAAGGACACAATATAGGTCACGGCCAGCGTAATATACCTAGTTCTGTAGATCGCGTGTCCGGTGTCCTACGTCATACCCATACTTATTTACAAAATAAGTATGGGTATGAAATTATTTTATGCCAGTCTTTAAAAGGCCTCATTTAAATATTATTTCGCGAGTTGCCGATAAAAGTTAATAAAAAACAACGTTACTAAAGTAACCGTTATCTTATCGTTGTTAACGATATAGTTACGATAAAGATAAGGTTATTTTTTTCCACATAACTAGTCTTCCCAAACAGACAGGTTCAGGATTGCATTCTCTGAGCGGCCAGACTATGGAGTGTAGAGGTAAGGAGTACAGACTCTGCATAAAAAAGTGTCCGTAGGAAAGCGATAAATAAGGGTGGCGCCACTGTAGCTACGGTTTAAATTGTAAAGAACTTTTTATAATTTTTTTATTGCACAAACTTTTACCATAACTCTTTTTACAATAATTATTTTATTGCTTTCAAAATTTTTATTTTCAAAATCACTCTCAAAGTATTTTACGGCGATTTAACATACCCTCTAGCTACTCGAGCGCTGTAGTGGAGAGTTTTTGAACTGCTATTTACTGCTCACACATTGACACTTTTTCAACTATTCTCCTATGGGAGTTGGTGCTCCTTACTTCTACACTCCATATGCCAGACTTTAGTTATAACAACTACATGTATGCGTATATTAATTACATGTGCGACGGCTGCGTCCGCCACGTTCAAAATTCAGTCGCAAACATATCTCCGTTTACACGACACGTTTCTGCAATTATTTCAATCTCTTTTGTGGACTTAACAATACTAAATTAATTAGATACCGTACTCATAAGACTGCACAAGGCAAATTCAACGCTTCAGGCATTACTTTATCAGTCAAATCATTGAGTGATGCAGAGATAAAAATATGAAATAGGTGTGTAGAATATTGATTTCATTATATGGAGGGTAGAGGCAAAGAGGATTATCTCATCTGGGGACAAGATGAAAGTGTTATAACAGTTCAAAAACCTTTCAGAATGGCGCTAGCGTAGATACAGGGTATGTTATGTGTGGAGCACTTTCAGATGGATTAAAAAAATATATTTTCAAAAGACATTTTACATCATGATAGAGCCACGCTGCAGTTATATTATAGTTGTAGCACGCATGGGTCAGGGCCACGCTCTCACAGAATACCAGCGTAAAATAGCAGTTTAATGCTGCTGTATTTCGTATGGTGAGTGTAGAGAACCGGAGACCCTTTTTACTGGAAACAAGGCATTCCATCTTAGTCGTCACAGGTGACAACGCACTTACATTTTACTATTAATCAGTTAAATTAGATGTCTATGGGCCACAGCATCCACTTATCATCAGAGGGAGTGTGTGCTCTTTTATCACCTTTATTCTATAAAAAAACTATTTTTTTAATGCCAATAAAATATTTTCAAACGTTTTTATGATTTATTCTAATAATTTTTTCATCCAAAATTGACACTTCTGAATTTTTTTAATCGTTTATTTTCGATGAAATTTTGTTCTTTAATTTTGAATAAAAGTTTATTAATTTAAAGTTTAAATATGAAAATGTTTTAAAAACGTACCCTGCTGCTATTTTAGCACCACCCTAATTAACGCAATTCAGTGGACACTTTTTCTTACACAAAGATAATCCTTATAACCTCTACCATTCATATTCTACTTATGTATTCAGGATGACTCTTTTACCGTCTGGAAAACAAAATATGGTGTAACATGTGAACAGAGTAGAATCCTTCGACACAGATATTTTACAAAAACTTAAAAAATTTGAATTAAATAAATAAATAAATTAAAATCTATCCAAATTCAAATCATATTCACCCTACTTTACTAACGGCAATAAAACAATAAATTTACTAAGCATCTTTGACCTTGTCACGTCGCAGGGTCACAGGCTCAAGGGCAAAGGGCAAAGTAATTGTTCAAAAAAAAATTTCAAACGTTTAATTCAAAATGTTCGTTTTTATTTTTCAGACGGTAAAAAACTCATACAGTATATCCGTTATGTGCAGATGGCTGGTGACTGTTTCTCGAGGACATTATTCCTAAGGTATATACTTACAACGCGGCAGGTGGGCCAGTGAGTCGTAGCTGGTGACGTAGACCATGGTGTTGGCGGGCCCGAAGCCCAGACGACTGTGCCTCGCGCGGCACACGTTCATGTCGGCCAAGCAAGCGCCGCCCAGGCGACCTGGACAACAACACGAAATGTTACCAACCCACGTCACGTTACCATCCACATCGTCTAGATGCTTAACGGTAAACTACTTTGTGATTTACTAAGAGTTTTCTTCACTTTTATGTGGTATTGTTTACCACTGGCAATTTTTAGGGTGTCCATTAATTACGTGAGGTGGTTTTGGCAATATTTCTACCCTTCCCCACTCCTTAGTGAAATGTTGTGAGATATGGCCCGATCCCCTCACACTCCCCTCCCAGCACGAAATCTCACGTGACATTTTTTAATGCATATTTTTCATGTAAATACCTTATTCTGCGCTTGATTGCTTCAGTAAAAAAATTACTAATTATTTTCATAAAATTTATGGACTTCACATAACTGCCATAAATATTATCACATTTTCTCGAAATTTTACACAGTAGTTTCTTATGAATAAAAATTACGTGATATTTGCAGGGACCTTTACTCTTCCCTACGTCAGATTGGATGAGATTCAGTTCGACCAACTTCCCTCCCCTAAACATCTCACGTATCCAACGGAGGCCCGGAGGCTATCTCCTTAACACTTCTTTCTCGCTTTTTTCCATATAAACACCTCATTGAATATTTTATTTTTATATCATTTAGAACATTTTAACTTCACCTGCTATAGTCTCCTTAAAGGGCGGCATCTTTCTGTGATATTCGAGCACGATGCGGTGAGGGCGAACAACGAGAGGTTTCATCACGGCCTCTGAAAAAATATATAAGAAAAATCAGCAACGGCTCCCATTTGATAGTTAAAGTTACAGCCTATCATATGTTTAAATAAAACTGATTTTCACGGATTATATCGCGTATGTTAACTTATTTTATATTCCCGACGTTTCGAGTACTTTAAAGCACCCGTGCTCACGGGGTGGACCGAAGTGTTCGACGTCCCAATGCTATAGTTAACCACGGACACCTCCAGATTCAAATTACTAACTTTTGTTCCCATCTACGCAGTATAAACTTATAGTAACTTGAAGTCGTGGAGTTTTGTGCTTGGGATTTAATTTTATTAATTATAGGATCCCCAGTAGATGGTAGCACAGTACTGTCAGTTTTTCTCCAATAAAAGCACGACAACTCACTTAGTTAACTGTTTAATCACCATGTTCGTTGTTTAATTTCACTCTTAAATTGTATATAATGCTTTATAACACACTATACTTTACTTTCACAAAGAAGACTATATATTAATTTAACTTTACTCACAACCTTTAGAATCACCTTACTTCACCTTATTTAATAGACGACTATTATAACCTTCTCAGAGCCACTGTTCGTCACTGCCTTCTTCACCTTATTTAATAGACGACTATTATAACCTTCTCAGAGCCACTGTTCGTAATCAACTGCCGGGAGCGTCAAGTGTACGCGCTTTTATATTGTGACTAAATTTTAGAATTAATGCGGGTAGTTTGAAATGGATTCATATTAATATTGATTGTGAAGATTGCTAAGTAATATTGCACAATGATCATTTATCTAACAGTTCCATTTTCTCTATTGAAATGAGGACGTTTTTTTTACTTCAATAGCCTCGCGAATCATCCTTGGAAGGTATCGGTGTTCTTTAGCGGTCAGTGAACACGTACATAGAAAAATTTGTACAACCTACTTTAATATAAATAAAATGAGAAAATCATCAATGAAGTCGAAATCAATTAAATACGCATTATTAAAGATAACTGAGAGCTGTGGTAGCTCCGAGTTATCTTTAATAATGCGTATTATATATATATAAGTATTAGTTAACGCACGCTGTAAATATAACAGAACGCGAGTACCCCAAGAAACCCGGGTTCGATCCCCACAGGCACCAATGAAATTGTTAATTGCAATTTTAAGTGCTTATTTACCACGTGCTCGGCGGTGAAGGAAAACATCGTGAGGAAACCTGCATGTCTCAGGAATAAGAAATAAATATTTCGAAGACATGTGAAGTTCGCCAACAGGCATTGGGGCAGCGCGGCGGACACTTCCTTGCCCTAAAACCCTCTCAGAATTGAGAGGAGGCCTGTGCCCAGCAGTGGGACGTATATAGGCTGTAACTTTAAGGACAACTCAATAACTACTAGTCAGATCAAAAAATAACCATAATCGGTTCACCTGGAAAAAGTTCTGAGGTAACCATTGAAGTAATATGTAGTTACGTACTAGAACAGCTATTTCAAACAAAAAATGTGCGCTACTCTGTGTTCGCGCGGTTGATTTTTTTATCATAGAATAAACATAGGTAGAATGATTCGTATGTAATAGTAGATTGTCTTGTTAATTAGGTTAATTATATAGAGAACAATATTTAAATTTTGTCGTTTATTTTGTATATCATATTTGCTTATTTAATATAATATTACATAATATTATATCACAATTACATTTTAATGATATTTTTATTTCAATATTTTAAAAGGTATCTATGCCAAATATAAAAAAATATACTAAATGTATGTTTAACAAAACTTATTAACGTAACATTTAAATTACAAATATATTAATTCAAATTAGAATAAGAGTCGTTCATACATGTTGGGCACGCGAGAGTTAAAAATGGACGAATTTATTCCACTTTGACTTTCATGTGGAAACCTAAAAATAATATAAAAGAATAATGAGCAGGTATAAATATAAAAAATTTAGCCTAATTATGTTAACTTATATATGTTTCTACAAAAAAATGTGTATAATAATATATTCGTCCTATACTTAAGTATCCACAGAAATGTCGCATCTGAACAAATTAATTTCATAATCTATATTCCCTGACATGAGATGGCGTCTTAAGAATAATTTGTTTTATCATTAATCTATAATACTTTTTTATTGATTAAGTATCTTATTAACAGATGAAAAGTAATTCCTTGGTTTTTACTGACATTTCTTGAATTATTTGTGCAATATCTAAGCACACAGGACGGCATATTTTTATCAAGAGATTTTTTTTAAATCAACACAACAAATGACAACTCTACAAGCGCCTAGCGAGTGACTGATTAAAGTGCGGTGTAAGCACCGCAGTTGAGTGGAACAGAGTAGCTGAATATAGTGTCGCCTCTAGTACGTACTACGTAGTACATAAAAGCTCAATGAAGGTAACATACATAAATACAGTCGAATTGAGAATCTCCTCCTTTTTTTTGAAGTCGGTTGAAAAACAAACGAGCACGTACCTTCAGTGTCGTGCTTGGTTGCGACAGTGTCGCGAGTGTCGTACGACACCGCGTCGTGTCGTGTGACCGACTCGACTGCGACACTGGAACCCTCCGGCACCAGCTGGTCGCCCGTCGACACGGACCCCTCCTCTTCCATGTCTTCTGTTCACATGGATACACATTTTATATTAAAAAAGAAAAACAAAAGAAACAGCCATTAAATTTTCAGCAGAATTTTTATTATATCTTCCAATAAGTCCACCTCTATCCTCAACATTCCCCGTAGCGTTAAGTTCCTATTTCAAGCTGGCGCTACCCTGGTCGGGTCGACCCATTCGTTCTACAACCACAATACAGATGCAGCATGGCTTGACCACGTAGAATACGTAACTTTAAAATAATTTTTTTTATATAGAAGAGGGGGCAAATGAGCATGCGGCTCATCGGATGGTAAGTGATCACTGTCGCTCATGAACAGCTGCAACACCTAGAAAATCGCAGGTGCGTATTCTCTTCTCAATACGGAAAACTAGACACAATGGGTGCGTTTGGCAGAAAAAAGCGCTAGCAAGCGCTTGTAAGCAAAATGGCGATCGTAAGCGGTAAGTGCTGTCAAATCGTAAGTAGCTATTTTCCTCTAGGACACGAAGTTAGTTTTAACCGGGGAACCTAACCTAGTTTAAATATATGTTTGTAAAGTATTCATATTAAAAACTTACCAATCATGAATTTTTAATAACATCTATATGTTTATTCATGTCATTATATTACTTAAAACTAATATTGCACAAAACAACTTATAAACTCTACTTCAAAACAAACAAATTAAATAAGCAAAATGGCGGATTGTGTCAGCGTTACTGAAGTAGCAATCGTGTCCTGGCCGAAAACTATTTTAGCGCTTGTAAGCGCTTGCTAGCGCTTTTTTCTGCCAAACGCACCCAATTATCAGTGGTAACGGGGGCATTCAATTTTAATATTAGTAGTACATTTATAGTTTATTATTTCATTCCTATTCGAGAGTAGTTGTCGGTAGGGTTACCAGATCCGAAAATGAGTTTTCGTGGCAAAATACCTGACTTTTTTTTTGATCCCTTCACGAGCGGACCCATTCGTGCTACAACTATACTCCTCATGCTACATCTGCAGCATGTCTTTACCACGTATAAATATTTGCATATTTACTTCCTTCATTTCTTTATATTTTTACTTGTATTACGGATCGGTTCGACCGGGGAAGAACTTCGTAATCGTACAGTACTAGTGTATTGGCATAGCATAGAACTATAATACTACTATGTTTCCTTTGGTGAGTAACAAGCAGCGGGCTCGTGTGAGAGCGAAGGAATAGAAAGTACAAGTACTTGAATGATTTACATAAAGTTGCTACGAGTATGGATGTTTGTCCTTCTGCAATTTGTTTGTAAACTGCCTCAAAGATACCAGAGAAAACCATCACTTTAAAAAAATTGTATGTAGCCCCAACGAGACAGGAGAATATTCTAACGTTTTTCTGAAAAAGAAAAGAAAGAAATGATGATGACTTTTATAGGTCATAAACAAATACTCAGTCCACCTGATTGATTGTGAGTGAATGATGTTGACCATAGACACCTATAACAAGGGTTACCAGATGACAGGAATTTTCTTAACTTGTCTGGAATTTTAGCCCCCTGTCAGGGATACAGGGAAAATTTGAAATTGTCAGGAATTTTTAAATAAAAAGAGTTAAATATAAGAAATACAAATTAAAAAAATTATTAAACCGTTAAAACGCTAACACTATCACGAATGGGTCGGTCGACTGGGATAGGGCCACGCTCTCACAGAATACCAGCGTAAAATAGCAACTTAATGTTGCTGTGTTTCGTATGGTGAGTGTAAAAATTGGAGACACTCCACTGAAAACGAGGCATTCCATCTTAGTTCTCAGTGGTGACAACGCATCTGTATTTGAGCCTTTATCGAGGATAGATGTAGATGTCTATGGACCACAGAATCCACTTACCATCAGTGGACTGTGTACTCGTTTGTCACACTAACCTATAAAAAGAAGCTATTTCTAAAAAATTGTTTTTTGTAGTACATTGTCTAGCATGATATATTATGATTATCAAAAGTTTTTTCGAGTATTTACCGAACAAGTAGAAAATTAAAAATAAGAATGACGTTCGATAAGTATTACTTTTAATCTATATTAAATTAAAAAAAAATAAAGCGCCACAATAAACTCATTGCTGAGCCGTCAATTTATCATGACTATTTTCATCACATATAAATATCATCACTTACCAATATCGGCGTACAGCGAGGCCTTCATCAGCTGTACATTGTGACTCTGACGCTGCTCAAGACGGGCCAACTCGCTTGTTGGACTCTTTACACCATACGCTGCAAACACAAATACTTTTATTAATAATATCTACTTCTTAAACCTTTCAAATTCAAATTCATTTATTCATTGCCAGAATGTAGTACATAATATTATGATGATTTTATTTATTAATAAGATCTTACATTCTACCATTATATAGGCGTGCAATATCTTTACAATATACAAAAAATATTTTATGAGGTTGAATTATTGAAGAAAAACAATGATGTAATCTTTTAAAAATATTTCAGCACCAAATTTTTAAATTACAATAAATACATGTCAAAATTTAATTAATTATGTAAATGATTATATATAAATGTCAAGTATCTAAAAAAAATTAAAAGATATCAAAAAATAAAATAAATATTGAATGACAAAAAAAAAAGAAAAAATTAATCAGTTTTTCCATTATTACCATTACTGTAGATTTATTTATAAGTCATATATTCGTCTACACTATAAAAACATTTTGTTTCCAGCCATTCTGTGAGTTACCTTTTAAAAATAACGTAAGGTAGGTCTTTGAAAGTGTTAGGCAATTTATTGTAAACTCTAATGGCATTTATAAATACATTTCTTTTATATATATCACGTCTGCATTGAGGCAGATATAGCTTAAATTAATTTCTTGGCATGGCACTTCTACTGACTAAACTTGAGTTAATGATGAAATATTTTTATTGATATTTGACAAAAACACAAAGTTCCCGTATGTACATACAAGCTAGCGGCAGTATGTGAAATAAAGGCTTGCCAACTATGTAAAGACCAAGCTTCACAAATGTCCCTTACACCTTTAGTAGTGTAAAAAACGTAACTGACGAAACCCAACGAATCAGTAAACAAAAGTGGCATTGGGCTGGCCATATAGCTCGAAGAACCGACTACGTGTGTGTGTGTGGGATTATAAATTACTGTTAAACTAGAGGACGCTATCAACTTCGTTCAGTATTATTTCGTATAGGGAAGGTGCGTATTACGCTACCAGGTTTTTGTAACAGATATTTACTTGCAAGTACGCTGACCAAGTGCGGACCCAAAATACTCGAGACTTCAAAGTATTTGAGCATTCTCGTTCTCTCGACTCTCGGCGCGATTCTGCTGCTTATTTATATTCCGTTACGGATCAATGTTCTATCAAGGTATATTTACTTTAAAGAATTACAAGATTTTTTTTGTAAACGCGATTCTACTTCTTATCTATATTCTATCAAGATCAGTGTTCTATGAAAGTATTTTTCTTCCAACAAGTCTTGAAAGTTTACTATTTTAGCATATGCGATTGCACTCAGCTTATTTATGTGATTCGTGGCGGATCAATTTTCGATTCAGAAATAAAATACTTGAAAGTATCTAGAGCTCTGGTTTTTTTTGGGCTGGTATCTGAAGGACGTACTTGGAAGCCTTGGTACTCGATTTTGCAAGTACGACCCATGTCTAATTTCGTACATTTTAATAAAATTAAAAGGAAATGATTTAAATTGGAAACTAACTATTTTTTTGCATTATATAATTTATCATTTTATTTCTATTAAGTAACCATCGTTTCAAATGAATCGTTTATTTTATTTATACACCACAGTATTTCAAAACTTTGATAGCGTAATTTAGACTTCGATATAAATAATAAATATCAGCAGTGACACCATCTTTTGAATAAAATGTGTAAATTAGTGGAGAACATAATGCTTTAACTGACTGTGAGATGGCGCTAGTATCAACATGAAAGCAAGCTACTGATAGCAGCAGTCGAATGGTGGATTCAAATCCACGACCCTTAGATTGGCAACAGAAAAAGGTTAGACGATACCTACACAGATGAAATATTGGGCAGAAAAGCAGCTCTACCATCTAGCAAATACAGGTCACCTATTACTTAGCGAGTAAGAAAGCTATCAGTTTGTTGAATCAATTCGGTATTTACCCAGATTGTCCGGATACAGGGTCGGTGCTTCAGTGCTATCCTCGGTTGTGTCCATGTCGAAGCCTGCAAGAAGATATGAAAGCTACATTATATTTATAGCAACCCACTCTCGATTCGCATGGATACAAAGTCACTAGATCACTCCTGGTATTGTTCTCTATCTAACTGTCGAGTTGCATTACAATTGGTTCAGCCATTCTGAAGTTTAGGTCGCACAGACAGACGAAAACTTTATAGCGGTCTTTGGGTGGCCGACGTCCAACAGTGGTTATAAGTTTACTACATCTTAAAATGATCTTTCAACAAAAATCTGCGCTTACTTATCAACGTACGTATGTAGAATTAATAACTATACAGAACATATGTGGTAGAGCCATGCTGGAGTTATATTATTAGACGACTCCGTGACGCAGTGGCTTAGCAATGAGTGACTGCGCTGGGGGTCGCGGGTACGAATCATGCACGGAACAAGTATATTTGTATGGCCTACATATAGTTGCTCCGGGTCTGGATGTTTGTCCTTGTGCAATTTATGTTTGTAAACTACCCCCACGATACAAGAGAAAATCTTAGTGTAGGGTTAACGTTTAAAAAAACAATTTAAAAAAAAATACTTGTAGCACGAATGGGTCGGCTTGACTGGGGGGGAAGGACCACGCTCTCACAGAATAGCAGCGTCAAATAGTAGCTTAATGCTGCTGGGTTTCGTATGGTAAGTGTAGAGAAAAGGAGAGTATTATTACTGGAATCAAGGCATTCCATCTTAGTCTTCAGGTGTGGTAACGCATGTACATTTTAATTGTTAATCGAGGATAGATGTAGATGTCTATGGCCCACAGCATTTACTTACCATCAGGTGGACTGTGTGCTCGCTTATCATCCAATGCTATAAAAAAAAGAACCACCCTTGATTCAGTTGAGTATAAAGTATTTGTTTTATCAGTTTTTCGGATAAAATACAGCCAAGATGCCTCCTGGTATTACCTCCTGGTTAAGTTTCATTACAATCGCTTCAACCATTCCAGGGTTCCATAACCCTATAGACATAAGAAAATTTAATAGCGGCCTTTGGGGGGTCATGTTCAGAACTGGACTTGTGATGAGCTGTTATGATGGTGACACTGTAATGTTGGGACAATGCAAGAAGTTAAACTCACTGATGCAGTTTACAACTCTTTATCGAATGGAAGGAGACTTATATATAGTAAGTATGACGTAGGCACATAGGTAGAGAGTAGGGTTCATGTTGCGTGGTTCCAGGTAGAGACACGTGAAAGGTGTCTTCTTCTTTAAATATAAAATGATATAACTGAAATAATTAAATATTATTTCCACATTTGACACACATGAATACACGTGTACTCCATAAATAGATTAATATTTTAGTAAAATTGTTTCAACATAGTACCTAAACCAAAACAATGTGTGTGTTTTTTTATATAAATATCACGATCATGTAACTAACTGTCCATAACCAATGAAAGTAGATAGTGTCGTAAAGTCACTCACCAATGAAACTCATTATTTATAATATGGAAGCCAATCATCATCATTACAACGTTTTATTTTTATTTATTTATTCACAAATTGTGTTACATGAGACTTAGTGATTAAACAAGACAAGCAGGTACTACTAACAATTATATGCACCTCGAAAGGTTTTGCAATTTTGACGTTAAAATTTGGATGCTTTCTTACAAACTTACCTATTTCTAATATACAGAGTGTTAGTGTAAACACCGTTATCCTTGAAACCAGTGGTTTGGTTTCATTTATAGAACGTAAGTTCAATGAAGAATAACATTGTTTTTTAGTAAAATCTCAATGTTTCCTTAATTCCTCAATTTTTGCCTGTCCTAAGCCAGGATGAAAGTATGAAGGAAAAGTTACATCACAGGTTATGTGTACCTATTGTGTTTTTATTGGAATGTTGTGTAGGTATCTAGCGCGGGCGGTGATCTTTACAGTGATTACGTCACTCGGGCGCATAGGGTGTACATGAATTTAGGGTGTTGGACAGAAACTTTTTAAATTTTATGAAAGAAAATAATGTTTTTTTTTTAAATTCGGATAAATATTTTTATATTAAAGCCAACTACCTATGGTTTTAGTGACAACGGTGTTTATACTTACACCTTGTATATAAGCACGGTAATGTTAGAATATTGAGATTTTGAAACTGAGGTTCACAGCTTTCTCTTTGTTCGATATTTGCAACTACACTTTATACATTCTTTTTTGTAAAATAAAAAGTTCCTACCCATCAAAGTCGACCGCCGGGTATAGCCCTCTATATTATTAAGTAAAAAAATAAAAGTTGGACCAACCCTTTTCGGTGCCGTTGAGCAAATCTAAGGAGGTTCGCTGGACGGAGAACAGGTCCTCAGCTGCTGCACTGGTGCCAGGCGGGACCGCTAGACCCCCGAGACCCCCCCAAACTGCCCATGCCACCGAGACCTCCCAAGCCCCCCAATCCTGCTGGCTGCACTGCGACTGGTTGCTTTGGTGCTAAAAGTAGATATTTGTTAATTTAACCATAGGTTTTGGTTGAAATTTACGTAGAACAACGCGAAAATGTGCCCTTTCGACTACTGGTCAGGTCTTGGTTAAATTTATATGGAACCACGCACAAGAAGCACCAGCTTTAAAAAAAATCATCAAAATCGATTTACCCAGAGAAAAGTTATGAGGTAACACACATAAAAAAAGAACATACAGTCGACGTGAATACCTCTTCCTTTATGAATTCAGTAAGTAAAAAGCACAGAATTTTTGAGATTTTTTAAATAAATTTTTCTTCACCATTTACCTGTAAACTTATTCGGAACATCTGCAAATTTAGTCAGTTATTGCAATACGAGCATAATCGATTTTTTTATGGGATAGGGTGACGAACTATATATATAATATATATAATAAAACTGCAGCATGGCTCTACCACGTAAAACCACCCGCAGCACCTGTAGAATTTTCAAAGAAGTAGGGTCCAATAAATCCTCCTGAATAAATTCCATACTAAACTGTTCCTCGACATGGGTGCAGTGGTCGTTAATGGATTTAAGGAAGTCTGTTTTTCATGCCGATAGCACGAATTTTGTTTATTGAAAAATCTACTTAGGTAACATTGGCTTTATAACGCATAGTTTTTTTTTTTTGAAAATCTTGGTTGCTTTCTAATTTGGTTAGTATTAAACTGCTGAAGTTACAACAGCATTCACGGTCCCGAAGCTTAACTCTGGGTTAATTTTTTCAGAATAGTCTTTAGTAGAGAGGTTTTCGTGTATATGTAAAGATATTACCTGGTGCAGCAGACTTCTGCAGAGACTGGTTGACGAGCTGCCTCTTCAGCACTTCTGGAGTAGGGTCGTCCTCTTCGTCGGAATCCGTTAAGCCGTATTTGCTGAAGTGTTCCACCTGCAACAAACAACATTTGATAACGAATCGAATAAAGACAAGTCAAAATAGTTCAAAGATCATTTAAGACTTAGTAGCTGGATGACCGAGCTTTGCTCGGTATTTTTTTTTTTTAGAATTCGTGTTTTTTGTAAATTATTCGTATTTCATCAATTTGTAATATTTAGATAAAAATTACAAACTGATGAAATATGAATAAAGTTTTCGATCTTCTCTATCATTATTTCTAGTATTTAAAAAAATATACTAAAAAAGGGCTCCAAATAATATATTTTCTCACAAAAGAAGGAAAAAAAAAGGGAAAACGTCAGCCGGAGAGCCGTTTAGTCTCGAACGGGCGTTCTATGATTTCAGCACCGCCCGATATCTCATTTGAGCTGTTTATAACCTTTTAGGTACCTGCAAAATTTACTTTTGTATTCTAATGATATTGTATCAGTTTTTCATTTCCTAAAAACATGGATAAAACGTCATTTTCTAGAAATCAGTCCTCTCTAGATCGGCTTATTGCCCCCGAAACCCCCTGCACACTAAAATTCATGAAAATCGATGAAGTCGTTTCCGAGATTCCGATTATATATACAAGAATTGCTCGTTTAAAGGTATGAGATTTATAGCTCCTACGAATGTCAAAATAAATCTCGCAATAAACGCGGGCCTAATTGAAAGTTACAACCTACGAGGGTGGATTGAAAAGTACTCGGCCTAACCAAGAAAATAAACACATACTAAATCAGTTATATTTTTATTTTTCTACATAATCACCATCAAGTTCAATACACTTTTGCCACCTCCCCTTCCAAGCATTTAGACCGTTGAAAAAAAATTATTCTTCCTTAGAGTCAAAATATGCGTCTACAGCTGCTTTGACCTCGTCGTTTGTCGAAAATCTTTGACCTCCCAAGTGCTTTTTTAGGTTAGGGAACAGAAAGAAGTCTGATGGTGCCAGATCAGGTGAATACGGCGGATGCGGTAACAGTTCAAAGCCACAGTTGTGAATTTCAGCCATTGACTGTACTGACGTGTGAACACGGGCGTTATCTTGATGAAACAGGACTTTTCTTCTGAGCATTCCTCGACGTTTTTCTTTTATTTCCTCTCGTAAACGACGTAGTAAGGTGCAGTAGTAATCAGAGTTTATAGTCTGACTCCTTTCAAGATAATCAATCATAATCACACCTTTCGAGTCCCAGAATACTGAAGCCATCACCTTATTTGCCGACAAAATCGACTTAGCCTTTTTTAGGGGGTGGTGAACCAGGTCTTCTCCACTGTTTTGATTGTTGTTTTGTTTCCGGTGTACAGTAATGAACCCATGTTTCGTCCATAGTAACAAAACGATTCAAAAAATCATCTGCATCGGCTTCAAATAACTCCAAACAGTCGCGTGAAATATTCAATCGCGTCCTTTTTTGTTCAACTGAAAGCAGTCGCGGAACCCACCTCGCAGACACCTTGTGGAAACCCAACTCGTTGACAATGATGTTTTGAGTTCGTTCATAAGAGATGCCTATAATCTCGGCTATCTCTCTAATTTTTAATCTGCGGTCTCCCATTATTAAATCAAGTACTTTTTTAATATTTTTGTCAGTAGTTGACGTCGAAGGCCTTCCAGAGCGGGGTTCATCTTTCACACTCTCTCTACCACGCTTAAATTCTGCTATCCACTTTTTGACGGATGAATATGACAGAGCACAATCGCCTAATGTACTGACCATGTCATCATGGATGGCTTTTGATGATAGCCCCTTCTTATGGAGGTACTTAATGACGGCACGCTGCTCGATTTGCTCCATTCGCGGAAATTATGTCCGATTACTTTGTTAATAAATTTATAAAATCACAACTAATTATCGCACACGTTTCGAACTTCACACAATGAATTAGTCTGAACTGAACTAAATAATGTGGGTAGATTTGATTTTTAGAATTGAATGGATCTGTGTTAGGCCGAGTACTTTTCAATCCACCCTCGTATATACGTTCGACAGTCGCGCATAGGCCTCATCTGAATTCTGAGAGGGTGTTGGCGAACTTCATGTCTTCGAAATATTTTTTCTTATTTCTCAGACATGCAGGTTTCCTCACGATGTTTTCCTTCACCGCCGAGCATGTGGTAAATCAGTACTTAAAATTGCATTTAATTCATCTACAATGGTCAAATTAGAGATGTCTTATAATCCATTTGTTTCATTGCCTCCATTACACCACATAAAATACCTCGGCTGAAAATAGGTCTGCCCCATAGATTGCGTCATGGGGGGGATATTTAACATAGTTGTAATGTTACTGTTGATTTAATAATTTCACCTCTCAGTGGGTCATGTGCTCCTGGTAGATTGTCTTCTACATAGTTGTAATTTTACTGTTGATTTAATAATTTCACCTCTCAGTGGGTCATGTGCTCCTGGTAGATTATCTTCTACATAGTTGTAATGTTACTGTTGATTTAATAATTTCACCTCTCAGTGGGTCATGTGCTCCTGGTAGATTATCTTTTACATAGTTGTAATGTTACTGTCAATTTAATAATTTCACCTCTCAGTGGGTCATATGCACCTGGTAGATTATCTTCTACATAATTGTAATGTTACTGTTGATTTAATAATTTCACCTCTCAGTGGGTCATGTGCTCCTGGTAGATTATCTTCTACATAGTTGTAATGTTACTGTTGATTTAATTAATAATTTCACCTCTCAGTGGGTCATGTGCTCCTGGTAGATTATCTTCTACATAGTTGTAATGTTACTGTCAATTTAATAATTTCACCTCTCAGTGGGTCATGTGCTCCTGGTAGATTATCTTCTACATAGTTGTAATGTTACTGTTGATTTAATAATTTCACCTCTCAATGGGTCATGTGCTCCTGGTAGATTATCTTCTACACAGTTGTAATGTTACTATTGATTTAATAATTTCACCTCTCAATGGGTCATGTGCTCCTGGTAGATTATCTTCTACATGGTTGTAATGTTACTGTTGATTTGATAATTTCACCTCTCAGTGGATCATGTGCTCGTGGTAGATTATCTTCTACATAGTTGTAATGTTACTGTCAATTTATAATTTCACCTCTCAGTGGGTCATGTGGTCCTGGTAGATTATCTTCTACATAATTGTAATGTTACTGTTGATTTAATAATTTCACCTCTCAATGGGTCATGTGCTCTTGGTAGATTATCTTCTACACAATTGTAATGTTACTGTTGTTTTAATAATTTCACCTCTCAATGGATCATGTGCTCTTGGTAGATTATCTTCTATACATCCATTAATTAAAACCATTTTATACGGGATTTTATCGCGTTTCATTAAATTATTTTTAACCTATTTTTAATTCCCGACATTTCGCGTGCTTTACAGCACCCATGGTCGCGGGAGGGGACAGAGATGTTTGACGTTCCAATATTTTCAATGTCATAATTAGTTTGGCTGCATTCAGTTTTTCAATATTAATTTTTGGTTCGATCTACAGTATCTTGAAGTCTTGCAGTGGTATGCTTGAGTTTGGATTTAATTTTGTTTAGCAGATGGCAGCACCAAGACTTCTGGAAGTCTACAGTCTGTAAACATGCTCAAGATCGTCCCCACCATTACATCAGATTGGATAAACAACATATCCTCCCAAAAGAACACCGATTCCTATGAAATTTAAAAAAATCCTTATTTAAATAGAGAAGATGGATGGGTTGCTGCCATCTGCTTGGGATCCTATAATTAACAAAATTAAACCCAAGCATACCACTGCAAGACTTCAAGATACTGTAAGTTCGTTTTGCGTAAATGGGACCAAAAATTAAACCCAAACCCAAGCATACCACTGCAAGACTTCAAGATACTGTAAGTTCGTTTTGCGTAAATCGGACCAAAAATTAATATTCAAAAACTGAAGGTAGCCGGACGAACTATGACATTGGGACGTCAAACATCTCAGTACCCGCCCCCCGTGACCATTGGTGCTGTAAAGCACATATAGCACACATATAGTAAATAATAGTTTTATTCACAACCACATCGATTAACTGTCGATCGATGATTGAACGTTTTATCGACCAGTATCCGTCGATCAGCTAAAGCTACCACACCAATCGATCGAAATCGATTGACGTCGATCAATGTTATCTCGTTCGACGATCGATCGATTGGTATGGCAACACCATTATATAAGGAGTAAGTGAACAAGTACCCGGAACACCCAGCTGCCTGTCTGCGGCCGGTACTCGATGAACTTGGTGTCGTGCTTCTCGCACACGCGCCGCAGTTTTCCCTCGTAGTCCATCTTCAGCAGCCTGCCGACACATATCTTATTTAAATACTTTACAATCATTACATACAGGGTTAGGGGAATAAGTAATATAGGCAACAGTGAAGAAAAATTAGTCCTATTGAATTCAAAATGCGTGGTAAGGCATTATTTCAACTGATTTTACTGCGCACGCACACATTCGTAAGGGTCGATCGGTAGGCAAGAAAGTTGTTACCTATAAATCACATTCAATTTGGGATAATTTCAAATAACAGTAGAAGCCTTATTTACTTGTATTTTCAAAAACTGCAATAATGGTATATTTATATATTTGTAATTAAGTTTAAAATTTGGCTACTCTTTGAAAAATAACCCTATATATTATTTATTTGCTACATTTAGTTATCAATAACTAGAGATAGGAATTTCTTATATTTTACGCGAACACTACGCATTTAAATGAAACTAGTTTTTACCGATTATATCGCGTATGTTAACTTATTTTATATTCCCGACGTTTCGTGCACTTCACAACTTATAGTATCTTGAAGTTGTATTAAATGTGTGATCCTACAATAAATAAAATTTAATCCTAAACCAAGCACAAAACTGCAAGACTTCAAGATACTATAAGTTAATACTGTGTAGATCGGAACAAAAGTAAATAATTTTAATCTGAAGGTAGCCATGGTTAACTATGACACTGGGACGTCGAACACCTCAGTCCCCGCTATGACCATGGGTGCGGTAGTGTTCGAAACGTGAAAAAAAAGTAATATACGAGATATAATCCGTAAAAACTAGTTTAATTTAGAGATAAGAAATAAATCTCAAATTCTCATATGTTAGAGCTACGCTACAACAATATTATGAAAGTAGCACAAATGGGTAAGCTAGACCGAGAAGATACCACGCTCTCAAGGAATTTTCTCGAAAATTTTCACTGGAAACTGTGTGTATTCCACCTTAGTCCTCAGGGGTGACAACGCATCTGCGTTTCGACTCTTAATCGAGGATAAAAGTAGATGCTTATGGGCCACAGCATCCACGTACAATCAGGGACTTTGTGCTGGTTTGTCACCCTAAATCTATATATGGTATGGCGTATTATGAAATTTCTGAGTTAACAATAGCTTGATATACCATTACCGACTATAAAAGTCCAGCGTGCAACATAGGCCTCCCCTATAGGTTGTCTGATAGGGGGATATTTGCAATAGTTGTAATGTTAATGTTGATTTAATAATTTCATCTCTCAGTGGGTCATGTGCTCCTGGTAGATTGTCTTCTACATAGTTGTAATGTTACCGTTAATTTAATAATTTCACCTCTCAGTGGGTCATGTGCTCCTGGTAGATTGTCTTCTACATAGTAGTAATGTTACTGTTGATTTAATTTCACCTCTCAGTGGGTCATGTGCTCCTGGTAGATTATCTTCTACATAGTAGTAATGTTACTGTTAATTTAATAATTTCACCTCTCCAGTGGGTCATGTGCTTCTGGTAGATTATCTTCTACATAGTAGTAATGTTACTGTTAATTTAATAATTTCACCTCTCCAGTGGGTCATGTGCTCCTGGTAGATTATCTTCTACATAGTAGTAATGTTACTGTTAATTTAATAATTTCACTTCTCCAGTGGGTCATGTGCTCCTGGTAGATTATCTTCTACATAGTAGTAATGTTACTGTTAATTTAATAATTTCACCTCTCAGTGGGTCATGTGCTCCTGGTAGATTATCTTCTACATAGTAGTAATGTTACTGTTAATTTAATAATTTCACCTCTCCAGTGGGTCATGTGCTCCTGGTAGATTATATTCTATACATCCATCCATTACAGCCTATAAAAGTTCACTGCTGAACATAGGCCTCCCCCATAGATTGGGATCATGGAGGATTTTGCCATGCCACGCTTGGCAAGAGTTCGCAACCGCAGGTTTTATTATTTTAAGTAGTATCAGGAAGATGCCTTCAATTTCTCTCTGTCGCCTCACCACGAGACGGTATCGGGTATTGGATATTCTTACACTGTCACTACACGGTGGCTTGATATAGAGAATAAGATATAGAGCACTGACCGGTCTGGCTCCACTATGAGCCTCCTCTGCGTCTTGTCCCGGGGCCACACGCGGTCCAACGTGACTACAGCTCGCCGGTTCAAACCCTGGCCCACTGGCGGCTTGTCGGCATCCTCCGGGTAGATTATCACCTCCTTGTTCAGGAAGTGCACTGAAAATACACAAATTTTATTAAATTAAGAGCTTCTTTTCCGGAATCGATTACCACCGGCGATTTTTACGGACCGATACGACTTAGCGACCTTCAAAAAACTAGCTTCTTCCTTTTTAAAAGGCCGGCAATTCCCTTGGTGTTGAAATTGTTCATGGACGGCGGTGATCACTTACTACCATACAGATACATTCATACCATCTGGTAAGCCGCATGCCCTTATTTCTGTATATATGAAAATCAATTGCTGTGCGTTTAACATAATCATTACAGCCCAACAAACGCCACAAATCACGGTCCTGAACCACCTGCATCCATCAACTTCCTGCATGTCTTACCAGCTCCATCTAATGAGGAGACGCCCTACACTTCGCTTACCGGCACGAGGCTATGACTCGAGAACCTTGTTTCCCCATCGGTTGTCGGTTGCTACGATCTACAATATGTAACGTAATTAACGCACACCCTCAGACACCCCAATTAGTATATTATGTTATAATCATAATACGTACCTACACTGAATTTTAGTTAAACATTTTTATGCACTGATTATTTATCAAATTAGTTATACTAATGATTTCTTATATTTACGCGAACACTACACATTGAAATAATACTAGTTTTTACGGAATTTATCGCGTATATTTTAACTTTTTAAATACCCGACGTTTCGAACGTTTTACAGCACTCATGGTCACGGGCAGGACTGAGATGTTCAACGTCCATATGTCATAGTTAACCGCGGTTACCATAGATTAAAATTTAACTTTTGTTTCGATCTATGCAGTACGAACTTATGGTATCTTGAAGTCTTGCAGTTGTATGCTTGGTAGTTATACTAATTCCGGAAGAATGTTGTGGTCACAGTACAAATCCACGAACGCAAAGACTTTAAAGTGCTTGAAATAAAGTTCATTTTTCTTTATTTTTATTGAATGACAGAATTAGTAATAATACAAATAAAACTGCACTCTTAAAAGTCTTATTGCCTTAAGTTAAGGTCCATTTCAGTTTGTTTTGACTGTACAGATTTAGTGTGACTGTAATTTATGTAGTTTTAATTATTTTTAGGATAAAAGATTACCTATATTATAAATGATAGGAATCGATTAAGTAAACGATCCTGAACAAACTACTTTCTCAAAGTGCGTTAATTACGTTACATATTGTATATGGTCGGCCCATTGCCACTTCAGCTTACTATTCCGATCTTCTGTTGGTCACTCGAATTCTACCGCAGATGTCCTCATTTCTAAATTTATCACGCAGAGAAACCCCGAGCATAGACCTCTTCCAGACCTTGAGCTTCCGCATATGGCCAGCAGTGAAAGCCCACGTGTCAGATCCATAGGTCATCACTGGCAACGCACTGGTTGTACAATCTCGTTTTTAGGTTTGAAGGTATATCTGACGAGAAGACGTGTCGTAGCCGAGTTGAATTCGTCGATTGACCTCTCGATCGAAGTTGGACTTACCTAGTCGGACTATTTGTCCCAGGTAAACATACGCGTCAAAAAATTCGAACTTAGTGCTCCCAAACAACTACCGGCATAGATGTAACATTGACGTGAATAAACGTAATGTTGCGTACCGTTTACGATCAATTTTGATAATTTTTGTGTGCGTTTGAGTCGATTCCTGTGTGGTATTTTATATAATAAATATTTTAAAATTAGAACGTATATTATACTTCCTCAATAGGGTAAAAATGTAAAGCAGACTTCAATTTACTAAAAGAATAAAACAATTTCCACATATTAGCTTCCGATTTCTATACACTGTGTTAGCAACGACTTCATAAAATATTATGTGGAAATTATTTTATTCTTTTAGTTCCAATAATATCAAGATAAAAAGTAAAGTAAGTTGCTGCCTATATACGTCCTACTGCTGGGCACAGGCCTCCCATCATTTCTGAGAGGGTTTTAAGGAAGTGTCCACCGCGCTGCCCCAATACGTGTTGGCGAAATTCACATGTCTCCGAAATATTTTTTTTTTCTTATTCCTCGGACATGTAGGTTTCCTCACGATGTTTTCCTTCACCGCCTAGCACGTGGTAAATCAGCACTTAAAATTGCAATTAACAATTTCATTGGTGCTGGCGGGGATCGAACCCGGGTTACTGGCGTTCTGCTATATTGACAGCGAGCGTTAAGGGTACACTAGCCACTCATTTTTTCATACAAACGTAGTCTGGCGATTACTCCACTGTTGGATGGTGTACGTTCAAAATAAAAAATGATTTCAATTTGTCTCGTCATAATCTAGTCCTGTATGGAAACAAAAAAGTAAAAAAAAAGAATATAGTATTTAAAAGTAATAATTTTAACAATTCTTTGGGCGGAAATAAATACCATAAGAGGAACGAAAATTGCAAAACAGTTACCATACAGAGATAGATTTGGTGTTCAAAAGTGCAAATAATTTTATTTTGAACAGATACATTCAATAGATTTTTCATGATATCCAATTTCCCAAAGGTCTGTTTATAAAATTTCGCGTGTTCGTTTTGTTGTAAATCATCATGCCTTTCGCTTTCGCACATGATGTCGGCTGAGATAGCATGCATTTTAACACCGCCCACCACTTAGTTTGTGCCATCAACTAGGGCCACCTTAACCATCTGAGCTACCACGGCTCAATATAATCAAGATAAATTCGTGCTAAACTAGGAGCAACTAGCCTCCCGCTCGCTCAGCCACACGCACAGATAACATTGTAGTGTGCGTCAATATTACGCCGTTCCAGAGCGATCGCGTAGATTTTGACTGGCGCATATTTGAATATACGCTCTTAAGGGGAAATATAATCTTAAATGGCTTAGCAACATCCTTCGTTATGCCGAAAATATTGCAGCATTAATTTTGAAATAAATATATGGTAAAGTTGAGGATTAATGTTAAGGATTATGTAAACACGATTTCGTAAAATTTTTTCGATAGAAAAAAATCCAAAGTTACCTCCAAAATAAACAACAAACCGCTGTTATTCATAAAATAATTTAAATATGATCACGAAACTTTGCATACTAACTGAACTAACTATAAAGCAGTGCTTATGTTATTTACTTTTTTTTAAATACCGTTATTTTCACTGTAATAAGAAATTACCTAAACTATCGGCCTCTTGAAGCGTGATTCCTGCCGCCCGGTCACTTCGCTTCGGCCTTTGAAGGGGGAGGTTGTGTCACTTACAATCAGAATACACATTACGCAACAGGACGACGTAAAATTAAAATGGGAAATAACCGCAATGAAAATAAGAAGCGCCTGGCTTGGCGTTAAGAAACAGGCATAAATATGATAAACCTAATGAAATAAGTGTCTAACGACCTTTCTACTTACAGTATTAGTGATTACAAACATGTCGGTACATAGCATACGACGCGCGGGCAAGTGGGGACGAAATTAGAATTTGAGCTGACTTACTATATCCCCTTAAACTGCACCCCGTGAAACGTAAACGGTGTGATACGTAATCTTAATCCCCATGTGCTATCAATACCGGTTTAAGATCACAGGTTCTCAAAGAACCTGTTCGCGCTTTTCGCCGCTATATCGGCGCGTTACATTACGCAATTTTGATTTAACGCAATAAGCCAGCGCAGTAGACTGCGTCCGAGTTTACTGAGAAAGCAAGGAGCCGAGTTATCCAAGTACTACTTTTAAAAGAAAGTTATAATGTTATGATAGATGTCAACATTAGGCATGAGTGCGATATATCAAAACGTAACTAAAAATTACACATAACAAAACATATAATAATGCCGTTATACTGCACATTCGCTTTTTGAACCGAATTCAAAAAGAAGAAATTCTCAATTCTAGTGTATGTTTTTTTTTACCGAATTTAAAAAGGAGGTTCTCAATTCGCCTGAATGTTTCTTTAATGTGTGTTACCTCATAACTTTTTCCAGGTGAACGAACCGATTTAGATGATTCTTATTTCTAAGCTGGTGCTTTTCATGTCGTTCCATATAAATTTGACAAGTAGTTTGAGTTATCCTTAATAATTCGTATTTAATTGACTTTGACTACATTGATGTTCTCGTTTTATTCATATTGAAGTCGGTTGTAAAAAAAATTGTACGGATGTTACGCGATATCTTCGCAGTTTACGGACCAATTTTAAAAATTCTCTTTTTTATTAAATAGGTTATTGTTTTAAGGGTATAGAGAAAACTCCATCCCTATGGATAAGTAGCAAATAAATAACTTCTCTTTTAGCAATTCGAAGTCAGTTTTTACTTTTTGTTACAAGTTATAAATATTACAATAGCGCTCAACCGAAGTGAATCCAAACGCAACACAGCTAACGTAGGGTTGCCAACCGTCCTGTTTTCCCAGGACATGTCCTAGTTTTTGTAGTATCCTAGAATGTCCTGGATAGTTTATAAACAGCGTCCTGGGTTTTTAAAACGCCCTGATAAGGTCATGTATTATAAAATTCAAAGAATCAAATAGACAGCGAACCGACAGCACGGCGAAGTGTATTTTTTTTATGTATGTTATCGATTGAATATAAAAAGTGTAGTCAGATATAGAAAGCGAAAACGAACCCATAATTGCATCCATAGTACATACATTCGCAGTTAACTGCGTCCTATTTTTAAACAGTATTCTCCTGGTTTTTCCAATATCAAATCCTAGTTTTATTAAATTTGCGGTTGGCAACCCTAAGCTAACGTAGCTTCTCATAACGTAAAACCATGTCCATTCCATTCGACGAAGAAGCAACCTTATCAAGCAACGAACTATCAACCTCCTATAATAATTTTTCGCTCTCTCTGTCTAACTGACGACCCTGCCACTTGTGTAAACGAGATAAAGCGAATATCAAGTGCGTATATCGTTAGTTGTTTGGTTGCCAACATAAATAATACGAACGCCAAAACTTAAGCGATTATTTTAAATTAAACTTTATTGTAACATCTACATCACGACATCTAAATCTATCCTCGATTACGAACTAAAATGCAGCTGCTTTGTCACCCGTAAGGACTTAGGTGGAATGCCTCATTTCCAGTAAAGTAAAAAGGGTCTCCGGTTCTTTACACTCACCATACGAAACACAGCAGCATTAAGCTACTATTTTACGCTGGTATTCTGTGAGAACGTGGTGCTTCCCCGGTCGAGCCGACCCATTTGTGCTACAACTATAATATACCTGCTCGCTCATGTAAAGTTTATTGTTGTATCTGGTAAAACTGGCCCGACTATATCTCACCTTATTGGCCTAAAGGTTTAGATACCAGGCCAGAAACTCCAAAAAAAATATCTCACCTAATGCATCCAGGTCGAGGTTGGCGACGTCCATCTCGCAGTCGTAGAACACGTTCCCGTAGTTCTTGCGGCCGATCGTGAAGTGAGGCACCACGCACGAACCGTCCGGCCGGATGTACTCTGAACAAAATAAGATTTGTATGACAATATTATAAGCAGGTTTCAATATCATTAGAGATGAAGTTAACGGTGGTGAAGGCCCGCAAGTCTCAATACATTGTTTTTCATTATATATATTGTGTATATCATTCATTTATTTACACAAAATTATATACCTATGTGTCATAGTGCAGTATCTTCTTCGATCTTAAGAAGAGATATTATCGGTTTAGTTTGTTAATTAGGTAATTGTCTACTATTTATGTAATTTTTATTTAATTAAACCACGGTTTTATTATGTCAACAAGAATTTATTAAAATGAAAATTTACAAATTATTAACTTACATAAACTAAATTATCAAGTTTGACGGCTTCGTGGTGGAGCGCCTTAGCAATTGAAGTGTAACGCTAAAACCCCGGGTTCGAATCCCGCACGGTACAAGTATTTGTATGGCCTACAAATAATTGACAGTTTCGTAACTATACGTGGCAATTTTTCAATGACTGACAGATTCTTAATGTTCAATAAAATGACTTTACCTATAGAATGTAGCAGATGGCGCTATTATTGAAATTCGCCAACTCTTTCTAAAATAAATACCTGTACTTTGGTAAACTGTCTTAAATAAAATTAATGTGTATAAGATTAGTATTTGAACGAAAGAACGTTGTAATCTTGTAATTGTATTGTAACATTTGTATGACAATATTATAAACAGGTTTTAATATCATTACAGCTGAAGTTAACGGTGGTGAAGGCCTGCAAGTCTTCAATACATTGTTTTTTATTTTATTTGACATGTAATTTTTATTTTATTTGACATGTAATTTGTCGGATTACAAGTAATTTTGGGAGATAGATATAATACTTGACATGTAATTTTGGGAGATTTTGACGACTGCTCAACTCAGCGGACTGTTGATGGCGACAACCACTCAAATTCATAAGGCGCCCAAGCGATCAAAATAACTTGAGGTTTATATCGACATCAAAACTTTTGTTTCGTCGTTTTCACTTTCCACACTTAATTCACAAAATTACATCACTTTTACGAATTCAAATCCGCTTCAAACCATTATTAAAGCGACAAAACAGGAGTGACAGTCCGTCGACGGCCAAGTTCCCGCCAAAACTCCTCTACATCGAGCGGCAACCAAGTGACGGCCGAGCAACGGACAACGCTTGGCAACAACTAGGTCCCGGCTTGTAGCTGAAGATTTATAAGATTCTTCATCGTCCAGAGCGATCGCAATAGCCGCTAATTCCAGATCGTGAAACTTCAACATGGCTGTAGTCCTGAATAAAACTAAATTTACGGATTCTATCGCGTTTATTTAACTGATTCTACTTATTAGTGCACGCAATTGAGGGAGGGCGGGAGGTGCTCTTCAATCCAGGTAACACATCATTGTATTCAATTAAGCGGACGGTTGCAAACGAAATTTTAATATCTTTACTTTACCAGGAGGCTGTGACAGTACCCTATAGTCCAACAAATTTGATAATCCGATATCGCCTTGCAAAACGTTCGTCGTATTAACTCTGATCAACTGTATTATTTTTATATCTTTTGCAAAAATAAATGATATTCATTCTGTAAATACTAGGAACAGACACAAGCTAGTTGTACCAGTTACTCGACTCCACTGAGTATACGCTTTTACAACAAAATCCCAGAAAAATATTCAAAATTTGTCATACACTAAGTTCAAAAATTTTATTAAACTAAGTTTGTATAAAAAGGGTTATTATAATATTAAGGAATTTATGGAAGATAATAACCCCTGGGAAGGGTGATCGCTACCAAGCTATTTCTAATTTGTCTTGTGTTGCTAATTGTAAACATGATTGTAAGCTATTATTTGAAAAAAAAATAGTCCCGCTGGGTTTCTTGCTGGTTCTTCCCAGGACAGAGGTTTTTTTTGCGAACCAGTGGTAAATGAAAAAATTGACTTTCAATAAGTATTGTTTATAATCTACATTGAATAAAAAAGTTTCTATTTCTATCATTTCTTATTGAACGATATAAGTGAATTATTTGTTCTGCGGCACCAACGCACCGGGTACCAGCCGGTTCCACACAAACGATCCCTTACCAACGAGTTCCTCGAGCGACGGTATCGTGTAGTAGCCGGGACGCCGCAGTTTGATACCGGCCGGGTGAGGCGGCGCGTCGTTCTCCATCACGTTCTCTTCCTCAGACACTGTGGAGATGGAAGAACATTGGTTAACATCAGTTTTCAACCCGCTGGAAAAAAAGAGGTGTAGCGGCGCTGTCGTCGCGCCACAAGCGAAACACACCGAAGCCTAAATCACGCTATCAAAATTCCGAATTATAAACAGTATATGTATATAGAACATCTTCGAACTATCACACGGAGTGTTGGTCGCTCCCCGGGCAAAACACCTTGCCCGGCGGGAGATCTCCCCTTTTCCTACTACGGCCACAGAGGAGATAAGAGGAGATTAATCGTAAAGTTAGACTATAACTTAAATTGAAAATTTATAAAAAAACCCCGAAACTAAAAAAGCTGATGATCTTCAAATGGCTGGACAGATTTTGATAAAACATATCTAAGAACCATCGCTAGAAAACCGGCTTTTAAATTACAAAAAAAACACACACACAAAAAAGTTCACCCGTTTAAGAGGTACGGTGCCACAGAAATACACACACACTTATTTTTCGTCGGGAGTTAAAAAGTACGACAATATTCGTTGACAATTTTATGAATTGAACTATATTTTTTTTATTTGAAAGCCGGTGCTTCTCGTGTGGTCCCATATAAATTTGATCAAACCAAACTTTTTTTCACTGGAAACGAGTCATTACATCCTAGTCCTCACGGGTGACAACGCATCTGCATTTTGATTCGTAATCGAGGATAGATGTAGATGTCTATGGGCCGCAGCAACCACTTACTATCAAGTGGACTGTGTGCTCGTTTGTTACCCTAATCCTATAAAAAAACATTTTTCGAATCTAATCGAGATGTAAGCATGTTTTTACCAGACTTCACCAGAAAGAGCTATCCCTTTATGATATCCTAGTAGATATTATAAATGTATCCACATTTCCTAGGATAATAAGCCCCTTGAGAGTAAGGTCTTGTAAGCATTATATAAATCACTTGAGAAGCATCGTTATAGAGGTGCTTCTGAAATGATTTCCAAGTTCGAATCCCGGCTCGGGCCAAAAAAATCCGTTATTGAGTTTTTCCGTCATGAAATTCTTAGTATCTGCCTGGAGTCAGGAAGTAGGCGGTGTTCACCCCCGTGCCTCGGAAAGCACGTGAAGCCGTTGGTCCTGCACCTGATCTCTCTCCGGTCGTGTCGGTTTACAGTCACATCGGATTATGAGAGTGAGGTGATAGAGAGTGCTCCTGTGCTTGCGCATACACTTGGGCACTATAATCCTGTTCAGCGCCGATAGCCTCCGTTGAGGTAGACCGCCGTTACCGAAATTCAGTCTGGAGGACATTATTATAAGTGCAAGATACTTCTTAGTAAACTAACTTCGTAAATTTTTGTGTTGGGTAACGCATTGGTTGTTCTCAGGAAAAACAATTTTTTCTGAACAACGGGTAAAACTAATTTAAAGTAAGGAAAAAATATTACACTACAAGTATTATTAATAAACTATGATATTTAAAAAAAAATATTCTTTTCTAAAAATATACTAAGGCTATAAGATATAACTATAAAATAAACTTTAGGAAAGGTTAGGATAGGTCTTAGTCCACTAAAAATATCTTAATTAAATTTCTAATTCGATATTCGGTTCGAGTCAACATTCTACATCAAATACCACCTAATTTCAAGTCTACGAGATGAAGAACTGTGACATACCGACGGTCAGACTAACAGAAAATAAGTAGCCGTTTCATCCTTAAGGTACTGAACCCCAAAAACCAACAGATTTATAGTTGTTTAATGTTTTATTATATTCAAGAAAATAGCACATCGACAGAAACTAATTTTAATTTAACTTTTTTTATAGGAAGGGGCACACGAGCGTGCGGCTCACCTGATGGTAAGTGATTACCGCCGCCCATGAGCAACTGCAACACCAGGGGAATTGCAGATGCGTTGCCGGCCTTAAAACTTCTTTTAAATCGCACGGTGGTGGACCGCCAGTCATCCAGATGGTATGGACGGTATCGCGAGTTTTGTCGCGATTTGCGATGGTGAAATAAAACTTATGCATATTATATTACTAGTACCCGGATGACCGAGCTTTTTCTTTGCTACAAATTACGTTCAAATTTTTGACCTTATTGACATAATAGAAAAAAACTGAACCGGTTATTTAAATAAAAAAAATCATGAGTGCAATTAGTTTAATTAAAAAAAGGGCTCGAAATAATAGATTTTCTCACAAAAGAAGGGAACCTGAAAAAAAAAGGAAAAAAAATCGGACCGAAGACAGGACGCGAACCAAGGCATTACGATTTCGCGACCGCTCGATATCCACTTGAGCTATTATGGTCATTAACACGGTGTCAAAATTTACCTTCTTATATTGTAGCAGTTTTTCATTGTCTGAAAACACGGACAAAAAGACATTTTCTAAAAATAAATCCTAGCTAGATCGATTTATTGCTTTACTTATTCCATTTTTTACTTATTCCACTCATTTACATAATACATTCAAACGCAACACAACTTAATAACCCAAACTACATTACAAAAAAACCCCCAACCAATTTACAATATCAAACTCATCACTACTTTGCGACCTGGATAATTTGTCTAGGTTAATATCTGATCAAAAACATAAGTTAAAAATAATGCATCATAACATTAGAAGCATAACTCACAACATAGATGAACTTAAAGTTCTAATACATAGGTCAGCTTTAGAATGGGACTTAATTCTTCTTACAGAATGTTGGTTGCCGTCCACCCACTATATTCCGATAATGGATGGTTATAACTATTGTAAAATTCTTAATAACGCAACCCAAAATGAGGGTGTAGTAGTGTATTTCAAAAAATCTTTGAATAGAACCTGGCAGGAGCTGTCAATATCAGATTGTAATTGTATTCTTCTAAAATATGTAAGGATACCATAGTCATTGTAATTTATAGATCAGCTGGATTTAAGGATCCCACAAATTTTATTGAATCGCTTAGTAGTACGCTTGATCAGTATTCACATTATAAAACCATAATTATAAATGGCGATATGAATATACATATTGTTATACATAGTAAGGACTCCTACTCTCCATATTACTTAAATAGTCTGGCATCTAAAGGTATGTTACCTGCCCACACCTTCCCTAGCCATGGCAAAACGTGTCTAGATCACGTCACATTGAAAACAAAACTTCGGTCAACCTGCTACGTTGCGGAAACTTCCATTACTGATCATGATACTCTTAATTCTATTAGAGGCTACTCTAGATACACATAGTTTTCCGCCAAAAATTAGAGAACGTGTAAATTACGATAATTTAGATAGTTACCTTCTCACTTTAGACTTTAAAATTATTTATTCTATGGTAGATGTTGACTCAGCAGCTACATTCCTATTAGAATCCCTAAGTAATGCTTTAAAAATGAATACTAAAACAAAGTTTTTAAATATGAAATCTAATTGTAGCGTAGTTAGAGATACTATTTCTACTTTATTTCTAAAAAGGTATAGACATTTACTAGTTCCTCCCATTACATATATATGTAACCTTTCCCTTAAAACTGATAAATTCCACAAGTGTTTCAAACTAGCTGAAATTCACCCTATTTACAAGAGCGGTGATGTGGGCTGTGTCAATAACTATAGACCCATTTCCATTCTTATTCCACTATGTCAAAAATTCTTGAAAAAGTAATTAACAAGCGTTTGACTAATTACTTAGAGAAACATGATCTGTTATCACATTGCCAATATGGTTTTCGATCAAAACGTTCAACTCAGGATGCAGTTCATGAACTAACAGATTTCGTTGTTACAAACCTTGACCGTAAAAAGAAAGTAGTCGTTATATTCCTTGATCTAGCTAAAGCTTTTGACACAGTTTACGTCCCGCTCTTGTTGAATAGGCTATAAGATCTTGGAATAAGAAATACACAGCTGAAACTTTTCTCCAACTACTTAACGGATCGATATCAGAGGGTAAGGATTGGTGGTTGTTACAGTGATGACCTTCCCATATCATATGGTGTACCACAGGGTAGTGTGCTTGGTCCCACGCTATTTCTTACATATATTAATACACTACGTAATCTAAAAATTCACAATGGGAGGATCATTGCCTTTGCGGATGACGCGGCTCTTCTTTTCCAGGCAGATACATGGTCTGAGGTATTTAACTTCGCAAAATGGGTTCGATTTAATAACTAAATGGCTAAAAGAATCTAAACTTACATTAAATGTCAATAAAACAAAATACATAGCATTTACTACCCAAAACATCAATGTATCTGAGTTAGAATACTTTCACATTACAGCTCACTGCTGCTCCCAAATTGAAAGCCCTTGCTCCTGTCCTACCCTGTATAGAACGAATTGCATAAAATATCTTGGCGTAATGATAAATAACACCCTAAGCTTTCACCTTCATATTGGCCTCTTAAGTACAAGGATTTATTTATATTTTTAAAAATCTACGTCGTAAGAAAAATGGTATATTTTGCACTGTGCCAATCATTGTTGACATATTGCATTACCATCTGGGGAGCAGCACCTAAAACGACCATATTGCAATTAAAAAGGGCTCAGAGGGCACTATTAAAAGTTAGCAATTCTCTTCCATTCCGTTGTCCTACAACTTTTATCCTTCCTTTATCAACATTGTAATTTCTTATCTGTTCGTAAATTGTTTATATTGCACACTACGCTGCTACAACATTCTCTTATACAGTATGAGTCCTCCTATATTATTGACAAAAGAAGGAAATATGTAGTTTGTACCAGTAAGCTTCTAAAGACAAAATTTTCGCATAAGCATTTTTGCTTCCTGGGAGGTTACCTTTATAACAAATTAAATAAACTTTTGTCAATTTACTCTCTACAAAACACAGTAAACAAAAATTACAGAAGTGGTTGCTAAATATCGATTATATGGCTGCTGAAAATTTACTGAAAGTATTATCCAAAACGCACACATCACAACCCACGCACGCACGCGCACACACACACACACACGCACGCGCGCACACACACACACACGCGCACGCACACACGCACACACACACACGCGCGCACACACGCGCACACACACGCACGCACACGCACGCACACACACACACACACGCGCGCACACATACACACACACGCACGCACACACACACACGCCACGCACGCACATACACACGCGCGACACACACACACACACACACACACACACACACACACACACACACACACACACACACACACACACACACACACACACACACACGCGCGTACACACACACACACACGCGCGCACACACACAAACGCACGCGCGCGACACACACACTACACACACACACACACACACACACATTACACATATAGAAATAACTTAAAAAAACATATAGAATCTTTCCTTGTTGAAATATTTCTTATTCTTGTATTTCTCTTGTAGTATTGTAAAAATGAAAAAAATAAAAATGTAATACATGCTATCCGTTAGGGATCCTAAACAGGATACTAAAATAAAGTTATTAAATTATTGTATTGTCAACGATCTTTGATACGAGTGCAAATTTTCAAGTCCATTGGCCGTCTACAAGTTGGTGAAAATTACATTAAAATTTTCTGTTATATAGATAGATACTCGTGAAGCTAATGGAAACGTTTTCAAAAATAGATTGTAAATCCTTAAAAATTTGTTTCGTTTTAATATATATGACTATTATATTTGTGAAATTACATCTCATACTATTGATAATATATATTGAATAAAAACTACACTATCTAATGCGATTTATTCATTAACATCATTGATCTGTAATAACCGTATAATCCTCCGATCTGATGAGCTATCTTCTCACACCTGGAGCAGCCCGGTTGCTGGCCCCAGCGGTGACAGCAGAAGTTAAACTGCTCAGTGACTGCTTGGCGTTCAGGAGGGAAGGATGTTAAGCATGGTAAGGAAGTTGAAAATAGGAGAGGATGTATATGTACTGGACGACCTTTTTTACAGTCTGGAAAAAATGGGGTGTAACATAAAAATACAATATAGAAATATTAATGGTTTAATGTAGGATGATTCTTAGTCTACAACATAGAAACCAGATAATATACATATAAATAGGGATTCAGTAATCATCCACAAATTTCATTGATTGAACATAATTTAACATGATCATTATTGTCATCATAACAGACAGTGAACGGAGTAGAAGCCTATGGCACTGATATTTTACAAAAAAGTGAATTAAACGTTTGAAAAAAAATTTTAACAATTTTTTAAAACTTTGGCCTTTACCCTTGAGCTTGTGACCCTGCGAAGTGACTAGGTCAAAGATGTCTACAAAATTTGTTGTTTTATTGCCGTTCGTAAATTAGGGTCGATATGATTTGAATTTATCGAAATTAGATAGATTTTAATTAATTTAATTATTTAATTCAAATTTTTTTTATAAAATATCAGTGCCATAGGATTCTATTTCGTTCACATGTTACACCCTATTTTTCCCAGATAATAAAAAAGGTCACCCATACATATGTAGGAAAATAAACCAAAAAAGACTCTCGTCGGTTGTTATTTTGAGCAGTTTGCGGATTACAACATATGCGCGCACAGCACGGTCCAATTTTAAGTCCCAGCGTGAAATCAGAAACGGTCCTGCGCCTGATCTCTCTTCGGTCGTGTCGGTTTACCGTCCCATCGCACTATGAGAGTGAGGTAATAGAGAGTGCTCCCGTACTTGCGCATACATTCGTTTACTATAATTCTGTTCCGCGCAGATGGTCAGTCTCCGTTGCGACCGGCTGTCGTGACCGAAATTCGGTCTTGTGGACGTTATTATTACTATAACCTATAACTATTTATAGCTGTCTTTCAAAATATGTCATATAAATCATTCTCGAAAACACCAGCAGTGAATTAAAAGGATTAGGCTTTGACTTCGTAAGCAGCCATCCATCTATTACAACCTATGAAAGTCCACTGCTGAACATAGTCCATAGATAGCCTTACAGGGGGGATATTTGCCATAGTTGTAATGTTACTGTTGATTTAACAATTTCACCTCTCAGTGGGTCATGTGCTCCTGGTAGATTATCTTCTACATAGTTGTAATGTTACTGTTGATTTAACAATTTCACCTCTCAGTGGTTCATGTGCTCCTGGTAGATTATCTTCGACATAGTTGTAATGTTGCTGTTGATTTAACAATTTCACCTCTCAGTGAGTCATGTGCTCCTGGTAGATTATCTTCTACATAGTTGTAATGTTACTGTTGATTTAACAATTTCACCTCTCAGTGAGTCATGTGCTCCTGGTAGATTATCTTCTACATAGTTGTAATGTTACTGTTGATTTAATAATTTCACCTTTCAGTGGGTCATGTGCTCCTGGTAGATTATCTTCAACATAATTGTAATGTTACTGTTGATTAATAATAATTTCACCTCTCAGTGGGTCATGTGCTCCTGGTAGATTATCATCTATACATCTATCCTTTACAACCAATATAATCAACTGCAACCCTTAATTTGAATTCTTGAGATTTTGCCCTAATTTGCTACGCTTGACAGGAGAGTTCGCAACTGCATTTATTTAATTTTGAAATGTTATCAGAAAGATGCCGCTGCATCTCCTGTTTCGGGAGATTATAAGCCGATATTATTAAGGATGTTGTTAATCGATTAATATTGTGGTGTCCTGCCAGTGTTTATCAACTTTCATGGCGATCGGCTGAAGGATATAGAGTACGTAGATGTGCTACAGCGCCATCTAGTAGTAAATTACAACAAAGTGGATAGCGTAAAACCTTCTGCATAGACAAATACATTTATGAGCTAGCATTCGCAATGTAGTGGCAATATATATATCAACTACCTCATATCATTCCGTGGGTTTAGTAAGAGGTAACATATTTAAATAAAACATAAGATGCATTTTGGTATGCAGCATCTTTGTGATATCTCAAAATAAAAATAAAAACTTCGGTTGTGCGGTTGCAGGTGTTGCTTGCTAAATATGACAAATACCCCCCTGAAGTAATCTATTGGGGGGGGGGGGGGTTAATGTTTAGCGATGAACTTATGTTGGGCTGAAATGATCATGAATATTCATGGTATTTTTAAATTTATTTTGACTTAGTTCAATTGTCGAGTTTTCTTAAGTAAAGTTATGTCCATATATTTGAATACTAATTCTGATAAGCGAGAACCGCAAAGGATTAGTTACATGTTACATAGATTTATCACCATCATCATCATTACAACCTCATTCAATTCCACTACTGAACATAGGCCTCCCCCAAGGCATTCCCCTAAAAACAACTTCCTTAGTGACCTGCATCCAACGACCTCCTATAGATTAAAAAAAGGCAAAGTTACAGCTTATATACGTCTCAGTGCTGGGCACAGGCCTCCCCCTCATTTATGAGAAGGTTTTAGGGCAAGGAAGTGTCCGCCGCGCTGCCCCAATGCCTGTTGGCGAAATTCACTTGTCTTCGAAATATATTTTTTTATTCCTCATACACGCTGGTTTTCTCACGATGTTTTCATTCATCGCCGAGCACGTGGTAAACCAGCACTTAAAATTGCAATTAACAATTTCATCGGTACCGACGGGGATCGAACCCGGGTTACTCGCGTTCTGTTATATTTATAGCGAGCGTTAACTATCTGAGCTACCACGGCTATCCTATAGATTAGATTACTTTAAATACAAAACACATTACTCATCATAATTTAATTTACAGTTAAGCACAATGTTCAGCACAAACTCACCGGAACCGGAGTCGACGTTCTCTTTGTCCACGGAAGCCCGTTCCGGACGTACGGCCAGCTCGCGCACGGAACTCTCGGCGACGTCCGGGTTACTGGCCAGCGGCTTGCGGAGGGGCTTCGTAGTCAACCTGTTCAGTGAGTTGCTGTCTTATTGATACATTCGCGGACACTTCCAACAAACTTTCTAAATGGATTTTTTTATAGAATAAGGGTGACAAACGAGCACAAAGTCCACCTGATGGTAAATGGATGCTGTGGCCTATAGACATCTACATTTATCCTCGATTAAAAAATAAAATCCGGATACGTTCTCACCCTAATGGACCAAAACGGAATGTCTCGATCCCAGTAAAGAGTCTCTGGTTCTCACCATACGAAACACAGCAGTATTAAGCTGCTATTTCACGCTGGTATTCCGTAAGAGCGTGGTCCTACCCCGATCGTGCCGATCAATTCGTGCTACAACAATAATATAGCTGTAATGCGGCTCCAATAATGTCCTCCAGACCGAATTCCGGCCACGGCGGCCAGCCTTAACGGAGGCTAGCCATCGACGTAGGACAGGATTATAGTGCCCAAGTGTATACGCAAGCACAGGTGCACTCTCTATACCCTCACTCTCATAATCCGATGGGACAGTAAACCGACACGACAGGAGAGAGATCAGGCGCAGGACCAACAGCTTTACGTGCTTTCCGAGGCACGGCGGTGAGACACCGCCGACTTCCTGACTCCGGGCAGCTACTGAGAATTTATTGACGGAAATCTCAATAATTGATTTTTGCCGACCCGGGATTCGAACCCAGTACCTCATAATCAGCAGTCACACCACTATAATCACTAGACCAACGAGGCTCTACCACATTAAAAACAGCATATCCCCCAAACGATCTCACAGTCCACTTGATGGTACGGGGTTACCGCAGTCACGGGTGACAACGCATCTGCATTTTCATTCATAATCGAGACTAAATGTAGATGTGTATGGGTCACAGCAACCACTTAACATCAGGTCGACTCTGTGTCCGTCAGTCTCCCTATTTTATAAAAAAGGGTCTCCGGTTCTCTACACTTACGATACGAAACACAGCAGCATGAAGCTGCTATTTTACGCTGGTACAAAAAAGTAACTAAATGATGCATCTATCGACTTACCGCATGTGTTATACACTCGTCTCACTTATATTTATATGTGTTAGAGCCACGTTGGGGCCATATTATGTTTGTAGCACGAACGGGTCGGCTTGTCCGGGTAAGGAGCACACTCTCACAGAATAGAGTAAAATTGCAGCTTAATACTGCTGTGTTTTTGTATGGTGAGTAGAGATCCGTAGACACTTGTTTACTGGAAACAATTCATTCCATCTTAGTGCTCAGGGGTGACAACGCATCTGCATTTTGATTCTTAATCGAGGGTAAATGTATGTCTATGGGCCACAGCATCCTCTTACCATCAGGTCGACTGTGAGCTCTTTTGTCATCTTTATTCTATAGAAATACATATAAAATAATTATTTTTAAAATTGTATAATATCAAATCCACTTACCAACTAGCACGTCTCTCCGTTGCCTGACATAGTTCTTGATCTGAAAAAAAAATTTTTAAATTTCTTTAGACATTTCTTTATACATCTAATTTAGAATAATATTTTTTAGTGATTTGCTTCAGCACTGGTTTGCCTTTTTACAAATAACATTAAAATAATTTTATGCTATCAGAAAGAAAGGCAAAGAAAGATTATGCTAGGGCAGTGCGATTTATCATCTAAAGCGGGGAATTCACTAGACGGACGTGCCCGCGGGCTGTTTGTCCGGGCACGTCTGTCGCCGCAATACACTGCACAAAGTAGTCAGTTTCTTTTACACATCTTTTTAATTGTTCATTAACACATGTGTTGTGCGTGCACATTAAGATGACAATGAATGAATGAATGAATGAATATACTTTAGTGTACACCACAAACAAATTTACAAAGAACACAACAAAGAGCAGATTACACGTACAATTTGGCGATCTTATCGCTACACAGCGATCTTTTCCGCGCAACCAAAGGTGTAAAGGAATAATACAGTGAATACTATGACAACCTAGATTTGCAATGCTTACTATTTATTTATATATTAATTTGATGCAAAGAAATGTAAAAATAAAAATAAGTTGATGAACCAGGAGACCTGTACAATTACTTGCGCACGGATATAGAGTGGTATAAACTCTTCACAGAATATTTTATTATCATTAAAACTCGTTGCAAATTAAAAATCTCCAAAGTTCGTTAAATAATAGTAACGACGGTTCAACACCATCAACCCTTGCACAGATCTATAGTTAAGTCCAGCGGACATGTCTGCAAACACGCCCGTGGGCAAGTCCGTCTAGTGAACTCCCCGCTTATTGCTTTATAATAAGTCAAAAAGGGAAAGAGAGAGAAAGGGAAAGAGAAGGAAAGAAAACGAGAGAAAGGAAGAGAGTAAAAGAGAGACAGAGGGAGGGAGAGGATGTGAGATAGAGGGAGAGAGCGTGAGATAGAGGGGGAGAGCGGGAGGGATGAAGAAGGAAAACTTATGACTGGTTCAAAACCCCTAACTTAAATTAGAGGAAGCCTGCAACCTATAATGTATGATGTAATATACTATGTTGTTACGAATAAGAGTAAAAATAAAAGAAACTACGAAGAAATGAGGGCAGAACGCGTCATCTCTCACGCATTCTAGCAGTATACAATATCACACAGGCAACTAAGTGAAATCGATCGGTCGTTCATAAGAGATCATTGATTCCACTGTCACGATTTTGCTTTTTGTTCCGACAGTGAACAATTGATTATGCTTTTTAGAGTAATAACATTGGTAAATGTAAAGAAAGTTATAGTGCGGAGATGCTGTCTTAAATCACATTGTGACCTACGTAAAATCAGTATTTTAAAACTTGATTGGACTCAACAAATAAACGGATCGCTGCCTGTACGCTTAGATCTTTTAAACCAGCAACAGATTTTGATGAAACTGGTAAGTTTATTTATTTACTATATATTATATATATATATATACTACTGACGTCACCTCAAGTAGTGAAAACCCGGAGTACCTTCAGCTTTTAAGTTATTATTTATGGTCCGATCTACGCAAAATAAACTTGCTGTGTCTTGAAGTCTTGCAGTGTTATGCTTGGGTTTAGTTTTAATTTTATTAATTACGGGTCCTAAGCACGTAGTAGTACCCAGCCTCCTTCTATATTGAAATTAGGATGTTTTTTTTTAATTTCAATAGCCTCACATATGATCCTTGGTAGGAATCGATGTTCTTTTGCGAGGATTTGTGGCCTATCAAATCTATCTGAACGACCCCAACCATTACATCAAATTAACTCAGAACTTAAATTTACTATTAACAATTTCATTGGTGACGGCAGGGATCGACAATGGATTGTTCGCTTACTGTGATATTTACAGTGAGTGCTATCCGTCTCTGAAAGGAAATAGCTCACCCAAATTAGGATATAGTCGAGGAGTGGCTTCTCCGTCCATTGGCTTCTCCTTGTCAGCCCACGACACTTTGCTACCGCTCAACCTGCAATAAATGCAACAGATATTAATTAAAATTGGTATTTTTCTTATCTATGCAACAAAATCTACACATATAACTAAAATTATAGTGTCTGTAATATTGTTTGACCAAAGGGTTGATGATCTCCCGCGGGGCAAGGTATTCAGCCCGGGGAGTGGCCAACGCTCCGTGAGTTATCATAGCTGTGCCTTATATAGCAGAACTTTTGTTGCTGTAGTTAAGGTACACTATTCTATTTATTTGAAATTAACAGAAAGAGGCATGTGTTCTTTAGTAACGATTTATTCACACTGACTTTATAAAGTTAACATTAGCCTTTAAAACGCCAAGCATGGATTAGGAATGGTATACACATTATGTATGTGTTTGTGAACATTTGTAACTTGTACGTTTATTATGCATTGATGTATGATTGTGTTCTGTGGATATTTATATATAGTATAATTATGTCAGTTTGTATATAATTTTTTATATTTAAATTTGAAATTGAAAAAAAAATTGTTTGTATACAAAATGTCATTGTGTATGTATGTACGTATGTTCGAGTAAATAAACCTTACAACTTCGATAGCGCGATTTAGGCTTTGGTGCGTTTCGCTTACGGCGCGAGCACAGTGCAGCCACAATTGAATTTTATTCAGTTAGTATTGAGACATGCATAAACATTTCTAAAATGTTTATCTGTCTAACTGTTTCGGTTAATCTTCAGAATGGCAGCACAGATTATAGTACAACTTGACGAACAGAGAGCAATAGACAGATAGAAAATTCTTTATTGCACTCAAACAAAACAATTTGGTACAAAGGCGAACTTAATGCCGAAAAGGCATTCTCTGCCAGCTAACTTTTAGTAGTGTGGTGAGAGCTATGGGTAGAGCCGCGAGAGAAAGAAAAACTAACTTATTTATTTATACAATTCAAAACGCATTATATAATATTATGTATATGTTAGTCTATACATATATACACTTATACACATACATATATATACATACATACATATATATTTAAATAAAATATATACTAAACCAATAAAGCATACAATATAGTATACGAAATTATAATAAAGATAATCAATAAAATTAATCAAGTAATTTTAAATAATATGCCTTAAGCTTATGTTTAAATGTATTTATTGAAGGATACCATATTATGTGCGCAGGAATTACACGCTTTAATTCCTCCCTCACTTTTCCACCATCGTACGACCAGACGGTCAGCGGGTCTTCACCCCTTTGTTGTCGATATACCACGCATTAGAACCAAACGGTTTACTTCGACATTTTTAATGCATACAGCAAAGGTGTGGAATAATTTGCCGGCGTCTATCTTTCCGTCCGAATACAATCTGGGCGTCTTCAAGGCAAGAGGGAACAGGCTTTTGTTACGCTGAGACAGTGCGATTTACCATCTAAGGCTGCAGCACCACAACCACGAGGTGGCATTTTGGTCTAGCACAGGCTTATAAAAAGTAAAAAAAACACCACGAGTGATCTGGACTGTAATTATTTTATTCGAAAAATTTGGAAGAATTTTTTTGAGAAAGTGATAAATGGTTTTTGACACTTATCTTAAATCTATACATGCAAGTTTTTTAATAATTTGAATGTTGAAATACAACAAGTGATTTGTCTGATTTTCTTTTTAACCGACTTCAATAAAAGAAGTTCTAAATTCATCGATATATATTTTTTATGTATGAATAGGTATGACATATATCTATGGACCGATTTTAAACATTTATTTAAATAGTTTATACTTCATTTTATTTTATATAATAATGGTGACAAATAAACACACAGTCCAACTGATGGCAGGTGGTTGCTGTGACCCATAGACATCTACATCTATCCACAGTTAAGAATCAAAATGCATCAGAAATAGCACCTTAATACAGCTGTTGTGTTGTGTTGTGTTATTTGGTGAGTGTAGAAATCCGGAGACCTTTTTTACTGGAAACTAGGCTCTCCATCTTAGCCCTCACGGGTGACAACGCATCTGCATGTTGATTCGTAATCAAGGATAGATGTAGGTGTCTATGGGCCACAGTAACCACTTACCATCACGTAGATGGTATACTCGTTTGTCACCAATAATCTGTAAAAATACGAAAAAATGCGAAGTCATATTTTAAAATAAATTATCAACTCACCAGTTGTGTTTGTCGGAGTTCACATCAGAGCCTGTAACAAAAACACACGTAAATAGTAGCATACATTAAAAATGCTACTACTCAAAAGAATTCATCTCCCTCTGGACCCAAGCAAGTCGTGGGCGTCGTAAGAGTCGAGGTATTCATCAACCCGCAATACCACAACTGGTCATAAGCCTTTAGTTTGGAGAATCTGCTGCAATCGCCACATTTAATCCTCCACTGCTTATCAAATGAAAACAACTTTACGAATTTTATCGCATTTAATTTTTTTTTCTTAGCTAACGGACTCGTACGGTTGTCTTTTCGCCAGTTTTATTTTCATAATTTTTATTTTATTAACAAGGCACACAAACAGATTTTAGACAATACTAACACAGTTACAGTAACAATTATTATTATTGTGTATAATACAATAGAGCATGAAAAAAATGAATACTACATAGTATGAGTGTTGGTAAAAAAACTAATTTAATGATATTCGTGATTTTTTTTTTGTATACGTGGTAGAGCCATGCTATAGCTATATTATGATTGTAGCACGAATGGGTCGGCTCGACCGGGGAAAGGTCCACGCTCTCACAGAATACCAGCGTGAAATAGCAGCTTAATGCTGCCGTGTTCCGTATGGTGAATGTAGAGAACCAGAGACTTTTTTTACTGGAAACGAGGCATTCCATCTTAGTCCTCGGGAATGACAACGCATTTGCATTTTGATTCTTAATCGGGGATAGATGTAGATGTCTATGGGCCATAGCATCCACTTACCATCAGGTGGACTGTGTGCTCGTTTGTCATCCTTATTATATATAAAAATTACGTAATTAACGTAGCAAATACAGTGTCAAATATGAAATTACTTATTATAGTAATGTGTTTAAAAACTTCTTCGCAATATGTTGATGCATCAAATTGTGAAGTTGCCGAGAGATTTTGATGGTAGTCAGCAGACAGTCTAAGAAGTCTATTTTGATATCACAATAGGACCACTTGTTTCGTCTTTACACTAACAGTTCACGTTTAATATACAAGATCGCACGAATTTTACATATCAAAATCTACTTTAAACCATTAACAGTTACAGCCTATATACGTCCCACTGCTGGGCACAGGCTTCCTCTCGGTTCTAAGAGGGTTTTATTTAGGACAAGGAAATGTCCGCCGCGCTGTCCTAATGCGTGTTGGCGAACTTCACATGCCTTTGCAATATTAAATTTTTAAATTCTTGTCAGACATGCAGGTTTTCTCGCGATGTTTTTTTTACCACCGAGCACGTGGTAAATCAGTACTTAAAATTTTCCGGTTCACTACACGCACCATACGAAACACAGCAGCATTAAGCTACTATTTTGCGCTGGTATTCTGAGAGTATGGTCCTTCCCTGGTCGGGCCGACCCATTCGGTACAACTATACTAATATGGCTGCGCGGCATGGCTCTACTACGTAAAATATATATCCCAACAAGCTGTAACACCCTATTTTACCCCTTCAGGGTTGAATTTTTGAAAATCCTTACTTATAGTCCGTTCGCGTTAAGAAAATAGTGAGTCATCGTTGTCCGCCGGCCTGGCCACGCCCCCCAGCCAATTAAAATGCAAGATTTTAGAAAGTCGAGTTCACAGTGACCAGTTGAAGTCAGGCCTTCGAACAAAACGGTTGTGTATTTTGCGTGTTACTCGTTCAACATTAAATTTTGAAAATGAATACCTCACCTATTCGAAAGAATAAAAGTGGATCAATAATCCATAGCGGAGAGAGACGCGTAATTTACAATGTTTATAAGTACTTTAAACTGTGTGATTTAAATGCGACTGTGGAGAGCACAGTAATAAAAACAGCAAGTGCATGTGGTGCGTCCGAAAATAATGTTGATACTAACACGTTAAAAACACCCGTGAAAAAAAGAGCTCGACTATCGACGGTCGATAAATTAGATGAACTAGACAAATGTGCAATGAGGAGAAAAGTTCACTCAATATATTATTTCTGATTACTGATGAATGATACTGATTAGTGATTTAAATAATTTTAAGAAAATTTGTTTCCATTAAACTTAATTAAATGTTTGAAAAAAAAAAAGACTCTCCACTGTGAATACACCTTTACCCTGTAGTTGCACTGATGACTCACTATTTTCTTAACACGAACGGACTACAGTGATTGTCTACATTGAGAAAAGTGTATATATACAAATTTCAAATCAATTGGGCGAATAGTTATGGAGATGTGATGAGTGAGTGAGTAAGTTGTATTTTGCTTATATATAATAAATTAACGCACTATTGCTGTCGCCATTCTTTTGTTCAGTATTCATATGCGGCCCGTCGCGTACGTCGTGTGTGGACTTTGTGGAGTGTGCGGAGAGTCCAGCGTTCGGTTCCGACGATCCTGCTTCGGGGCGCTCGCTCTTTGCTTCGCTTTGTGACGTCTGCTCTTCCAACGACCTGTGAAAAGAAATTTAATAAATATTTACCTCGTATCTCAAATCATCACAATTATTATTTAATAATCACATCTAGTGGTCGAAAAGATATTTTTAATAACTGGCTTCACGTTCAGTGATAATTTAATGTTATAATTTATTTTATTTTTTTAGGAAATTCAATAAATAACACTTTAACTACATTTATTAACACACCACTATATATTACACAACCATAATATTAGTTATATCAAATCAGTGAATTATATTTGAGACACAAGTACCATGTGTACGTCAAAACCTCCCAGGTCCCATATTTATACATTAAGTAAGCTGTATGTTATTTAACATACAAAATATAAAAACCATTAAAAACATAACTTGTAAAAAAAAACCAAGTCTCGCAACTCAGTTCTTCTACCGTAAAAAGTTGTGAGATCTATGTAATACCAAGTCGGTTAATTTATTCAGTTCCTACTTAAGGGTCCTTCTGTTTTAAGTTATTACGTAATTAGCTAATCTAACAACATTTTATAGTGACCATATCGTTGTTAAAAGTCTTTTATATTTTAAATATATAGATTGACTTGGCCATGCATGAAACCACAATGTATCTCACAAGTAATAGGTATTATATTAAATTAGATTGCTTAATGCGATTGCAAAGTTAAATCTTTGTTCTATAACGATGTTTTTTTTCGATCGATTTCGATTTTTGATCGATAGTTGTAGCAGAGCATTCGATAGATAAACATTCCGATTCTGCGCCGTACAATCATCAGAATATAAAATTATTAGCAATCATTTCTTCAGTAGTGTTTTTTTTAAAACAGTCTATGATGCATGATATAAACACAGAAGCAGTCAAACCAGCGTAACTTTCGTCAAACCATTAGCAGGTAACTTCTTTGTTGGCAAGATTATACATCGTAAAATTATGCACACATAGTTTAGTTTTAAAATATAAAGCACTGGCTTGAAGTTGTGGACATAACTTTACGGCCTGTAAATCTTGTGTAAAAACATGTGCATCATCCAATTGACGAGCCTTTCTTTTTTCTCTCTTTATCTTTCACTTTCTCGCTTCTTGCCATGTTTTTTTTTTCTTAATATGTGATCGATATTCTTCTTCTGCTATGTTGCCTACCTTGTACGAACAGCAAGTATCGCACTGATCTTTTTTAGGCGAGAACAGGCTTAGATTCAACTCGTCAAAAACTTTGCACATAGTCCAGCGACTAAGTGGACTTTTCGACTCTTTTTCGCACTCTTGGATGTACAACCTAAAAAGACAGTTCTTGTTTTCAACAATCGGCTCTAAACACTGTTTCGATGTAGATGCGCTGCAATAGTGCGAGGGCATTTTTGGTAACGAAGCAAAGAACTGTTTGAGGAATGTCTTGTCTTATTAACGCGTTCATCATTTTCGTTTGGTCGTGGTGTTGTTTTAGCAATGCCATGTTCAGATCTAATGATTTCTTATATTTACGCGAACACTACACATTGAAATAATACTAATTTTTACGGAATTTATCGCGTATATTTAACTTTTTTACCCGACGTTTCGAGAGCTTTACAGCACCCATGGTCACGGGAAGGACTGAGATGTTCAACGTCCAGCTGTCATATCTAACCGCGGTTACCATAGATTAAAATTTAACTTTTATTTATAACTTTTGCATGGAAACATTAAATAAACGCGAAATTAGTAAATATAACGAATGCAAAAACAAACATATAGAAAAATATCAAAAATTAACGGCCAAATCAAATGTCAAACATCCGAATCAATGCCAGAACCAAAAGCAACCATTGACAAACACAGATCATAGATTAATCGCGTTCTATAATCTGTCAAAACAAACACTGGATGATGCAACAATAAAGGTGTTATCCAAAGGACTAAATTACGCTATAACTCCAAGCAGATTACCGTACGAAGAAATTATCTGTAGTGTCGAGTGACTGTTTATTTAAAAACAATATGCGGAAAGAAGATTTGGAGGCGATACGTCAAGACATTTCGTCTATGTTACGTCGATGTTCAGTGCCTAAACCGAATCTTCCCAGAGACGAATTTATAGCGTTAAAGAACCTACGCAATAAACCAGAACTTACGATTCTCCGCGCAGATAAGGGAAACGCCACGGTGGTCATGGATACGTCAGATTATAATTCTAAAATACAAGAACTTTTGTCGGATGTAAGTACTTATAAAAAGGTTAAAAACGACCCAACAAACAGCACACTAAAAACAACTAGTGACCTCATAAAGAAACACTCCGAAAAATTAAATCTGGACGTAAAATGGATAATACCTACGTGCGCCAAATCACCAAAGTTGTATGGGTTACCAAAAATACACAAGCCCAATGCTCCATTACGCCCCATAGTGAGCCAAATCGATTCACCAACTTACAGATTGGCTCAACACTTAGCGAAAATACTCTCACCGCTCAGGGGACATACAAGAGCACACATAAAGGATTCCTACCATTTTGTCAGCGAGATTAAAGACCTACGTCTGGCAGACAATGAAACTATGGTCAGTTTTGATGTGCAGTCATTGTTTACATGCTTACCTGTTGAAGACTGCATCTCAATTGTAACTAGAAGGCTGGAAGAAAACAACATGCCCGTAGAATATGCAGTATTACTCAGACACTGCCTTACATCTGGCTACCTATTGTGGAAGGAGGAGTTCTACAAGCAAGTAGATGGTGTGGCGATGGGCTCACCTGTATCTCCCATTGTCGCAGACATATTCATGGAAGACTTTGAGGAGAAAGCCCTGCTTACTTCTCCCATAAATCCAAGATTCTACAAGCGGTACGTAGACGACACTTTCACAATTCTACCTTTAGATAAAGTAACTGCATTTTTAGACCATCTTAACTCTATAAATACTAAAATTCAGTTCACAATGGAGTTAGAGGCAAACAATTCCTTAGCTTTTCTAGATGTGTTAGTAATTCGGAATCCTGATAACACCTTGAGCCATACTGTGTATAGAAAAAAGACCCATACAGATAGATATTTAAACGGTGATTCTCAGCACCATCCTTCACAGTTAGCTACCGTGGGTAAATCTTTGTTTCAGAGAGCACGAGGGATCTGTGACAGTAAACACCTGGCTGCCGAGCTCCAACATGTCAAGCAAGTTTTGCATGACAACAAGCTTCGGGTCCCGCGCCTACGTCACAGAGAACGAGTGAAGCCGGCCACAGTCGAGCGTGTACCTGCTGTACTGCCATATGTTAGAGGAGTCACTGACAAGATTGGCTACATCTTGAAGCGCGCTTCCATCAAAACATACTTCAAGCCGCCGAAGAAGATTGGTCAGTTTTTACCATCAGTCAAGTGTAACGTCCCTCTGCAAGATGCAGGAGTGTATAAGCTTGATTGTGAATGTGGTCTCTCCTACATAGGACAAACTAAAAGATCAATTAAAACCCGCGTCAAAGAACATATAGCTGATGTGAAGAATCGACGCTCCGGGAAGTCTGCAGTCTGTGAACATGTACAGGATCGCCCCCGTCACTACATCAGATTTGATAGACCACAAATCCTCGCTAAAGAACACCGATTCCTTCCAAGGATGATTCGCGAGGCTATTGAAATCAAAAAACATCCTAATTTCAATAGAGAAGATGGCTGGGTGCTACCATCTGCTTGGGATCCTATAATAAATAAAATTAAATCCCAACCCAAGCATACAACTGCAAGACTCCATGATACCATAAGTTCATACTGTGTAGATCGGAACAAAAGTTAAATTTTAATCTATGGTAACCGCGGTTAACTATGACAGCTGGACGTTGAACATCTCAGTCCTTCCCGTGACCATGGGTGCTGTAAAGCTCTCGAAACGTCGGGTAAAAAAGTTAAATATACGCGATAAATTCCGTAAAAATTAGTATTATTTCAATGTTCAGATCTATCAATCCAGCATCTTATAGTCGACTCTTTCAAACCCAGAGTGTTTAAAAAAGTCTTCAGACAAACTTGGGTACGTCCTCAGAGGGACGTACCCAAGTTTTTACCCAAGTTTGTACTGAGAAAGTACTGTTTACTCTCACTTCTACGAGAATTAGATTTTACTTTTACTTGCTTTTTTTCACAAACGGAGACGTGAGATACAACGTACTGTTTCCGTTGCTCTCAAGTCATGCTTTTCCAGAACTTGCCAAAAATGTTCTCTCTTTCGATGTCAGACAAGCTAAAACAGCCACATAACTTAGACTTCGAGCAAAACGTGGAAGTGCAACGTGAACCAATTGAACGTGCTGGACGTGGCACATCATGAAGTACATTAAATTTCTCTTGCCCTGAAACTTTCCTGTCCCTATGGTACCCCACATATTCTTCACCCTGCATACGCTTCAGTTTTGTTTTGTTTTTATTCCATTTTTTAGGTTGTGCGAATCCCTTCGATTTCCTTTTTCTATTCGAATTTATATCTTCGATCTCACTGTCAGACGGTAGCTGCTCCAATAGCGACGGTGAATTTCCGGCAGTCGTGGAAAGCGGCTGTACTTCTTCATTTAAACAGGTAGATGGAGCTGAAGGTAAGAATGTCTCTTCAATGTCATTTTCAGGTGGTTGTGTCGCTTCTAATGGCGGTGAAATCTCAACAGACGAGGACAAAGGCTGCAATTATTCTCTTGACCGCAAATGTACTATGGTAACTTGTTCAGATGACGAAAGAGGTATGGTATCCTGAATGTTTTGAGGGCTCAATAGACACAGCAAAGGCGGCGATGGACGCTCGGAAACTATTTCTATTGGTAAGTTATTAATATCGATATTTTCTAAGTCAGTCAATGTTACCGGTAATATCTTCTGTTTTTTTGTTGGTACTTGTATCTTTAAGTCGCTGCAAAGAATCAACATGTCATCATCAAGTTCTTCGCTATCACTTAATAGAACATCTATCTTGTATTTCTATGCAATCACCTTGAAAAAAGAGAAAGAAAGATGATATTATTAGGAATAAAACATCAAGATAAATTGCAAATAATACCTTAAATGGGAATCACAACATCGGAGCACTTGATGCACGACGAGTTTGTACGTGAATAGCTGACATACGCAATGTTAGCACCACCAACTGAGATACGCTATGTAACTATTTTTCAAATAACGCGTTGGTATTGATCAGGAATCGTGTTTTGATTGGTCGACACGATGCGCGCCACAATGCTTTATCCAATGACATTCAAATCTCAAAACACTCACAAAATGACTTACGCACTGTTAGAACTTCACTGACGATATAAAAGTTATATACGAGTACATATTTTCGCTTTCTGAACTTGATCTCGCTAAACTTTAACTATGCCAAATTCACACTCCTCAGTGCCCGTAATATGGTTATAAAGGGGTACAAAGTTTTTTCTTCACATTTTATAAAAAAATAACCGATAAAAATAAAGAAAAAGAACCGGTAGAAATACTACCTCAATTTTATGAGTGGGTTCACAATCTACAACAAAAGACGTCACATATTTAAAATACCATCACCAAAATTGTAAAGTTCCAGAAAATTTTCAATTTTTGCTGACCCTAGTGTATACTCCCTTTGTAAATATTTTATGTGCTTTTATTATTAAAATTACTTAACAACTTTGGTGATGGTATTTTAAATATGTGACTTATTTGTTGTAGATTGTGAACCCATTCATTAAATTGAGAACTCTTATTTTAACTATTATCATCTTGTCACTTCCATGACTGACTTGACGCTGGCAGAATTCTATCAAAAGAAGCCATAATATAAAAGAAGAAGAAATACTCTCTAAATTAAAGTAAAAAAATCTTAAAATTAAAGTAAAAAAGAAATTTTAAAGAACATCATTGCAAGATTTGAATATCATCTCACGATTAAAAATCTTGAGTTTTGTCATGAACATGTCCTCATTTTCAAATTATAATAACACTTATTCTCATATGAATAACGAATATGTAACTAATTAAAAATACACCGTTATTCTATTCTATTTATTATATTATTTATTAAATAAAAACTTTTTCATTCTACACTTTTCTAGCTCTTTTGGCCTTATCTCCTTCGATAAATCTTTAAAAAAATTAGAATGGGTGGGATTATCTAAAATCCTGTAAACTTGACGAAACGCCTAAAGTCCTACCTATATTAGTATATTTACCCAAAAGTAATGCAAAATATCTAAAAGTGGAAACACTGCACGGACACACGGCACGCATTGGTGATACGTAAACATTTTAGCACCAATGAGTCTGTTCCATTTTGTTTGTTCAATGACCCGGTCCATACACAGTAGTATATAAGTTTATGCCCTTCACAGTCCATGTTGTTAGAATGTGTTCAATCAGATCCTACTGCTGGACTTTCAAATTAATTAAATTTGCACAATTTTTACACAAAAATATTATAAAGGGATTATCAGATGGTGGTATTGAATCTATAGGAAGAAATAGAATACCAGTTCAATTTAAATCTGCTAATTTTACAATTATTTTGTTGACAACCCTCTCCTTAAAAATAATAATAGCATAGCAATACAGTCAAACCCGGTTAAGTGAGAACTGGATAAGTGAGAAAACTCTATAAGTGAGTAATAGCCAGGACCCGTCATTTTAAGCTCCCAAAACCTCTATTAGCGAGAAACAGAAACCTCTGTAAGAGGGTCGTTTTTCCCTCATGGACCTCCGTAAGTGAGACTGCTACTTATCTATACCTCTAAAAGCGACAGTCGAGCTTTATTTATTTATATTATTTAGGAGGAACTATAGCTAAAATAAAAAAAAACATACATACATTAAAGATCACATACAGTAAAGCCCCATTTACATTCAGCCCCTGCCACTGCTCCTCGCGCTGCCGGCAACACTTCGCTAAATACTGCCGTAGCAGGATCGCGGGACGTGTGTATTCACACTCTGCCCTACCACTCACATCGCTTTCGGCTTTCGACTATGGCAGACGTCGAAATAGTTACAGCGTCCGCGCTGCGTCTTCTTGTAATACAAAATTGTGTTAATAATTCAAAAAGATATCAAAAGATGATAGATAGATATTGTTACATAAATAATATTAAATATTATATGAGATTAGTTAAGCTATTATTATTTTAATAATTACACTACAGTATAAATTAATTCATAATTTTAATTACAAAAAATTATAATTTACAAATCTCAGGCTATTATGCAAATATTACCATTTAACTTAATACATTATTTTACATTTTAATAAATAAGTAATCAATATGACTTACTTATTGTTTTTAGAAATAAAATGTCAATGTTCATTAATTCCTTAAACTAAACTTCATATTAATATAATAAATTTGAGTAAATTGTAATTAATTATGTATATTATAGGAATTATGTTATCTTAAAAAGAAAATTCGTTTTCGTTGAAGATGATGAATTATAGTTTTTATCGTTGAAATCCCATATAGATTTTTCTGATTCCAGCAGTTCTAAAAACTTTAATATATTTTCATTATTCCACTCGAAAGGCATTTTGGCAGATCGTACTTGTGGCGGCGCTGTCGTCGCGCCGCAAGCGAAACACACCGAAGCCTAAATCACGCTATCAAAATTCCGAATCATAAACAGTATATGTATATAGAACATCTCCGAACTATCACACGGAGTTTTGGCCGCTCCCCGGGCAGAACACCTTGCCCGGCGGGAGATCTTCCCTTTTCCTTCCACAGCCACAGTGGTGACCACCCGACGTGATCTGAACACGCAACCAACAACCTTCGGAAACTTCAAGCTTCATCATCGTTATAGAATACCCCACCCATTCGCTCCTGACCACTGAGCAGATATCAACTGCAGTCTTCATATCCTGCAAGCCATCTAGCTTCACAAGGTTCATCGCAGCACTGGAATAATAATGCTTTCTGTTCCTTCAAGCTACTCTCTGCGCTATACAGTGTTCGGCACGGCTCTGAGCCTTACTGCTCGCCTCTGCTTCACGGCACTCTCGCAGATTACTTGCCTTCTTCTCGACTCACCGCAGACTACAAGGCAATCTCCTGGCACTTGCACATTCGTCGACAACGAGGCTGCACTATCGACCTCCGGTCTGAGCAGGGGGTGATGTGGCGGCGCTGTCGTCGCGCCGCAAGCGAAACACACCGAAGCCTAAATCACCCTATCAAAATTCCGAATCATAAACGGTATATATATAACAAACAAACGTTATATATAGAACATCTCCGAACTATCACATCCTGCGCCCTCTTTTCCCCTGCGCCCTCTTTTCTCAAAAGAGGGTCGCTCCCGATACGGCATAAGAAAGCTTAAACAGCCAATTGCCAGTCCCCAAAGACGGTTTTTAGAGGGTAACACTTAGGTTCCCGGGTAGGCAGTGAGTCCCTCATAACCACGATAGACCGGCTATCGTGGTATGCGTAACGCATTTTCCGCCTCCCTACATATAGGGTAGCCCTTTAATTGCTACGGGCGCAAAAAAAAAAAACTATCACACGGAGTGTTGGCCGATCACCGGGCAGAACACCTTGCCCGGCGGGAGATCTCCCCTTTTCCTTCCACGGCCACATACTTATTTAATAACAAGACGGCACGCACGTCCGTTCATCCAGGCGCTTGGCGCGAAGTGAGCGATGGGGCTGAATGTGAACACTCACTGCCGCTCGCGCTGCCCGTCCTTTGACTTCCGCACGAAAAACCGACATTTGAGGGATCGTCGGGCAGTGGCAGCGGCAGCGGCAGTGTCAGCGCGAGTAGCCTGTTTACATACTGCCCTGCTCACTGCCCTGCCCAACAGGGCTGAATGTAAATGGGGCATAACAAATGACAAAACAAATTACAAATTTAACATCTGCTATTTTACGACTCATTCTTAACTTTCGTGGAACTTCCTACCATTGTTTTTAATTTGTTTTCACGTCAATATTGCACCTATTCTATTTCGTGGAACTAAACCTATATAAGAGAGAAACTCTACCCATGTACCCGCATTAGCGAGAAACTCGGGTTAGTGAGAAACCTCTATAAGCGAGAATGAGATTGTGCTCCTTTGAACTCTCGTTTATACAAGTTTGACTGTATATTATACTGTGGTAATAGCATGATAAGTAATAATCCAACTCAAAGCACTGTCATTCCCTACCTGTTGATACTAGCACTGTGCTCGATGGAGTCCTGTGTTTCGTTGGGTCTTGAGTTGGGACGAAGCACCAGCCGCTTCCTGCTGGGTTTCAGGGACAGCTTGTCTTCTAGACTCGCGTCAGATTCTTCCAAACCGTCGAATAGGGACTTCTGTAAACATTATAAATATCATTTAGCATATCTTCGTATAACATTCTGCCAATTCAACCATTGAATTTTAATGATTTCATATATTTACACAAGTACACGAAATTGCAAAAAAACTAACTTTACAGATTTCATTTTAATCAATTTAAAGTTATTCTAAAGCTCACTATGATATTTGGATGTGATTACGATGTTGGGCTGCTATACAACACCCGAAACGTCAGCAGGAATTTAAAAAGGAAATTAAAAATAGGAGAAACGTTGTCAGGAATTTAAAAATAGTTATAATTTAAAAAAAGTAAATACAGATGTTAATTTGTTAAAAACATTTTAAAATTTTGAAAAGGCATTTTTTTATTTTTTTCAAAATTAAATATTTCACTAGCAAAACAACCGATTTTGATTTGGTTTACACGGCAATTGAAGTAATTTTTCCAGCTTAATAAAAAAATTTGACGTAAAATTTTCAAGTTATTTTGAAAAACACTTTTTCGAGATTTCTTTCGACAGTGATATCACCCGAACGAATCAACCGATTTTAATGCGATTTAAGGCAATCGACCTCGTTTTTTGAGTAGAAGAGCCGATTAGATTATAGAATTGATAAAAACAAGGGTGTCGAAGTAATTCCAACAAAACCACTGTTAGCGTATTAAAAATACTCGACTTTTTGAGGTTTTCTCGAGAATCTACCGTGCCGATTCGGTCTAAGCTCACAGAAAATCTAAGTTCAGCGAGGCCCTTTCAGATGCCGCAAACCACTTTTCGATCGCATACACACATACATACAGACATCGTCGCAAAAATAGCCAGAATAACTTCCTAGGACCTCGAAACATCGAGATCTAATGATAACTCGATTTTCTGGGGTGAAAACAATGATTTCCCGACATTTTCAAAATCTTTGGGTTTCATAGTTGGAAGTTCAAAATTACTTTCAATGAAGTAAATGACCGACTCATCATGACTTCTCTAAAATTATACACTAGATTGACTTGTTTAGTATGCAATGTAGACGCTCACTAAGAACTGATTTTACGATAGTCCATATAAAAAAATGTGTCTTGATATTTTACATGTAGGTTCTACAGTACACAATATAACACACCTTATCATGAGGAACGGTAGGCTTCGGTATGACACGCAGTCTGCCGGATGATGGTGAGGCCACTTTGTACGCGCTGTCCAGGGCAGCTTTCAGAGCGACGGGTTGGTCGACTTCAGGGCTTCTTCTGCTGGAGTGGCTGCAATATTTTACATCTAGGTTCCATACTACAATATGACATACACACCTTATCATGAGGAACGGTAGGCTTTGGTATGACACGCAGTCTGCCGGATGATGGTGAGGCCACTTTGTATGCGTTGTCCAGGGCAGCTTTCAGAGCGGCCGGGTTAGTCGGCTTCAGGGCTTCTTCTGCCGGAGTGGCTGCAATATTTTAAAAAGCGCATCATTTAATTTCCTTCATTTGAGACACGGCTAGGTGGTACAAATTAATGGTGGTTAATACAGCGCATAGCTCCATATTATAGCGCGCTATCTCTCCATAGCGCATAGCGCGTGCTACGTAAGTAGTCGCCATGGCGCTATTAAGTATTAATATCTAGCGGCAACTAGTTTAACGCAAATTTGATCTATATTTATATATAATTTATAATTTGATCCATATTGATAATAGCACGCTATTCATCGTGCGCGATCTAATTTAGTGTTAGACGTTGTTTAGTTAGTGTATACTGTATATGTATTTATATGAGATCGAAGGACACGGTTGTTTGCTACTGAAGTAGCCTAACTAATGTTTTAAATTTTAAAATGTGTATAAATATAGATATGTTGGAAGGTAGTTAAATAGAATTAATTTACAATTACAAAATACACGGATCACAGATAATCAACTATAAATTGTACTGAGACTAATTTAATAGCTGATAATAATTAATTCGTTTCCGCGGCGGGGTACAACAAGTGCACCGTGCCACGTAGGACAGTTGCCTTGGACCACAAGAATTCAATTGAAGGTAGCGCCATCCATAATTTGTTTCCGAAAACATTATGTTTATTATTGGTCTAAGGTCTTCACAGATGTCGCTACTTTTAAAAAGAAACTAAAATTAGCTTATAAATAAAATTAAATGCACGATAAATTTATTGGTGATTTCGTTTATAACAAATATTATTTTCACATAAAATAAAAACTTAAACATCATGAAATCAATCGATTATGATAATTATGATACTGGCCACCCTAAACTTCAAAACGTCAAATATTCAAACGAAAACGAAAGTCAAAATGGTGGCTACTTTTTGCGTGTGCTCATCGTTATCTTTCTTGTTTCATTGCAAATACCCCATAAATACCAGTGTACTTACTGAAACTGTTTTACCTACTTTTAATAATATCAAAAGCAGTATTACAAAAAGTAGGCAGTAAAACTGTTTCAGTATGTATACGAGTTAAAGAACAATATTATACATTTTACTACTATAGAAGAGGTATATGTAGAGCTATATATAGCGAATTAGTTCGGATTCAATTTGTAGGAGGCGCTAGTAGTTCAATTTTGTCTGCAATAAAATGTCGTCAGAGGGCTCTCTTTTCCTGTATATACTTATTATACTCTTTGGCCAAGACTGCCTTAGCGGCGGCCGCTCCGTCCGTTTTATACAAGCGAGACAAGTAGCTACCCGAGCGCCACGCAGGTGCAATGCGCAGGCGTGCGCTGCACGTGTTGTTTACAATAATTCCGACTAGCCACAGAGGCGGTGCTGCACGTGCAACGGCGCAGGTACCGACAGATACAAAAGTATATATTATAGTGTATGTAAATAGTTGATTTTTTTTATATACAACCAATAAACTTTAAATACGCCTTTAATTGATTTATTACACATTAAGGTTAAAATAACGTTCACATCGATTAAAGAAAGCATGTTCATTGGTTTTTCTTCACTGCTTTATTTTATTTTAGTCTAAAATACTACTTATGCCATCAAAAACATAACTTGTAAAAAACCCAAGTCACGCAACTCAGTTCTTCTATCGTAAAAAGTTGTGAGATCCATGTAATACCAAGTCGGTTAATTTATTCACTCCTTACTTAAGGGTTCTTCTGTCTTAAATTATTACGTAATTAGTTAACATAACAACATCTTATTGCGACCATATCAATATTAAAAATCTTTTATGTTTTAAATAAATAGATTGACTTGGGCCATCACATGAAAACAATGTATCTTACAAGTAATACATATTATATTAAATTCGATTGCTAATTGCGATTGCAAAGTCAATCTATTTATTTACACATATTGACATATAATTTTATATTTTTTATTTATTTATTTTAGTTTTCATTTGTTCCTTTTTTTGTAAATATTTAGTTTAAATCAATTCTTAGTTTTAAATAAAACACTATTATTTGTAAAATAATTCTTTTTATTATTTCAATAAACTGTACATTAATTTTATTATTGATATTTAATTTAAAACCCCAACTTAAAAAATCTCATAACTACCTTTTTTTAAGTTGCGTAAATTACAAAATGTGTATGAGACCGCCATCTTGCTTATATTTTGGCTTCGCGAGCGAGTCCAAAGCGCTCGAGGCATCGCGGTAAAATTACGAGGAGTAGGTGTTTTGTTTCGATTTATTTAATTACATAACGCTAATTAAACATTAACGTATATGCATCATAAAAAAGGAAAATACGTCTAGTTTGTTGTGACTTTATTTTATGGGTAAAAATACAATATTTCTTCGTTGAGGTGTAAATTAATAAAATTTATACGTTTATTTTTCTCCAAATTCATTCATCAGTTTAAAAACATACATGGGTTTAATTCGCATTCTTCTGTCAATTTTTAGTAGTTTTTGCCTCTATCTATCCATCTATTATAGTTAAAGTAACTACGTGGGTTTTATTATACAACATGCAAGCGCGGTAGCAGCCGAATTAGGGCCGCGCGTATCCGGACGCTTGAGCGGCTACACATATACAGGTACACTGATTCATTCACTGCAAATGTAACTTTGTAATCCTATATATTTATATGGGATTACAAAGTTATTTATGCAGTTAGTATATCTAGAAAACTGGACCGAAATTGAAAAATATTTTAGTTTTTCCTTGATTTATACACTAAGCACTAATTGTGTTTTAAGTTTTAAGCTTCTATGTCTGCTAGAAGTGCCTTAGAGTTTTGATGATCGGTCAGTCAGTGAGTGACAAAATTAAGAAACTTTGACTGAACTAATGGTTCAAATTGAATGAAATTTAAAATATACTGTGTGTATACAATGCCTGCTTGGTATCTGAAAATTCAGGCTTCTAGTTTTATCCACTACGAAGTTATAGGGGATCGAAAATGGCCTGAATTGCTTCGAGAAAAGTATTGTACGGCCGTGCCGCTTTTTTATTCGACTTGGCGGGGGCACTGCCGTGCCCCCAGATTACAAAATAATGTTCTCATATAACACGCGGTCTATCCAACAAACGACATGTAATGTAGTGTGCTACGAGATATAGCGTGCTGCTAAACTTAACGCGCTTGCCAGCCTACCAAACGCTTCTTATAAATAATAATAAAAATAATGTCCTCCAGACCGATTTACGGTTACAGCGGCCTGCCTCAACGCAGACTAGCCAACAGCGCAGGACAGGATTATAGTACCCAAGTGTATGCGCAAGCACAGGTGCACTCTCTATTACCTCACTCTCATAATCCGATGGGACGGTAAACCGACACGACTGGAGAGAGATCAGGCGCAGGACCAACGGCTTTACATGTATTCCGAGGCACGGAGGTGAGACACCGCCAACTTCCTGACTCCGGGCAGCTACTGAGAATTTCTTGCCGGAAAAACTCAATAATTATTTTTTTGGCCTGACCCGGGATTCGAACCCAGGACCTCATGATCAGCAGTCTCACTACTACAACCACGAGACCCGGTAAATCCCGAGCGGTCGCATGCGACCGTACCCACCCGCAGCACTTCAAATTATTAAAACCTATATTTGGAGACTACTTTTCTATGAAGAAGTTTGGCATTATAAAATCTATACAAAATTCTCTATATAAACGTCAGGTTTTACATCATTACAAAAAGACTATTGTATTTTGATAACAAAAACAGAACATACCAAGCGAATGTCAGTAGCGTGAAAATCCCAAATTATTTCAATATATATTACTCGAAATTATTTACGTAAAAAGATGAATTATATTCACACAAAAACTTTCATTACAATTTTATAATAAAACACTAATAAAACACTAAAAAAATCCAAAAATCAACACAATAACATTCACGCGAAAATGGCGTACGAAATGAACGTAGATTACAAATAAATATTCATAGTTTTTTTAATTGCACGAGAGGATAGAAAGTTTCATATTGATTCTATAATGCTAAACTTCTTCATAGAAAAGTTGTCTCTATATATAAGTTTTAATGGTTTAATGGTGAAGTGGGTGTGCGCGGCCGAATTCGACCGCTTAGGGGTTGAAGGGTTAATCCTCAGGGGTAACAAAACATTTTGCATATTGTTAGTTAGGATCTTAGTCGAGGATAATCGTAGATGTCTATGGACCGCAGCATTCACTTACCATCAGGTGGACTGTGTGCTCGCTTGTCACTCCTCATAGATATAAAAAAAAATTGACATTATTTTTTGTATAGAATAAGGGTGACAAACGAGCACAATATCCATCTAATGGTGAATTTATGTTGTGGTCTATATAAATCTACATATATCCTTAATAAAAAATCAAATGCAGATGCATTGTCACCAGTGAAGACTAAGATGAAATGCTTCTTTTGCAGTAAAACATGTCTCCTGATCTCTACACTGATCATACAAGACACAGTATGGTATTCTGTGACCCATTCATGTTACAACCGCAACACAGCTGCAGCGTGGCTCTACCACGTATAAATACATGTATATGTTCAATGGACTACAGGTAAAGTACACTCACATGTGTCGGGCAGCAGGTCCTTGAAGAGCGGGGAGTCCCCGTAGGGTCGCGCTGCCAGCGTCAGGATCTGCTCGTGCACCTGCATGCCGCCGCCTGAAGCACTCGCTCCGCTGTAAACACACAGACAAATACACTACGTTTTTATATTTAACATAATACGAGGGCGGCACTGAAAATTTCGGGAATCAAGGAAGTGACAAACATTACTATTTAAAAATGTATTTATTGCTTTTCAAAGTATTTTTCGCGAAATTTGACACATTTTTCCATACGATGGAACCAATCATTGAAGCAACTATTCCATTCGGAAGTTGGGGTCTCCAAAATGGCCGTTTTGTAGGCGTCCACAGCTTCTTCAGGTGATGAAAATCTCTGTCCACGCAATTTATTCTTTATTTTAGGGAAAGTATAGAAATCATTAGGGCTTAGGTCAGAGCTGTACAGCGGATGGTCTAGTAATTCTATGTTTTCTTGCTCTAAAAACTCTTTTGTTCTGTGTGGAGGATGATGCGGCGGTTGCAGTTCTCTTTACGGAGTTCAGAAACGACCTGTGGCAAACAAATGCTAGCATACCATTCTGCATTAAACGTTCTTTGTCCCTCAAGAGGAATAGTCGTAACATGGCCGGTTTTGGAGACAAACGTGGCCACCATTTTTTTTGCAACACTCCGTGAACGAACAATTTTTGTTGGCTTTAACTCATTTTCGACTGGTTTTTTGTTTCGGGTTCGTACGTTTCGGGTTCGTTCGTATCCAGGATTCGTCACCTGATACGATGTTGTATACAGCATTTGAGGATCCTGCGTGAAATCTTTCGAGTTCTGATGCACCAAGTAACGCAAGCAGCTTTTTCCTCTTCACAGAGCGAATGCGGTATCCATCGGGAAAACAACTTTTTTACACCTAATTGTTCATGCAAGATTATTTGTATTTGACAAATGCCAATGTCTTAAGTTTACATAATGATTTCTTATATTTACGCGAACACTACACATTGAAATAATACTAATTTTTACGGAATTTATCGCGTATATTTAACTTTTTTACCCGACGTTTCGAGAGCTTTACAGCACCCATGGTCACGGGAAGGACTGAGATGTTCAACGTCCAGCTGTCATAGTTAACCGCGGTTACCATAGATTAAAATTTAACTTTTGTTCCGATCTACACAGTATGAACTTATGGTATCATGGAGTCTTGCAGTTGTATGTTTGGGTTGGGATTTAATTTTATTTATTATAGGATCCCAAGCAGATGGTAGCACCCAGCCATCTTCTCTATTGAAATTAGGATGTTTTTTGATTTCAATAGCCTCGCGAATCATCCTTGGAAGGAATCGGTGTTCTTTAGCGAGGATTTGTGGTCTATCGAATCTGATGTAGTGACGGGGGGCGATCCTGTACATGTTCACAGACTGCAGACTTCCCGGAGCGTCGATTCTTCACATCAGCTATATGTTCTTTGACGCGGGTTTTAATTGATCTTTTAGTTTGTCCTATGTAGGAGAGACCACATTCACAATCAAGCTTGTACACTCCTGCATCTTGCAGAGGGACGTTACACTTGACTGATGGTAAAAACTGACCAATCTTCTTCAGCGGCTTGAAGTATGTTTTGATGGAAGCGCGCTTCAAGATGTAGCCAATCTTGTCAGTGACTCCTCTAACATACGGCAGTACAGCAGGTACACGCTCGACTGTGGCCGGCTTCACTCGTTCTCTGTGACGTAGGCGCGGGACCCGAAGCTTGTTGTCATGCAAAACTTGCTTGACATGTTGGAGCTCGGCAGCCAGGTGTTTGCTGTCACAGATCCCTCGTGCTCTCTGAAACAAAGATTTACCCACGGTAGCTAACTGTGAAGGATGGTGGTGAGAATCACCGTTTAAATATCTATCTGTATGGGTCTCTTTTCTATACACAGTATGGCTCAAGGTGTTATCAGGATTCCGAATTACTAACACATCTAGAAAAGCTAAGGAATTGTTTGCCTCTAACTCCATTGTGAACTGAATTTTAGTATTTATAGAGTTAAGATGGTCTAAAAATGCAGTTACTTTATCTAAAGGTAGAATTGTGAAAGTGTCGTCTACGTACCGCTTGTAGAATCTTGGATTTATGGGAGAAGTAAGCAGGGCTTTCTCCTCAGTCTTCCATGAATATGTCGGCGACAATGGGAGATACAGGTGAGCCCATCGCCACACCATCTACTTGCTTGTAGAACTCCTCCTTCCACAATAGGTAGCCAGATGTAAGGCAGTGTCTGAGTAATACTGCATATTCTACGGGCATGTTGTTTTCTTCCAGCCTTCTAGTTACAATTGAGATGCAGTCTTCAACAGGTAAGCATGTAAACAATGACTGCACATCAAAACTGACCATAGTTTCATTGTCTGCCAGACGTAGGTCTTTAATCTCGCTGACAAAATGGTAGGAATCCTTTATGTGTGCTCTTGTATGTCCCCTGAGCGGTGAGAGTATTTTCGCTAAGTGTTGAGCCAATCTGTAAGTTGGTGAATCGATTTGGCTCACTATCCTGTAAGCTCTGACAGCGCGCGACATGTTATACTCCCGTTCACTCGGGACCTTTTTTGGCGGGAAAATTTGAAAATTAGCAAATTTTTTTGCTATATTGCAAATTTTGCTATATTTTCACTTTGAGACAAAATTTATGGATAAAACTTACAGGAATTCTTGTTGAATGTATAAACTATCGAATAAAATTATTTTTGGTTGCCAGAAATTGTAATAAAATACGTAAATTACCCTGTATAGCACAGTAGTAGTATGTACTTCAATTTTAGTGACAAAATTACTACTAATTTGAATTCTACACTTTTGTTTTTGGAGAAATTTATATCAAATTGTTTGGAAATATGTATATTTTCATGTTTTATGTGTTTCCATTCGTTACTCGTACCAAAATATAAAATATAAAGAAATTAAAAAAAATTAAATATTAATATTTTATCTGTGTGACATTTAGAACAATATTTCTAAAATAGTTTTGTGTGAATTTGAAATAAATACAACGTCAAGTTATTTGAAATATGTAAGAAAACTATTTTTACTTACATTTTACACTAAAAATAAATGAGAATGTGAAAAATACCACATTTATGACCCAGCCGCCATAATTGGCCTTCCAGATTTTGAAGCACTTTTGGCAATTTACTTTTCACTTTTTATACCACAAATTATATATATATATGTGTTCACTATATTACAAGGAATATAAAAAAAGTATAATACTTTCGTTTTTAGTCCAGACACAAATATAAAATTCTATAAAAAAGACGGAACACCTTTATCAAAACGGCACGTGGAACGCCGAAAGTTCAGAGTGATTTCTTTTTTTTTTTTTCTAAGAAACATTGCCAGGTTATGGTTTAAAATAAAAGAGCATATCTTTGTCTTTGATACTAATATCTATTGCATAGTGTCTTTGGTTTTGTTTAAAACGAAAAAATAGTTTTTTCATAGGTAGACATGTTTACATAATTCTGATCTAATTCGATCACTACTTGGCGGGCGTAAGGTTGGTATTGCGCGATCTAATGTGAGCAGGGCTTGGTTAACAGGCTATGGGGCGTAATGGAGCATTGGGCTTGTGTATTTTTGGTAACCCATACAACATCATGGATACGTCAGATTATAATTCTAAAATACAAGAACTTTTGTCGGATGTAAGTACTTATAAAAAGGTTAAAAACGACCCAACAAACAGCACACTAAAAACAACTAGTGACCTCATAAAGAAACACTCCGAAAAATTAAATCTGGACGTAAAATGGATAATACCTACGTGCGCCAAATCACCAAAGTTGTATGGGTTACCAAAAATACACAAGCCCAATGCTCCATTACGCCCCATAGTGAGCCAAATCGATTCACCAACTTACAGATTGGCTCAACACTTAGCGAAAATACTCTCACCGCTCAGGGGACATACAAGAGCACACATAAAGGATTCCTACCATTTTGTCAGCGAGATTAAAGACCTACGTCTGGCAGACAATGAAACTATGGTCAGTTTTGATGTGCAGTCATTGTTTACATGCTTACCTGTTGAAGACTGCATCTCAATTGTAACTAGAAGGCTGGAAGAAAACAACATGCCCGTAGAATATGCAGTATTACTCAGACACTGCCTTACATCTGGCTACCTATTGTGGAAGGAGGAGTTCTACAAGCAAGTAGATGGTGTGGCGATGGGCTCACCTGTATCTCCCATTGTCGCCGACATATTCATGGAAGACTGAGGAGAAAGCCCTGCTTACTTCTCCCATAAATCCAAGATTCTACAAGCGGTACGTAGACGACACTTTCACAATTCTACCTTTAGATAAAGTAACTGCATTTTTAGACCATCTTAACTCTATAAATACTAAAATTCAGTTCACAATGGAGTTAGAGGCAAACAATTCCTTAGCTTTTCTAGATGTGTTAGTAATTCGGAATCCTGATAACACCTTGAGCCATACTGTGTATAGAAAAGAGACCCATACAGATAGATATTTAAACGGTGATTCTCACCACCATCCTTCACAGTTAGCTACCGTGGGTAAATCTTTGTTTCAGAGAGCACGAGGGATCTGTGACAGCAAACACCTGGCTGCCGAGCTCCAACATGTCAAGCAAGTTTTGCATGACAACAAGCTTCGGGTCCCGCGCCTACGTCACAGAGAACGAGTGAAGCCGGCCACAGTCGAGCGTGTACCTGCTGTACTGCCGTATGTTAGAGGAGTCACTGACAAGATTGGCTACATCTTGAAGCGCGCTTCCATCAAAACATACTTCAAGCCGCCGAAGAAGATTGGTCAGTTTTTACCATCAGTCAAGTGTAACGTCCCTCTGCAAGATGCAGGAGTGTACAAGCTTGATTGTGAATGTGGTCTCTCCTACATAGGACAAACTAAAAGATCAATTAAAACCCGCGTCAAAGAACATATAGCTGATGTGAAGAATCGACGCTCCGGGAAGTCTGCAGTCTGTGAACATGTACAGGATCGCCCCCGTCACTACATCAGATTCGATAGACCACAAATCCTCGCTAAAGAACACCGATTCCTTCCAAGGATGATTCGCGAGGCTATTGAAATCAAAAAACATCCTAATTTCAATAGAGAAGATGGCTGGGTGCTACCATCTGCTTGGGATCCTATAATAAATAAAATTAAATCCCAACCCAAACATACAACTGCAAGACTCCATGATACCATAAGTTCATACTGTGTAGATCGGAACAAAAGTTAAATTTTAATCTATGGTAACCGCGGTTAACTATGACAGCTGGACGTTGAACATCTCAGTCCTTCCCGTGACCATGGGTGCTGTAAAGCTCTCGAAACGTCGGGTAAAAAAGTTAAATATACGCGATAAATTCCGTAAAAATTAGTATTATTTCAATGTCTAAAGTTGCCTGAATTTCGCGGTATGTCACATGTCCATCTTCCTCAATCAGCTTACGCACAGCATCAACGTTTTCTTGGGTGACTGCAGTTTTTGGACGACCTTGACGGGGATCATCACTGAGATTGACACGTCCACGTTGAAATTCAGCAAACCAGCGATAAATTGTGGTTTTGGATGCTGCTTCATCACCAAATGCAGAAATCATCCGGTCAACACACTGTTTTTGTGTTAAACCACTTGGAAAGTCATAATAAATCATCGCTTTTGAATTTTCTCGAGTCAATTCCATTTTCTCAACGACTAAACAAGTTTGACAAAACCTTGTGACAAGACCGAGAATATTTTTTAAATAAATAAATGGTATTCGATTTTTAAAACCAAGGAGTTTTCAATTAAAAAGATTTTAATATGACGGGAACAGTGGAAATATTCCATTCCCGATACTTTTAGTGCAGCCTAGTAGAACAGAACAGAACAGAGTACAACCATTTTTATTTTTATAGAATAAGGGTGACAAACGAGCACACAGTCCACCTGATGGTAAGTGGATGATGTGGCCAGGGTTGCCGTTTTAGCGCATTTGACGCAAGATCTAGTGCAATTCTAGGATCTACAGCGCTTTTTTTAAATATCTACGTGCTAAAAAAATCTAGTCTACTAGTATACTAGATATTTTTAGCTCGTAGATATTAAAAAAAAGCGCTGTAGATCTCGCGTCAAACGCGCTAAAACGACAACCCTGGCTGTGGCCTTTAGACATCCACATTTATCTTCAATTAAAAATCAAAATGCTGATGCGTTGCCAGCCCTGAGAACTGAAAATGAATGCCTCGTTTCCAGTATAAAGGGTCTCCGGTTCTCTACACTCACCACACGAAACACAGCAGCATTAAGCTGCTATGTTACGCTGGTATTCTGTATGAGCATGGTCCTGCCCCGGTCGAGCCGACCCATTCGTGCTACAACCACATTCACAGACTCTACTACGTAAAACGTTTTATTCATTTTAATAATATACTTACGCGGGAGCCGTTGGGTTGTTGGAGTTGAATCCTCCCAGAGACAATCCGGTGCCCAGCGACGGCGTGGTGCCGAACATACTGTTACCCAGCCCACTGTCCAGGCCTGGAAAAAAGAGAAATTCACGTTCTCATTATTTTGTATAGTGCTCCCCGTCGATTCCAATGGCTTGTAAGACCGAAAATTGCCTTAAACACATTAACACAGTAAGGACAGTAGAGTTGGTCAGAGGAACTGAAGGTATACGCATAGGAGGTTAACCAATTCATAAACAATTCGTAAACCATTCCCTTAACCAAAATAACCGGAAGAAACTTGAAAAATGCCAACGAGCAATTGAGAGAAGTATGTTAGGAATTAAACTCAAGAATAGATTTAACAACGCGGAAAAAAGGAAAAATAACCAGATAGCTGACATTCTGATCCGACCATCTGAAATGAGGCTGGGGAGGTCACTTGATTCGTTGCAAGACCAACAAATGGAGCAAGCAGGTAACCCTACGGTACCCGAGAAATGCGTCAGAAAACAGGGTCACCCAACCAGAAGATGGTAAGACGATAGCCGCCTGACCTTGGGACCATAGTGGACAAGGGCAACAGCAGACAGTCTAATGGAAGCAGTTGAAGAATGTCTATGCCAAAACGCGTACTGAGTTCTTAGACATTTAAAAAACATTTAAAAAAAGGTTCAAATCCGACTTGAAGGACCATAATGTACAGTCAAGTTTTTTTTTTGAAGGATAAGGGTGACAAACGGGCACACAGTCCACCTGATGGTAAGTGGTTGCTGTGGCCCATAGACATCTACATCTGTCCTTGACTACCAATCAAATGCAGATACTTTGAAATAATACTAGTTTTTACGGAATTTATCGCGTATATTTAACTTTTTAAATACCCGACGTTTAGAACGCTTTACAGCACTCATGGTCACGGGCGGGACTGAGATGTTCAACGTCCATATGTCATAGTTAACCGCGGTTACCATAGATTAAAATTTAACTTTTGTTCCGATCTATGCAGTATGAACTTATGGTATCTTGAAGTCTTGCAGTTGTATGCTTGGGGTGGGATTTAATTTTATTTATTATAGGATCCCAAGCAAATGGTAGCACCCAGCCATCTTCTCTATTGAAATTAGGATGTTTTTTGATTTCAATAGCCTCGCGAAACATCCTTGAAAGGAATCGGTGTTCTTTAACGAGGATTTGCGGTCTATCAAATCTGATATAGTGACGGGGGCGATCCTGTACGTGTTCACAGACTGCAGACTTCCCGGAGCGTCAATTCTTCACATCAGCTATATGTTCTTTAACGCGGTTGAACAAAAAGCGTATTGAAATCAAAAAACATCCTAATTTCAATAGAGAAGATGGCTGGGTGCTACCATCTGCTTGGGATCCTATAATAAATAAAATTAAATCCCAACCCAAGCATACAACTGCAAGACTTCAAGATACCATAAGTTCATACTGCATAGATCGGAACAAAAGTTAAATTTTAATCTATGGTAACCGCAGTTAACTATGACATATGGACGTTGAGAACATCTCAGTCCCGCCCGTGACCATGAGTGCTGTAAAGCGTTCGAAACGTCGGGTATTTAAAAAGTTAAATATACGCGATAAATTCCGTAAAAACTAGTATTATTTCAATGTGTAGTGTTCGCGTAAATATAAGAAATCAAAATGCAGGTGCATTGTCACCCGTGAGGACTAAGATGCAACGTCTTGTTTCCAGTAAAAGGTGTCTCCGGTTTTCTACACCCACCATACAAATTACAGTCACGCTGGTTATCTGTGAGACTGCGGTCTTTCCCTGTCGAACCGGAAAAACTTGCAGACGCATCAAACATCCTTCTTATAATATTGTTACGAGCTTAGGGTTCGTGACAATAAAAACTGCCTGGGCTTCTAGAAAGCTTAATTCTTCTGTTCGATACTAGATGGCGCTGTTGGTCGAAAGTCAAGATTGACATTTTCTAGGAAGCCCTCCTCGCTCTGGTACCAGACACTAGATGGCGCTAGTTCCAGGTACCTGACGTCAACTTAGGCGCGTAACAATATAAGAAATCTTCAGGTTTGTAGGAGGAAAAAGCGGAATATACCATCTTGATTTCAACAATCTTTCATAGATTTAAGTTGTTCACTCTCCATAGATTGTTAAAGATGTACTCTTCAAATCTTATGTAACCTATCCTCTAATCTCTATATCTCTATAGGACTTAAACGAATATTAGTTATAATTAAATATTGTCACCAGTCCGGAAGGTGTTGTTGTTCTGCGGCTGCTGGAAGATGGAGCCGGAGCCCAGGCTGCCGAAGGCCGGAGCGCCCGGCTTCGTCTGGAACGAAGTGCCCAGCCCTGCGCCTAGACCTGCGCCTGTGCAAACGGATAACGTGTTAGAATTAGAAGAGAAAAAAAGTTCAACAACCAGTAAAATCTGTGAACCAGTTTTTTCATAAATCTTGTAAAATAAAACTTATTTATCAAGTATTGAGCTGCCAGTATAAAAATTTCATCTAATTTCTCAATAAACTGTGTATACCCACCAAAGCCAGTGTTCTGGGTCTGCCCCCCCAGCATTGGGGTGGTGTTGGGTTTCGAGAGGTTGCCGAAGAAGCCGGAGCTGGAGGTATTCGTGCCGAAGCCGCTTGACAGAGAGCCGAAAGCTAAAAATAAAACAAAAATATTACCATAATTTATACGATGCTATGTTTTTTTATATGTAGAATAAGGTGATGTGAATGTGATGTAAGTGGCTGCTGTGGGCCCAGGGGGCAGGGATTAACAATCAAAATGCAGATGCTTTAAAATAAAAAATAAAAATATAAATTTCACCACTACTAATTTCAAGTGTATGCAATGAAGTCAATCGGTAAAAATCAAATGTTTAGAAAGTTGAAAGAAATTAATATTTTTTATTAAATGGATTTCCGCAAAGTAACGCCTGATTCTATCAATTATTGCAGATGCTATGTCACACTTGAAGACTGAGATGGAATGCCTCGTTTCCAGTAAAAAGGTTCTCCGGTTCTCTAAGCTCACTATATGAAACAGAGCAGTATTAAGCTGCTATTTCACGCTGGTATTATGTGAGAGCGTAGTTCTACCCCGGTCGAGCCGATTTTTCTTGCTACAACTATATAGCTGCAGTGTGACTATCTGTACCAGGCATACTTTGTTAAGCCATTTTTCGTGAACCCGCAAACACTTATTAGTTTTATCCTTATCGGATGAACACAAAAACGCATAGAAAAATAATAAGCAAAGAAACTCAAAAAAGACGACAAAGACAGAAGAGACGGAAGCAATCCAAACTCAAGCAAGTATTCAATGTCGCTCTGGGATCGAAGTTCAATGATAATTAATTAAAACACAAAAATTAATATTCAAAAACTGAAGGTAGCCGGACTAACTATGACATTGGGAAGTCAAACATCTCAGTCCCCCCCGTGACCATGGGTGCTGTAAAGCACCCGAAACGTCGGGATAGTGAAAATAAGTAAAGTAGTAATTAAACGCGATAAAATCTGTAAATATTAGTTTTATTCACTGCGACTGACAGTCAAATACGCTCTACTGTCCGTAATTGCGACCAGCCTGCCCCGCCCACTATGGGCTTCCTCTTGTTTTTATATTCCGTGTATAAAACACAGTTAAAAAAAATTACAAAATATAAATTAAACATCTTTTTGTTTTGACAAAATTAATTGATGATAATTTGGTGGCAACATTTTAAAATTCTTTGCCTACGATCTGTACTCTGTGCAACTGCTGGCACACACACACACACTCGTGCGAAGTTTTGGCGGGAACTTGGCCGTAGACGGATTGTCGCTCCTGTTTTGTCGCTTAAATAATGGTTTGAAGTGGATTTTGATTCGTAAAAGTGTTGCAATTTTGTGATTTAAGTGTCCGCGCGTGTGAACTATTAGGTGAAAACGACGAAACAAGTGCTTTGATGTCGATATAAACCTCAAGTTATTTTGATCGCTTGGGTGCCTCATTAACTTACTTGAGTGGCTGCCGTCATCAACTGTCCGCTGGGTTGAGCTGTCGTCAAAATCTCCCAAGGGCTTCGCAATGTGATGCATCAGCATATTGTGAAGAAAAAGAATATAAAAATGAAGATTCCGAAAGAAATGATAGGCTCAGATGGGCTAGAACCCAGAGCCGTAAAGCCAGTTAATAAAAAAAACACACTCGTGCACTATAATTCTGTCCTGCGCAATTAGCTAGTCTCCGTAGCCATGACATAGAAATATTCACCATTGAATCTTATAGAACTCACCTGACGGTGCAGTGGACCCGAAGGTAGGCGCAGTAGTTTGCTGTGGCTTGGCGTTGAACAGCCCGGTTCCGAAGCCTCCGAAACTGCTGCTAGCTGGCGTACTCCCAAAGCCCGTGGTGGCCGGCTTCGCACCGAACAGACCAGTGCTTTGCTACAATACAATTGTGTTTCAGTTTTAGTGACACACGCCGTGCGGTGGACGCGTAAGATATCCATCATCCCATATCGTACCGTGGGTGTTGTATGAGGCGACTGAGGGTAAACCAGGTGATGTGTAGAAGCATGCATAATTCATAATTCTTTATTGTATGTCACAAATTACAAAGTTGGAACAATATATTTACAGAACACGTGACACCCTATACGGGCGTAGCATAGTGTTGCAAGCAGTGGCGAAGCTTCTATAAAAGCCGAAAAGCCGGGCTTGCCTTATTAAAACTGAATCAATCAATAATATCAACTAATAAAATAACTCGTAAACTGTTTCAAGCTATTTCAAATTTCCCGCGCACTCCACTGTTCGACACATGTCGACCGATGACCTCGTATTGCCTTAGCGATACTGCTGCCGTCATAAAAAAGGAGTTTAATAGAGCGATTAGTTGTCTCCCTTGCTCGCGTGGGCTTTTTACGGGGCTTTCGAGAAGACGATCGCTCTCTTTCTAACCTATGGCAAAATATTCTATAATGAAATATAACTACGATTGTATACATAGCAATTAGTATGGAGATTTAAAGCCAGGCTTTTGGGAATAAATTTGTTAAAAGCGGAGGCGCGCGGGCAATACGTTTGCAAGTTCATTTCACGTTTCAATGATTATTTACTCTGTATGCTTATCTTAAGCGATTTAATATTACGAGTTCAAAATGTATGCTTTTTTAAACATTTTTAATGAAAATGGAGGATAATAGTTTTCCTTGTGATGAATTGTTGAAGTGCTAATCGGAGAGGAAATCTTTAAACTTTGTTGAGATAATACACAAGGTTAAGAGTGTATTTCAGACTTACCTATCAATTATCGCAATTAAAAAACAGTTATTGGTACAATTAAAACGTTCACCAACATTTTACGTGGACGTAATTAAATCTTTCCATAAGAAAGCGAGACGATTCCACTTATCTTATCTCTTATCCATTAGAATGTAAATAATTTTTTTTTTAATTTTGTACATAGTTTGTTACTTTGTTCAGGTTTTACTTTTGTTCATGTATTGTATTGGATGCAAATATATTTTTCTTTCGCTTAAACAAACCCTTAAACGGCTTTCATCAAAGCCACCGAAGCTATGCAATTGCTGATATGTAATACAATCTATCTAGCAGTGGTATGCCTTCTGTGTGCTTTGTTAAACACGTCCTTGACAGCACTGAATATGAAACTGAAGCGTGGAGACATATCAAGATTGGTGTATTTTTATAAAACTGCTAAAAACAACAATCTATATTTTTATCAATTTATATCTTGGGCTTGCCCTAGCTTGGAGCTCCAGCTTCGCCACTAGTTGCAAGCCATAATTGATTCACCTAGCGCCATCTAGTGTCGGGGAGCAGTCGAGGAGAGCTTTCTAGAAAATGCCATGCCTGAACTTTCCACAAACAGCGCCATCTAGTATCTAACAGAGGAATTAAGCTTTCTAGAAAAGTCCACATTCGAATTTTCTAAATCTAGTCGGTCGGGACCGATATTTGCTGGAACATTCTGAATTTTTCGGTGGAAAACGCCTATATACAGGGCCATTGGAGGCCGCGACCAGGGCACATATTAAACGGTTCTCAACTGTCCAAATATTTTATAATGGCTTTGTTTGCTGGTAAAGCACAGGAAATTACACTTAGGCACGCAAGCGCACAACCGTAGCTTATGGTTTACTGTCATTGTCTATAATCTATAGTAACTAAATCGGTGAGACGCCATGTTGAAAGTCGATAAAAATAATTGATAAACATCAATCGTTTATCACGATAGGATAGATTTAAATGAATTATCTGTATTTTTCCCGAATTCTACCGATTTTTCTCTTTTTTTTTTTTGAGGTAATGTACATAGACCCGGCCCATTTTGAAACATTTGCTTTGTACTTTGAATTGCAATAAACGACAATATAGTCGTACAGGTATAGACATACATTGAATCATTCCATCTTAGTCCTCACCGGTAACAATGCATCTGCCTCCTTCCTGGTTTGAAGCTTTGAAGTTGACTGCACCGGTGCATAGGCTGCGGCAGATGCTTACTATCAGGTGGGCTTTTATTTTGTTGTTCTAATTTCCAAAAATTAAAAATTTACTCACTTGATTCTGCGTGTTGGTACCAAACCCACCAAAGCTGGGCGTGGTGGTGCCGAAGGTCGGGGCCTGTGTGGTCGCCGCCCCAAATATACCGGTGCCTGTAATGATTTCTTATATTTACGCCGGATACTACGTTAAATAAAACTAAATTTAAGGATTTTATCGTGGTTTAATTTAACTTTTGGTGACCCCGTTCCACTAACCCTGTGACGACTACACTACTCTACTTCACCTGAGGATGCCTCGTGTAGAGGCGAAACACGTGCCGTATATTGACGGTGGTGTCTTTCATAGTGTGGTGGTGCTGGGATTAGTGGTGACGGGTATAGTGTTCGCGATTGATGGGAGAGCTGGAGGTGCTCTTCAAGATAGGTACGACACAATTTTTTTTTAATTATGCGAATCTTAGCAAGCTGATTTTCAAAATCCTCAATACAATGGATTTCCGCGAAATAGCGCCTTTTAGGCCTTTGCCTCGAATCTTGCGGGCAGCGGAGCGACGGCGACGGCGGCGCGGGAGCGGGGCGGGCAACGCAGACCCGTTCACGAAACTAGCGGGCAGATCGCGCGACACTATAGCGGCGTAGTGATGTGTTCATGGTTGTGTTGTAGAGATGTTTGTCTTTATTTGCGAACGAAATGTCTGAACAACGGCGACATCTTTTTGATTCAAATTTATTTCTAACGCTCGATTTACAGTGGGCAAAAGAAGAAGTGAATCCCTACTACTTATAAGGGCAAGGAAAAGAAAAGCCGAGTTTTATCGAAATTACGAAGAACAGAGACAATGTCCCGACAAATTCTACGACTACACCAGAATGAACATAGAAACTTTTGACTATATTCTTGAAGCTATCAAGGGCGATTTAGAGTCTGTATTCAGTTCGTTTTTAATTTCTTCCCATAACTGGTTAACTACTTTTCTATTTTTATGGTTCACATCTTTGCTGTTCCATATCGGTGTTCTCTCAAAAATTGCTGAAATAATTTGCCCCTGCACGTCCGAGGACATTTCGAAACGTCACAAAAATTAATTGCACAGCACTGCAATGCAGACGTGCGGGCGGTCACCGCTTGACTGGAGTAAACCGCTCGTTGCCCGCCCCCGAGCCGCTGTTTTCGAGAGTCGGTCCATTTGATTTTACGCATAAGATCCTGCCGCACCCGCGCCGCCGCCGCTGCCGTCCCGCTGCCCGCAAGATTCGAGGCAGAGGCCTTATACGTGGTAGAGCCACGCTGCAGCTATATTATGGTTGTAGCACGAAGGGGTCGGTTCGACTGGGGAAGGACCACGCTCTCGCAGAATACCAGCTTAATACTGCTGTGTTTCGTATGGTGAGTGTAGAGATCCGGAGACCCTTTTTTACTGTAATGCAGCCATCTTAGTCCATCTTAGGCATCTTAGTCCTCACAGGTGGCAACGCATCTGCGTTTTGATTCTTAATCGAGGATAGATGTAGATGTCTATGGGTCACAGCATCCACTTACCATTAGGTGGACTGTGTGCTCGTTTGTCATCCTTATTATAGTACCTGGATGACTGAGCTGCGGTATTTTTTTTTTTTGGAAATTGTGTTTTTTGGAAATCATATTTAGATACAAATTACATACTGATGAAATATGAATGATATTTTTCGAATTTACCGACAAAAAAAAAGTACTGAACTGGTTATTTAAATAGAAAAATCAGCAATTTGTTTAATTTAATTTTTCGTGTTTTAAAAAAATACTAAAAAGGGTTCCAAATAATATATTTTCTCACAAAAGAAGGAAAAAAGAGTCAGACCAGAGACATTTGGACTCGAACCAGCGTTCTATGATTTCAACACCGCCCGACATCCCATTAAAGCTGTTATAACCTTATAGGCATCGGCAAAATTCACTTTCGTATTCTAATGATATTGTTGCAGTTTTTCATTGCCTAAAAACATGGATAAAACAACATTTTCTAAAAATGAGTCCTAGCTAGATCGATTTATTGCCCCCGAAACCCCCTGCACACTAATAGCATGAAAATCGTTGGAGCCGATTCCGAGATACTGATTATATATATGTTATATTATGAATTGCTTGTATAAAAAAATATTACCATAATTAACAATGGGCTGCCACAACAAAATGGTGACCGACTCAGTATAAGTTACAGAAACATCGCTGTAGCACTGTAAATCTGCCGGCAACTTGTGTAAAATTTGTTTAATTTGTACAAACTCACCAGTTGTATTTGTGGCTCCAAACGCGGGCTTGTTACCAAAGAGGCCCGTAGACGTTGTTTGGTTTTGCGTGTTGCCGCCAAATGAGAACGTGTCTGTGGAAATAATAAATTATTTATTTATTTATTTGTGTTCAAGGCAAGAGTGAAAAAGCTTTTGTTAAGATAATGATATTTTTTTACAGGATAGGTAACAAACGAGCACACAGTCTACCCGTTGGTAAGTGGTTGCTGCGGCCCATAGACATCTACATCTATCCTCGATTACGAATCAAAATGCAGATGCGTTGTCATCCGTGGGGACTCAGGTGGAATGCCTCGTTTCCAGTAAAAAGGGTCTCTAGATTTCTTATATTTACGCGAACACTACCCATTCTCTTCTTTTCTCTTTTTTTTAAAAACGTTACCCCCACACTTGGATTTTCTCCTGTATCGTAGAGGCAATTTAGATACATAAAGTGCACACGGACAAACACCCAGATCCGGAACAATTATTTGTAGGCCATACAAATGCTTGTTCCGTGCGGGATTCGAACCCGCGGCCCTCAGCGCTATAACTTATTGTTAAGCCACTGCGCCACGGAGGCGTCAATAAAGCTTTTGTTAAGTCAGGAACTGCATTGTAAAAATATCGTATCTACTACCCCATATGGTTATATATGGTATGGTAGTCGTAAGAGGCGACAGAGGGGAACTAAAGCTGTAATGGGGAACAACATATTTCTGATAACACCTCAAAATAATAAGTAGTAAAATTAAAGATTTCATACAATCAACTTCAATATAATTATAATGGAAAACATTATCAATGTATTCGCAGTTGATCAAATAATACGCATTAATAAAAATAACGCAATAACTACTGGTCAGATCTTGATTAAATATATATGGAACCAACCACACGAAAAGTACTAGCTTACCGATAAAAAAAAATCATCAAAATCTGTTCACCCAGAGAAAAGTTCTGAGGTAACATTACATAAAACCTCTTTTTGAAGTCTGTAAAAAACTACAATTTTCAAGTCATGCATGGCAACTATGACAAAATCCCCATTATGTAGCAAGCTATCGGGGAAGCCAATGTACAGGAGTTAAATTTTATAGGCTGTAATGGATGGTGAAAGCTAAATCAATGCTACGTATATATAAGTAATTAATAATAATAATAATGTCCTCCAGACCGTATTTCGATCACAGTGGCCTGCCTCAACGCAGACTAGCCATCGGCGCAGGACAGGAGCATAGTGCCCAAGTGTATGCGCGCAAGCACAGGTGCACTCTCTACTCCCTCACTCTCATAATCCGATGGGATGGTAAACCGACACGACCAGAGAGAGATCAGGCGCAGGACCAACGGCTTTACGTGATTTCCGAGGTACGGGGTGAGACACCGCCAACTTCCTGACTCCGGGCAGCTACTGAGAATTCCTTGACGGAAAAACTCAATAATTAATTTTTTGGCCCGACCCGCGATTCAAACCCAGGACCTCATGATCAGTAGTCGCACTACTACAACCACTAGACCAACGAGGCAGTCAGTAATTACTATAAGTGGTAGAGCCATGCTGTAGTTATATTAGTAGTATAGTTGTGGCACGAATGGATCGGCTCAACTGGGGAAGGACCACACTCACAGAATACCAGCGTGAAATATTAGCTTAACGCTGCTGTGTTTCGTATGGTGAGTGTAGAGAACAGGAGACCCTTTTCACTGGAAACGAAGCATTCCATCTTAGTCCTCAGAGGTGACAATGCATCTGCATTTTATTTCGTGACCTAGGAAAAATCTAGATGTCTATGGGTCACAGCAACCTTTTACGATCAGGTGGACTGTGTGCTCGTTTGTCACCCTATCCTATAAAAAAATGTGCTTATTATTTACTATAATCAGCTGTATCACACCTTACCATTAGGTGGAATACGATTCAAGGACTGATTTTTTCTATTTTATGAAAAAAAAAATTTATTATTTAAATCGATGTTTTACGGTATAAACATAAGCTATACGGCTTCGTCGTATACCGACGCCGTCAAATCCGTACATTGTTTTTTTTTTTGTAGGATAGGAGTCACAAGCGAGCACACTGTCCACCTAAAAGTTTCTGTGGCCCATAGACAATTATAAGATGTAAATGTCAATGCGCATATAGCGTATTAATGTCTATTACGAACAACTAACGCCGCTCGTAAAACTATGGTTGATTTGATTTTCGATAGATTTGAATCAATTTATTTATTTAATTCAAATTTTTTTAAATTTTTTGTAAAACATCAGTGCCATAGGTTTCTACTCCGTTCACATGTTACACCACACGGTACCAGATCGATTGGTAAGAAAGGTCCTCCAGTATAATACATATATTCTGTGCCCGCGTCAGCAAAGGCTGAGTCACCTCTGACGGCCCACATTTACTAACGATAAGTGTTTATATAAAGTTATTTTTAACGTGGCTCTAAAGTTAATTGTAACATTTATTTTCTCTCACAAATTTAGAAATCAACATAAACGTACAGCTTAATATTAATATGCTACAATCAACTTTTGGGAGACTAGTATGACAGACCATAGTCAAGAATGGTATTTATTTAATGACAAGGAAAGAGGTGTGATGATGATGGTAATTTTTGTACTGTGTTGTTTCTTCATGTTAAATACTAACTCGTCTGTCCGAAGCCCGAAGAGCCAAGACTGCCCCCTCCGAATAATGGTGCACTGGTTGTTGCGGGTTGAGCGAAACCTAGAAATGAAAAATAGTCCATAGAATCTGAATGGGCCGGCCATATAGCTCGAAGAACTGACAAGTGATGGGGAAGAAAGGTTCCCGAGTGGCAGCCTCGTACTGGCAGGTAAAGTTTAGAGCAGCCCCTCATAAGATAAAGTGATGATCTGATAAGAAGTGTAGATCAATGGGGCATTCCTTCAGGGAGGCCTATCCTCAGCAGTGGACGTGTTTGTGCGCGCGCTTCTATGTGTGTGTGTGTGTGTGTGTCTGTGTGTGTTGTGTGTGTGTGTGTGTGTGTGTGTGTGTGTGTGTGTGTGTGTGTGTGCTGTGCGGTGCGTGTCGGTGTGTGTTGTGTTATGTGGGTGGGTTTCAGCAGTGGACTTGGGGTGGGTGGTAGTGGTTAGAGTGATGATGGGAAGAACCAGCAAAACACTCAGTGAGGTTTTTTTAAAAGAACAGTTCACAAACATATTATGTTAAGTTTGTTAATAAATAATTATACAATACAAATTGTATTAGAAAAAGCTTTGCAATCATCTCATTCTTAGGAGTTATTTTCCATGTATTCCTTAATACAGTACAACCTTAGTATAACAAACCTCAATGTAATGATTTCTCCAATTTAACAAATTTTTAGAAATCCTCTAGAACCGGCCGTAAGAGTTAATACAAAATATACCTTTACAATACGAATAACTTTTGTAAAGACCTCTTTAAGTATAACGATTTCTCAATCTATCATTGCAAAATATAAATAGAAAGTATAATTAACCTATGCATAAAGTATTCTACCAATACATCTAACATATATTCACGTCCTGTTGTAGCACAGAGTCTGCAACCATTTGGACATGGTCGATGAGTCAGTCTGTGTCAGCATTACCGCTAAGAGACCCATAGAGGTACCTATAGACACGCAGCTATAGAATGGACCTTCAAGACTGCCGAGACGTCGAAAACAGATGTCCTGTCTGAAGTATACACAAACTCCAGCCCAGGGCACAATGGAGTGTTATAATATGGACCCCGGGTAGGAGAGATATGAAGTATCAGCTGGTGAGGACACCTGTGTCTCGGTTATATTATATTCTGTGATACCACCCCAGTATGAGGCTGCCCATCCGTGCAACAGCAAAAGCTGCCACCTGGCTCTACCACACTTTGAAGAATTACATTTATTAGGAGAAAGTTTTCCAATAAAGTAATTTTGTAGTTCATACTCACTGGTGCCTCCAAACAGTGGTTTATTTTCAGTGGGCTGTTGGAAGCCAGAGAACATGCCCCCAGCAGCAGCACCTTTGCGTCCTGCAGTGTAGTCCTCCAGCCTGAGCTCTTCTAGAGACTTGCCTTCATACTCCTAAAAATTAAATACAATAAGTCACCTTAAGTGTTTCTTTTATACAAGTGAGGTTGACTAACCGTGAGTTTGCACTGACACGATATTCACAAAAAAACATGTTTCAAACACTGTTTACTGTCAAGGTATCAAAAAGCGTTTGCATAGTCAAAGAACATGTAGTGAAATATGTTTGATAGTTTATTTAACTATATTATATCTTTATAACTACAGAAACAAAATGTATGAAATTAAATTTGTAGAAATATTGTCATGTTGAAAGATAAGTTTGAATATCTGTTGAAAATTTTACACAGTTTTTGTGAGATTTTGACATTTTGACATTTTTGACACCACTATCAACAAAACATGTTATGTGATTTATATTATGCGATTTGTTTCAAAACATTACGTGTTGGATGTTTCTAAATGCAAACATACTGTTATAAAAGCAGACTGTCCACCTGCCTACCAAGTGGATTAAGTATTAAAAATGTAGATCCATCTGCGGAGGACTAAGAAACAATGCCTTTGTGACAACTTTGTGAAAACTTTTGTACAATGAGTATGTCACCTATAATATAATATATAATATGTCACATATAATTGTCAAGTCATCATTTCACAACTTACATATGTAAAAGAGGTCTAGAAATATTTCTGTGGCACATGTATTTTAAAATCGGTTTGCTTATAGCCATCAATATCATTATCAGTAATTCTAGCGTTTTATTTTGTAAACTTATCCACAATATATTTTTGTCTAAATTATCAAGCGCTATCAGTTTATCATCCCCTTAGCGTCGGTACTACCCCGAACATCCTTGTTACCAGTAAAATGGGTCTCCAGTTCTTTATGCTTATTATAGGAAACAATAGAGCAATAAGCTGCAATTTCACATTGGTGTTCTGTGCTAGTGTGGTCCTTCTCCGGTCTAATCATACCAAATCTCTGTGCTAGCATGGCCCTTCCCCGGTCAAATCATACCAAATCTCTGTGCTAGCGTGGTCCTTCCCCGGTCAAATCACACCAAATCTCTGTGCTAGCATGGCCCTTCCCCCGTCAAATAATACCAAATCTCTGTGCTAGCGTGGTCCTTCCCTGGTCAAATCATACCAAATCTCTGTGCTAGCATGACTCATCCCCGGTCATATCATACCAAATCTCTGTGCTAGCATGGTCCTTCCCCGGTCAAATCATACCGAATCTCTGTGCTAGCGTGGTCCTTCCCCGGTCAAATCATACCAAATCTCTGTGCTAGCGTGGTCCTTCCCCGGTCAAATCACACCAAATCTCTGTGCTAGCATGGCCCTTCCCCCGTCAAATCATACCAAATCTCTGTGCTAGCGTGGTCCTTCCCAGGTCAAATCATACCAAATCTCTGTGCTAGCATGACTCATCCCCGGTCATATCATACCAAATCTCTGTGCTAGCATGGTCCTTCCCCGGTCAAATCATACCGAATCTCTGTGCTAGCGTAGTCCTTCCCCGGTCAAATCATACCAAATCTCTGTGCTAGCATGGCCCTTCCCCGGTCAAATCATACCAAAGCTCTGTGCTAGCGTGGTCCTTCCCCGGTCAAATCATACCAAATCTCTGTGCTAGTGTAGTCCTTCACCGGGTCAAACCATACCAAATCTATCCTACAACATGGCATTCTATTTTATTTATTTCAGAGACATGGTACAATAAGTTGTTGCATTACAACTTTTAGGATCATTTCCATGTCTTACAGGTATCACCGTAGAAGCAGCACAATCAAACTTAGTATCAATTCTTAATTTTTATAAGGATAAGATGTCAATATAATAAAACATATTAATGTTATGTTAATTTAATAATAATAATTACAACAGCTTTTTTGCCGACTTCAAAAAGAAGGAGGTATTCAATTCGACTGTATGTCTTTTTTTAATGTGTTAAAACCTCATAACTTTTCACTGGGTGGACCAATTTCGATGATTCATTTTTTTATCTGAAAGCTGGTGCTTCTCATGTAGTTCCATATAAATTTGATCAAGATCTGACCAGTTAGCTTTTGAGTTATCTTTAATAATGCGTATCTAATATAATGTTCTCATTTGAAGTTGGTTGTCCAAAAATTTTATTTATACCATAGTTTCCATTATTCAGAATAATAATTACATACATACATTGGAAATTAGTAAAACATTGACATTATGGATATTAACATGTGTTTTTTATTAAATAATATGTCCATCCAGTTAAAGAAGCATACTATCTTAGTATTAGTACTAAAGAGTGCCAACACATCTACGTTTGGATTTTAAATCGGGGTTAGAAATTGGTGTCTATGATCCACAGCCTGCACTTCATCAGGTGGACTGTATGCTTGTATGTCACTTACTATAAAGGGTATGTTCCGAAACGTTTTCAGTATACTGCCGAATACAAATGACGTCATCAATTGACACTATATTGTACTGGCGTGCCGCCGCCATATTGTGTCGATATCCGGACACAATAAAACAATTTTTAATTTAGTGTGCGCTGAATGAAGCATGCCAGAATTTGTTTTTATTTATTCAAATACAAAAAATTATAGAATAATTGCTGGTATCTCCATTAGTAGGATATAATGATTTTTGGAGCACAAAATGACAAAATACTCTCCAACACTTTTCCAATATGTCGTAAATGTATGACGTCATATACTGTCCCTAAGTTTTGGAACGAATCACCAGTATAGCGTCGATTCATGACGTCATTTGCATTGGACAGTACACTGGGTTCTATTTTGGAACATAACCAAAAATAACTTCATATCACATATCACGAAAGGTAAGAGCGTTACCAACCTTCATGCAAGTGATGCAATGGTGCTTTATGTTGACATTCTGCGATGAACCAGACTTCACCACAACGTCTGTGCCAACGACGGGATTGTACTTGATGTGTCCTGTACCAGTTGGTGCTTGCTGTTGTCCAAAGGCACCTATAATTTATTTTTATAAGATTATATAAAGATAAATATTTTAAGCTCATTAACAAGTTCTAAAGCTTTACTTACTTCCAGTATTAGTGAATAACCCCCCACCACCTATGCTTGTGTTCTGTTGGCCAAACAACCCAGTGCTGGTTGAAGGCGTTGAACCAAACAGGCCAGTCCCGGATGTTCCAGGGGTTGATGTGTTACCAAAGCCAAAACCTAAAAAAATAAAAATTGATTTTTAATCAACTTTCTTCCTGTTTCAGTAGTTTTCATCCATCAACTTCCTGCATGTCTTACCAGGTCGTCACTCACTAAAAACATTTTATAGGTTACCACCTATTTTTTTATATTATTTTATTTATTAGATTTCTAGATATTAAGACTTTTTCAGACTAAGAGTTATCAAGCGTCACCAGGACCATCCTGATAACTAATTCTGCTACCAAAAATCAGTGCAGTTGAGGTCTTTGTTCTGGAGAATTTTTGATGCATGGTACCAATGGTAGAGCCATGCTGCAGTTATATTAGTAGTATAGTTGTAGCACGGATAGGTCGGCTCGACCGGGGAAGGACTATGCTCTCACAGAATACCAGCGTAAAATAGTAGATTAATACTGTTGTGTTTCGTATGGAGAGTGTAGAGAACCGGAGACCATTTTTACTGGAATCTAGGCATTCCATCTTAGTCCTCATGGGTAGCAACGCATCTGCATTCTGATTCATAATCGAGGATGGATATAGATGTCTATGGGCCACAGCAACCACTTACCATCAGTTGGACTGTGTGCTCATTTGTCACCCAATCATATAAATAAATAAAAAATCTAGTGGGGGCTCGCCCTACACTACGCCCACTGGTACGAGGCTGCCACTGAATTCCCAACGGGTCGGTTGAGCTATATGGCCGGCCTATTGCCATCATAAATCGTCAGTAGTATACAAGACAGAAAAGGTTAAAAAAAAAAAACTAACAAGGGGTTTACAAACTGCCCCGTTGGTCTAGATTAGTTGGTTGTGAATGCGACTGATGATCTCGAGGTCCCGGGTTCGAATCCCTGGACAGGCTAAAAATATCAGTTATTGAGATTTTTTTAATTCTCAGTAGCTGCCAATAGTCAGGAAGTTTACGTGTCTCGGAAAGTACGTAAAAGTGTTGGTCTTATGCATGATCTATCTTCGTACTCCGTCTCATCAGACTATAAGAGTGAGCAGATGGCTAGTCTTCATTGAAGCTGGCCACCGTGACCCAAATTCGGTCTGGAGGACATTATTATTATCAAATTATTAAGACATGAATAACAATTTTTGAAAACTTCGCCTGAATCTTCAAGAACATATGGAGTGCAATGTCAGGGGTGGTCTAAAATATATCTGCAAAACTTGGCGATTTTTTTTGAAATATCGAAGACTGGTTAAAATAAATAGTCTATATCTTTAATAAGACTATGTGTAGGTCGCAGTCTTGTAAAAATTAAATGAGACCAAGCGTACATGTGAAAGTTAACATTTTATCACTATATATACAGGTACACAGTATGTATATATATATATATATATATATATATATATATATATATATATATATATATATATATATATACACAGACAACACAATATAAAAGTTAATAGCTATATAAAATGGAAGGAGTAGAAAGCGATAGTATAAAGCAAACTATAAGGAAGTTAATATTCGCGAGATGAAAAATGCGCGGTTAGCCAGGCGACATGGGCTTCGCGTATGTTGTCGGTAAGCAGACCGGCAAACGCGGTACGCGGTGTTGAATGCGCACGCGCAGGGAACTTCATTCTAACGGTATCCCTGTTTAGAGTATTTCCAATGCACAACATGGTTAATATAAATAATGTTTTATTACCAAATATAATATTTGTATTGTAATTCTTTTGTAACTACGTAATTTATGTTATTTGATGATTATAATTAGTTAGATATAAGTAAAGACGTAAGTTTATAACGGCATAATATAATTTCATAAATACATATATAATATAATATAAGAAAGTAAAACGATTTGTGAAATAAGAATAGAAGGGGAGTTGATCGTGCAAGTAGATGAGTTTGTATATTTGGGCTGCGTATTTAGCAGGGATGGGAGATATGATAAGGATATAGAACGACGAGTGAATGCGGGAAATAGAGTAAATGGGGCCCTGCACTCTATTGTGAAGAGTCAAAATGTGCCGAAAAAGGCACGTATGGCAATTCACAATGCTGTGTTGGTCCCTACTTTAACATATGGTAGTGAAAGTTAGGTGTGGCAGAAGAAGCACGAGAGTAGAATGAACGCAGTAGAAATGCGGTCGTTAAGGAGTATGTTAGGGCTGTATCTGAATGACAGGGTAAGAAATTGTGTAATAAGAGAAGAGTGTGGTTTGCAAGATGATGTGACCAGGATTAAGAAAGGAATGCTTCGGTGGTTTGGTCATGTGGAAAGAATGAATGAGGAAAGAGTGACAAAGAAAATTTATGTTGCAGAAGTGAATGGCAGAGTCGGAAAGGGACTCCTAGGCGAAAATTTATCGACCAAATTGGCGATTTATTGAAAACGGGATGTGAAGGAGGCGAGAGAGGTGTGTAAGGATCGTGCCAAATGGAAGTCTGTAGTCTCTGCCTACCACTCTGGGTGACAGGCGTGAGTGTTTATGTAATTCTGCATTAACCAATCTTTGTCCCTCAAGAGGAATAGTCGTAACATGACCGGTTTTGGAGACAAACGTGGCCACCATTTTTTTTGCAACACTCTGTGAACGAACAATTTTTGTTGGCTTTAACTCATTTTCGAACACCCAAACTCGTGACTGGTTTTTGTTTCGGGTTCGTACGCGTATATCAAGGATTCGTCACCTGATACGATGTTGTATACAGCATTTGAGGATCCTGTGTGGAATCTTTTGAGAGTTCTGACGCACCAAGTAACGCGAGCCGCTTTTTGCTCTTCACAGAGCAAATGCGGTATCCATCGGGAAAACAACTTTTTTACACCTAATTGTTCATGCAAGATTATTTGTATTTGACTCATCCCAATGTATAAAGTTGCCTGAATTTCGCGGTATGTCACATGTCGATCTTTCTCAATCAGCTTACGCACAGCATCAACGTTTTCTTGGGTGACTGCAGTTTTTGGACGACCTTGACGGGGATCATCACTGAGTTTGACACATCCACATTGAAATTCAGCAAACCAGCGATAAATTGTGGTTTTGGATGGGGCTTCATCACCAAATGCAGAAATCATCCGGTCAACACACTGTTTTTGTGTTAAACCACTTCGAAAGTCATAATAAATCATCGCTCTTGAATTTTCTCGAATCAATTCCATTTTCTCAACGACTAAACAAGTTTGACAAAACCTTGTGACAAGACCAAGAATCTTTTTTTTAAATGAATAAATGGTATTCGATTTTTAAAACCAAGGAGTTTTCAATTAAAAAGATTTTAATATGACAGGAACAGTGGAAATATTCCATTCCTGATACTTTTAGTGCAGCCCTCGCAATAATGTACAAGTTATATGAGTGTAATATGTATATGTACGTATAATATACAATAAGTAGGCTACAGGTCTTTGATGTTCATCTCAAATCTACATAACGCCACAGTAATATAATATATAAAATCTATATACAAGCCAAATACGAGGCAGGTTGCTAGTTATTATTATAAAATACGGCACCTGCAGGCTTAGCTCCAAAAGCTGAAGTGTTCTGGGTGTTGCCGAAGAGACCAGTAGACTGGTTATTGCCAAACAGGCCTCCAGTTGAGGTACTGGCGCCGAAGCCAAAGCCCCCAGATGTAGATCCGAACGCTGGGGTCGATGTCGATGCCGTGGACCCTCCGAATAGCCCCCCAGTAGTGTTGGATGAACCGAAGAGACCTGACCAAGGGGACAAAGAATTTAATGTGTGCCACAGAAATTTTATTGTAACGCTACTGTATTTTAAGATATTGTTAAGAATCGTGGTGAGACAGTCCGTTTGAAGATGCTATCTTAAAATTGAGTAGCGTTTGGAAAAGCAGTCTGGAAAAAAATAGGGTGTAACGTGAACGGAGAGAAGCCTATGGTACCGATATTTTACAAAAAATATGAACAAAAATGATATGAATTAAGCATTTGAAATAAAATTTTTGAAGAATTTCTTTGCCCTTGACCTTACCCTCAAGTCACAAGTCAAAGATGCTTATACTAACCGCAATATCTATGATTTGAATTTCGATTTTAATTAATCAAAGTTTTTTATTTTTGTAAAATATCGGAACCATAGGCTTCTACTCTATTTTTTTATATTATTTTTTTCACTATCATCGTCATCATCATCATCATCACTTCAGCGTATCCAAGTTCACTAAAAATAGATCTCCCTATCTGTCCCATCTCCTGCTTCAGTTGCGCTGTACATTGTACACATACATACGACATCTGTATTTTTATGCGCGGCACTACCAGGTTTTTGTAATACTTTATATATTAGATTTCTAGATGTTCGGACTCTTTTTCAGACTAGGAATCATCAAGCATCACCAGCACCATCTTGGTAACTATCCCAGTCACCAAAAATCAGTGCAGTGGAGGTCTAATTTCTGGACAATTTTTGATATACTATGATATTAAAGAAATTTATTTCGCAATGTTTTTTTTTCTAACAGCTTTTACTCTTAATTGTTTTCTCACAATGAACTCAGACACTGAAGATTTGATTATATAGTTTTCTTCGTTTAAATATTAAATCCAATTGAAATCATTATTTTAACAATAATGCAGTAACCAGCGGGCTGTTAAATTCCGCCAAAAGTCCATCAGTCTATAGTATGTGCCAAATCAATTGAGAAAAACGGACAATGACCTCAGATACGAGCCGTGTCAAAATGCGTAACTTACAAAATCTCAATGTAGATGTGATAACAATATTTAAATATTGATATTATTCACATTTCTAGGTCAGCACATATGTTTTGTTTTTTTCTTTCTTAATATAATATATGGAGCCGTGGTAGCTCAGATGGTTAGCGCTCCCCATGTTGACACAATGAAATTGTTAATTGCTATAAGTGCTGATTTACCACGTGCTCGGCAGTGAAGGGAAACATCGTGAGGAAACCTGCATGTCCGATAAATAAGAAAAAAAAATTCGAAGACATGTGAAGTTCGCCCACGTCACTTCCTTGCCCTAAAACCCTCTCAAAAATGAGGAGAGGCCTGTGCCCAGCAGTGGGACGTATATAGGCTGTAACTTTACTTTTTTAACTTTACTTTAAATAATATTGTCTATGGTTCCTATAAACATCGTAAAATCTTACAGTACATCGCTAAAAATGTGTTATATATTATATTTCAATTTATGGTAAGTAACGCAACAATTCATTTAATAACAGATTCATATTAAAAAAAATATTTGAAGCAATATAATCACCATATTGAGTTTTTGCCAATTCATCCCTTTAAAATAAACAAAACGCGCAGCCAGAGATGTCACCTTTTTTAGGTGACACATCTCAGGCTTACCAAAAATAAAGTTCTTATATAATATTGAAAATAAAGTTTCATATCTTTTGAATGCGTCGTTATCACTCGAATCTTTATATGAGTTATAAATTAATGCTTTTTGTTGTTAATTGAATAAAGTACTTTATAACAATAGATGATTTTTCTTCTACGGCAATCTTTTACATAACTTTTTAATAATAGTTAATAAATATATATAATATCAATCATTATAAAAAATAATTAAAAAAAATCATTATAAATAAAGAAAGTACTACACATAAAATGTGCTTAAACGACTGAAAGGTCATTGTCCATTTTTTGAATCGATTTGGTGTGTATTATTTTAATTTCGATAGTTTTTAATTGATTTATTTATTTAGTTCAGAAATTTTGTTGTTCTTTTTAGTACCAAATGTTTATTTCAAAATAGTAATATTTTGATAGACCAATTTCATAATGTTAATGTAAAATAAAAAAATTGTAAAATATCAGTGCCATAGGTTATTTTGTCTACCTGTTACACCATATTTTTTCCAGATGGTAAGACAGTAAAAAAACACCCAATATTAACAAAGGATGTCATCACTAGGGACAACAAATATGTATGATGTTAGGTGACCATAAATATCAAGTTAGGTGACCATTTAATGTATTTTAAATCTAGAAAAGTTTCTTTAAAATTATCATTGTACCTCCTCCAGTAGCAGGTTGCGGGGCAGCCGAGGCACCGAAAGCGGGCGGCGCACCAAACGCATTTGTGCCAGTTGTTGGCTTGAAGCTGCCGAAAGACGGCGTTGTTGACGTACCTAAAACACATATAAAATTTCAATAATCCATTAACTTATAACTATTAGTCTATAAAGTCCACAGCTGAACATAGGCCTCCCCCATAGATTGTCTCATAGGGGAGATATTTGCTATGGTTGTAATGTTACTGTTGATTTAATAATTTCACCTCTCAGTGAGTCATGTGCTCCTGGTAGATTATTTTCTCTACATCCATCCATTACAGCCTATGAAAGTCCACAGCTGAACATAGGCCTCCCCCATAGATTGTCTCATAGGGGAGATATTTCCTATGGTTGTTAATGTTACTGTTGATTTAATAATTTCACCTCTCAGTGAGTCATGTGCTCCTGGTAGATTACTTCTACATAGTTGTAATGTTACTGTCGATTTAATAATTTCACCTCTCAGTGAGTCATGTGCTCCTGGTAGATTATTTTCTATACATCCATCCATTACAGCCTATGAAAGTCCACAGCTGAACATAGGCCTCCCCAATTGATTGGCCATCCTCATAAGCCATAGGAGGCAATTGCCATAGTTGACAATGACTGTTTTTATTTTATTTTTAGTTGTTATTAGGAATATGCTGCTGCCTATCTCGAGATGGCCGTACCACATACCACAACATACCAGACATCTTAGTCTGCTTTTTCATCATTATCAATCCAGATTTTTACCAATCCACTACTGAACACTAGCCTCACCAAAGAAATGCCACAATAGCCTTAGAGCAACCTGCATAGACATCTACATTTATCACCGATTAAGAATCAAAACGCAGATGCGTTGTCACCCCTGAGGACTAAGATGGAATGCCTCATTTCCAGTAAAAGAGGGTCTCTGGATCTCTGCACTCACCATACGAAACACAGCAGTATTAAGCTGCTATTTTACGCTGGTATTCTGTGAGAGTGTGGTCTTTCCCTGGACGAACCGACCCATTCATGCTACAATCATCATATAGCTGTAGCGTGGCTCTACCACATAAAAATATACTCTTTTTTTTAGTCAAATCTGCATACATGTTACAGCTCACCAACAAAATCTACCGTCTTCCGGTTCGATCCTTGCCGGCACCAAAGAAATTGTTAATTGCAATTTTAAGTACCGATTTACTATGTGCTCAGAGGTGAAGGAAAACATTGTTAGGAAACCTGCATGTCTTAGAAATAAGAAAATATATAATTCGATGAAATGTTAACTTCGCTAACACACATTGGGGCAATGCAATGGACATTTCCTTGCCCTAGTACCCACTCACAAAAGAGATGAGAGGAGGCCTGTGCATGTAGGACACTGGACACGCGATCTAAAGAGCCAGTATATTATATATACCTATATTGTGTCCCTACACCCAAATTAATTCCAAAAACAATGCGAAGTGGCCGTGTTATCAAGACGCCGGTACGTTTTGCATTGTAATCTATTCTATTCCAAGTAGAATGTGTCATCGTTACTTAGGATTAGTGGTTATGATTACAATCAACCTGTCAGTTTAATTTAGTCAATTGCGAATTGTTTCTTTTATTAGTTATGATTTAGGTAATCTCTAGGTAATCAAATATAGTAATTAGAAAAATTCCAATGTTATATTTCAAACTTTATTGTAGAACTCTAAAGAGTAAAATATATTTGCAATAATTAGCTGTAATAATATTTAGCAAGAAGCATTTGTACCTTAGTAGGCACCTATCCTTACGCTACATAGTTGCAAGTTGCATAGCATGCATTTTGCAATAGATCAAAGTACGTAATTACTAACGTAACTTTTTAGTTATTTTAGCATTTTAATTGTCATGTCACTGTTAATCATTGTTAATGTAACATATATAGACGATTTTTCGTATTTATATTTGTTCAAATTGCTTCATTGTAGCTAGACGTATATATCTATAATTGTTCGGAAATGGGATGGAGTCAGAGCAAAGAAGAAAATACGAGCAACAGCCTAGTAGCTCAGACTGTCAACAATCATTCAGATTATAAGCTGGAATGTATCAGCTGGACGTTGACCGCACTGGTGATAGTGTTCGTCCTCGTAGTGGGATACCTACTATGGCGCCGCAGCAAATATGTAGTGAGAGGCTGGGTAATGAAGCATAGCGTAAGCAATCTGACCATGGTGAGGGTGCAGGCGGTTCTCAACCAAGCCGCACCTGCGCCTGCCGGTATTGCGTAGTGTGTATACAAGTGCTAGTGTTAACTTATTGTAAGTTAAGTGTTCTAAATCTTTGTGTAAGGAGGGGAATGGTGTATGGGCAATATAGGTATATAAATATACTTTCTCTTTAGATTGTGTGTCCAGTGTCCTACATCATATCCATACTTATTTAAGTATAACAGATATGTGTATGTGTAATATGTATAATAGTTATAGGTGTGGCGGCTGCGTCCGCCACGTTAAAAATCAGTCGCAAATAAATCCCCGTTTACACGACACGTGTCTTCATTTATTGCAACCTTAATTATAAACCTTAATGGACTTAACATTAAATTAATTAATTAAATACAGTATTCATAAGACAGTAGTGCCCAGCAGTGGGACGTATATAGGCCTCCTATGTTCAGCAACAAACTTTTAAGAAATTTTAATGATGATGATACAGAATATATTGTTACACTATGGATCTAAAAAGAAACATAAAATTATAGAAAAACAACCACACTTACCAAACCCCGATGTGTTGCTACCAAATGTCTGCTTTTGAAACATCTTGGTGCTTTTCTGTGCTGTATTGTTAACTAGAATCTCCCTTTCCTATGTATAGATGCTATATTGCCGTCAGATGCCTGCCATGGTGAACCTGAACAAATAACAACATCATATACAGAAATAGTTTCAATTGTGTGAAAATAATTAATTTTTTTAATTTAAGCGAGCTTTGGGGCTAATTGCTGTAAATTTCATTCATATGCAAATATGTTTAATCATTAAAGTAATATATACTAGAAGACACCGTGAACAAAATCTGTGCAGCATTGCAGAGTCATTGAGTACAGTTGCAGAGGCATTGAGTACCTTTTTACAGCATGGACAAGTAAGTTTGAGCCCATAGGATGACCGGAGAAGGATCATGCTCTTCCATGGTTATGGGTTGTCCATGACATTTTTGCAGAATGTAATGCAATTGAAAAATGTTGGGTATATAAAAAAAAAAAATTTATGAGTATGTCATGCTTCCAGATAAATGCAGATTTTAAATGTGTTAAGTATGTATTTAAATATTGCATATTATTTAAGAATGTATGCTTTATACATTAAAGAAACTTATAGATTGGATGTAGAATTTACTTACAACTTCATTACAAGTTTTGAACTACCTACCTACAAAAATATTTTTAACATTACAAGAAGTTTTTACGTCAGTGGGAACATTTTTGTATTTAAATATTATAATTTTAATACCCTAATAAATCCCAAATAAAACAAAATGTATCCCAAAAATAACCAAAAAAAAAATTGATAACTAGTGGGTGAGAATTGAAATGAAACGTTGACATAAAATGCGTGTATATAAAATACGCCAATAGTAAATCACAATCACATATTAAACAGTGAAGTAATCATCAAACTGAATGATAAGGAAATTTAAAATTAAAACAATACAAAAATAAAGTTTACAAGGAAAATTCAATTCGCCGCTGCCCCAAACGTGTCAATAACCGTGATTTTTTTTTAAAACTTACTTGCAAACCGAAGCACTATATTGTTAAAAATTTAAAATACTTGTAAAACTTTGAAATTACACGGTCGCTGTTTAAAATTTTTCACTTTAGACTTATAAGTTTTAAAACAAAACCAAAAAGCAAACACTTCGCGAGAACAAGCGCAGTTTTTTTAGTTGTAATTATTTATATTACTCCATAGATATAAATGTAGCAACCGTCTATGAACTACGAAGTTTGATGAACCTTTGAGTATAGTTTTCTATTAGGTTTCTCTGTCTACGTTTTCTATGCTCAAAGTGATGAACCACAGTCAGCATGTTACGTTTCACCAATTAAGATAGGCAAAGATCTTAGACTATACAGCCTATTCTGATTTTATATTTTGCTAATGCACTAACCTCTATATATGGACTGGCTATACACCGTGACATAATGAGGCGAAATGATTTTTGCCACTTTAGCGCTGACAGCAAAAATAAACGTCCACGGAAATATTAATAGAGATAAGACAGTGTGATAAAATATATCAATAAAAATTCTATACCCAGTCCATTCTAGTATCATATTAATACAATGCCATACAATTAATGAATGTATCAATAATACCTAGGCCTTAAATGTAACCCTTCTACCACATATAAAACCAAGATCGACGCTGTGTTGGTCTATCTACACTTTTATTCGTAACAACAGAACGGATTTTGCTCCTTGTTTCAACATTGGGTATGTTGCTTCATTCACGAAGCTTAAATAATCAATTAGTACTGCAAAATATTCAACTGGCATATTAAGTAACTATACAAAATAAAAATCGAAACATAATTTCGCAAAGAATTTACTGTCAACCGTTCATACTAATTATTTACAGGTACGTCTATAGACATAATAAACTATATGTTCTAATGTATAAAAATTAATATTTGTTTGTTCGTAATTTATGTACTGCCATACCGTTCATCACATTGCGATAAAACTTTGTAAACTTACTTGCACAAAGATTATAGACATAATATAATTAACTAACACTCGGTTGCAGATTCTCACTTCTATCATTCCGTATCTTTATTACCCATAAAACATCACAATATAATTACATTTTACAAAAAATCATATTATAAAAATAATTAAAACATTCACAGTATATGAAGAACTTTGAGTATTAAACCAAAGGAGATGGCATCGCAAGGCATACCCGTCTGTAAAAGGTACGAGAGTTCGACTCATACCAGTTATATAAAACTAGTTGCTCCGCGTCGTGTGTGCGTCATGCCGAAGTGATCGTGCCAGTAAATCGAGCTCCGACAAAATGCCGAATTGCAGTGTATTTACATGAAAAAAACAATCAAAAACGTCAAATATACAAAAGGACTTTTCATCTGCGAGTATTTTTAACATAACTACATACAAACACTTTTAATATCACTACATATAATGTATGGTTCTTTGATAATTTTCATATTCAGTACAATTTCAACACCATTTACATGAAAAAAACAATCAAAAACGTCAAATATACAAAAGGACTTTTCATCTGCGAGTATTTTTAACATAACTACATACAAACACTTTTAATATCACTACATATAGATGTGTAGTGGATTTTGTTAAATAATTTTCATATTCAGTACAATTTCAACACCATAATGAATATTATATATCTTAATATAATCGATAACTAGTATTTATCAAAATATTATAAAAAATAAAGGCCAAATAAGTCAAATCGAAACTTGCTACTTCGCAGCAACAGTGTGCAATATTTATAAAAATAAACTGGTATCACTGCAACTGAAAGTATTGTACTATAGTGATTAACGCCACAACTTTAGCTATCGATAAGTTAATTAACCATGCGCGTTTGTCTGCCGAACCAGTTTGAAGTTTTTATTTAGTTTTTACAAAAAGTATTACAAAAAGTAGTAAATTTTTCTATTATTGGTTTGTTTTTACAGATTTTCAAAAGATCCTTTTAGGCGGCAAACTTGGATTGTATCTTGTAGAAACCATGGATCTTGGATACCTAAACGGACTAGCGCCATTTGCTCCTAACATTTTGAAAAATCATATTTCATACCCCAAGCTCACAATAAAAGAAGTTGGGTACCTGAAGTTGTGGGAGGTAATGTTTGGCTGTAATTATATTTAGATTAAATATTTTTATTATTACCTTTCACACCAATATTAATCTACTTGAAAATATTTTATTAAGTTTACAAAAGCAATAATCTATCAAATTTAATACATATAAATTTGTATATATTATATATTGATATACTTAAAGTATAAGATAGAAGATGTTTGCCTGCACCACGGACATTGACCAAGTGGTACACTACCATTGATCGCCGACCAGGGTTTACTCAAGAAGCGCTGACGGTATAAAAATTGAGAGCGGAGAGTAACCCTGATAAAAAAATTTATTGTACCTTGGTCATGGATAAAATGAAAATTAAGCAATTGACGGAATACCATGCTAGCAGCCAAAGGCATTACTTTGAGAACTTGCATAGTACTCCGTCAATTGTTTTATTTTCATTTCATCTATCACTAATATACAATACAATTTCTTGTCAGGGCTACTCTCTAGTCTAAGTTTTAAAACAGTTAACGCTTTTTTGTGTAGCCAAGTCGGTCATCAATTGTACATTAGTTTAGCAAAACATCTTTCTGGGGAATACTAAGCCCTAGGTAGATGTCACATTTTATTTTTAAGCAGCTGTCTGTTTAAAGTTCACTTTGTTCAACTGTTAAACAGTGTAAAACTTTTTTATTTTCCCAATTTATTAAATATTTTCCATATAGTTTATTTAATAACTTCAAAATCAACAACTTTTTTTAAATAGCGGTTTTATGATTGAAGCCTTATAATAAAAACAAAAACTTGGTTAACACCATCTAAGACGATAAACTGATGGGACTTTTGTTTTCATAGATCTGATTTTTAAAATAAGTTAACTAAACCTCCTATTTCGATTTCTTAAATATTTTAAATTTTATCCTGCATAATGTAAAATAAACCTGTAGCAAAATAATAAATTTTCTTTCAATAATTTCAAAGTTTTTTCCAAAGATCATTTTTAAATACTTTAAAAAAAGAATTTCATATAACATCTTGGTATTATTTATCTATGTATTACTTATAATCAAATAAAAACTTATACGGACTATGGTGATTTGTTTATCTTGATAAAAATATCGACATAGTGCAGCGCCTTACTGTTGCGTTACGTGTACAATTTGATGGTATGCGTAAACGCGATGAACACAAACACAAATGCTGTAGTGTGCGTTTATAGTGACACGATATAATTTTGCATTTCTAGTTAAGTATACAGTTGTGTGTTATACGCGCATGGCCTCCAGTTGGTCGAATACTCAAAGATGAAGAATTAATAAAATATTAAACAAAATATCACAATTTTACAAGCAAGTTATAAACCTTATACCTTATAGTCATAAACCTTAAAATGTCGGATATAAAGTTTATTAATATAATTCTCTTATGAGCCGTGGTAGCTCAGATGGTTAAAGCTCGCTGTAAATATAACAGAACGCGAGCCCGGGTTCGATCCCCGTCGGCACCAATGAAATTGTTAATTGCAATTTTAAGTGCTGATTTACCACGTGCTCGGCGGTGAAGGAAAACATCGTGAGTAAACCTGTATGTCTGAGAAATAAGGAAAAAAATATTTCGAAGACATGTGAAGTTCGCTAACACGAATTGGGGCACCGCTGAGGACACTTCCTTGCCCTAAAACCCTCTCAGAAATGAGGGGAGGCCTGTGCCCAGCAGTGGGACGTATATAGGCTGTAACTTTACTTTACTAATTTAATTCTCATTATTAATTTCACATATCTTATCATTAAGCACAATTAAAACTTTAATTTTCTTATAAAATTTAGTTATTATTTTGTTATTTTATTACTAAAATATTTTTTAATGTTTTCTTATCTTATTAAACAAAATCTATCCAAAACATTTATTACATGCATTTTCATACTTTAATAAAAGATATTATTTTAATTAATTATTCTTAAGGAACG